AGGAACATCAAAAAAGAAGATTCTAGTTCTACCTTCTTTGCGAATATGACCAAATCTTATTCACAGTGGAATACTAATGTACCTTTGATATAACAAGCTGATAAAAGGAGCCAGGGTGGTACAGTAGTTTGAGCGTTGGACAATGAAAACAGAGTTTGAATCCCCGCTCAGCAATGGAAACCCGCTCAGTGACTTTGGGCAAGTCTCATTCTCTTGGCTTCCAAGGAAGGCAAAGGCAAACCCCCACTGAATTAATTTTGCCAAGAAACTCCCTTAATGGGTTCACTTTTGAGTCAGAAAGAACTTGAAGGCACACAGCAAAAGCTGATGAGAAAGTTGCCCTCTTCTCAGTTTAGAAAAATGTGTATTTTCACCTGTCCAATCTGCTTTGAATTTCAGAATATTCTGTTTCAAATAGATCCTCCCTGAATTAGCTTTCCTAAAGTAGCTGAAATGTTTAACTTATTACCTTTGCAGCTGCCCACATCACTTTTGTTTTTGAAAGAAATATTTAAGACAACTAAATAGAGTGTTTAGGTAGCTTGCATAAAGATGTGACTTGCAGATTCTCAAGTTGCTCCGGACATGAACAAAAGATGTAGAATTTCCATAGGTTTTGTTAGTGTGGGAAGAAATAAATTTTTCCATAACACTTGAGGGCAATTGAAATATATTGACTTCTTTCTTACATCAAACTTATCCAATATTGAATATATATTTAAAAACAAAATCGTCAGCATTGCAATAAATAAAAAATCATTTATTTTTAGTTCAGCATCTCAGGAATTCACAGGACAGTATAATCCAGGCGCAGGTGAAACCATTATATGTATTGTTGAAGGCTTTCATGGCCTGAATCACTGGGTAGTTGTAGAAACCATTATACTATATGACAAATGTTAAATGTTAAGACTTGGATTCAACAGAACATTCAAAACATTTAAAGAACAAAATGCACTAAAGGCCTTGTTAAATTACACTTTCTTACAACAGATGTCACATTGCAAGGTTTTCCATATGGATTATAGTATATTTTGCTATTCGGCTAACAAATTAGTCATACTGTCTGACTACACACCAGCTACTTAAGGCTATAGAGGTACAAGAATGAGCTGGACATCCAGGTTTCTGCTGACTTTGAATCTCCGTGTATTTGTTCAGTTACATCTTATCTCTCCCAAAGCACACAGTGGAAACAAAACGTATTAAAATGTTATTGAAGATTGCTGAAGTTCTGCTAAATTAACAGTTTTGTCTTGTATAAAATTACTTTTGAACATGGAAACTTTAATAATTGCTGTGGCACTAATAGTAGTCACTGACAGCCTCTTTCTACAAAACGTCAGAGGGAAACAAACTTTTTGTAAATGATTTCTGGTAGTAGAGCTGGGAGAAATTCACAATAGGAATACTAGGGGAAATCTTATTCTGCAGGGTCACAAGGATCAAAATATTACAGTATTTCTTACATTGCAAGGAATGTTCTCCATTTTACTCTTTAAAAACCTTGTAACATGCAGTGATTCAGTATGAGGAGGTGAATAACCTAGAAGTTCTAAGAAATCAGAGCAGTTAGGTGAAATATGATTTTGATGGCGTTCATTGCCAAAGTTCTTTGTTCCTTCTGGTACATGTGAGAAACAGAACACCATGCTTATCTGGAAAATACACATTTCCTCAATTGTTCCAGTCACAGAATTTTGTATCTCTTGGTGCAGAAATCTGACTTAAAACTGGAAGGCACTAATGGACCAAACAGATCTGCAACTGGCACATACAAAAGATAATACACAAGTTTTGTGCACTTGCAAGATTATGCTTCTTACCAATATTTCAGGATTGTTTCCAGAGAGATAATTGGAATTTATGCTCCTTAGCCACTCTGGCACTTCGGATGCTTATTTGAAGCCATATATGTGTGTTTTTTGTTCAGCACTGCATTTGTACAGAGCAGTGTTTCTCAAACTCTTCTCCTCCAGATGCTTTGGCCTTCAACTTACCAGCTATTAGGAATTGTGGGAGCTGAAGTCCAAAACACCTGGAGTAACATAGTGTGAGAATCACTGATATAGAGGTACGGGAAGTGGAGGTAAAAGCATTTTCCACTCAGGTACTGAAAACTGAATTTAGTACTGCACTACCATACCTCTCCTGGTCCCTGGGAGCCATTGGAACGGCTACTTTCATATGGTTAGTTGGTGTTGGATGAGATAAATCATTTGGACTTGTAAACTAGCCAAGCAAGGCATTTTTGTTTTTGCTGTTTTATGTAGGTATTGTCTTAATTTGGGGGGGGGGGGGGGGGGGGAGAAAGAGAAAGAGTATGGTAACTATTGGCCTAGCTGTAATGAGGAAAATTGGTCATGGAACAGTAGAGTAGGGAAAACTCCTCAGTGATGCCCATCCCTTGCACCCCAGAAGCCTGCTGCAGAGGTCTGGGGAAACCTACAGGGCTATGTTCTGGGTGAAACCCAAGAACAACTCAGGGTGAGCAGAGAAAGTTTCGTCACGATGGTCCTGCATATAATCCATAACAATAGATTATAGTAGAATATAAAATACCACAGAAAATAACCTACATTTTTTACTATAATGGGTTGTCCTGTAAAAATGACAACATACCACTATGTGAGCTGCTTAACACCCAAAGCTTTCAGCATAATATACACAAATACAACACAGTGTGATTTGAATTACAGTGTGAATTAATCAGCCTCTCTTTCTGCCTGACCTCATGAAAGCTATCATAATGTATATCAACTTTAGATATAGCTACTGCTGCTTGTCTTCTGCTTTCGCATTTCTCATGCAATTCTTATTCCTGCTATATTCTTTTTAAAAGAGTGAATGCCTTCCTAATGACTCCCTTAATTCAATTCAGCAATTATATTCATTAATCTTTAGGACTAAAAGCTCTATTCTGGTCTTCCAATGTATTCTACCTTAGGCAACACTGATTGTAATGGCTGGAATTCTATAGTGACAAATAGCTTGCAGAACACGCTACCTTGGAGAGGCAGCTACCTGTGTGAGGAAGAGCAGCAACAAATGGCAGTGGGCAAAACTGGCCACTTGCTACACTTGCTCACTGCTGTATGAGGGGAAAACAGGCATTCAGCGTGGACCTCCTAAAACAGGCCTAATTCATCAATGGCTGCTTCTTTCCTGAATGGCTTCTTCTATGGAGTCTAAGGTTTGACTTCGACAACTGCCTACGCCCCAAGCCAACCTCTGTAAATTCCCTTGACTCCAGAGTCCCGCAGAACCAATCATTGAGGAAGGAAGTAGGTAGAGACATAGGCAGCTTGTGCTGGGGGGTATGCTAAGACTGAGTGTTCTGCTCCATCACAACTGAATAAGTTCTTGGTCACAGTATTTTGTAAATAGAGAACTTAACAGTTCTTGACTATATGAATCTAAAATTATTATAGTGTGGAACAAATTTTAATGCATGTAGGCTCTGTGTCAGTTCTTTGCCTCTGCAAGAAACTGAACAAAACATTTTAGTGTAGACATTTTCAAGGGACAAAATGGCAAAGCAGGTTCTAGAGCAGGCCTGAGCAAACTTTGGCCCACCAGTGTTTTGGACTTCAACTCTCACCATTCCTAACAGCCTCAGGCCCCTTCCTGGAATTGGGGGAGGGCCAAAGTTTCCCCATGCCTGTTCTAGTGGCTTATCTTTTCCAATGCAGGGATTCCTTGTACATCTCTCTCAATTCAAGACTAGGAATTTGTTCTACCTCAGTGTTTAGGTCAGAGCTAGAAAGAGCTCCTGTAGACTCTTGAGGATGTAATTAATTCTGCATTACAGACAGACTTGGTTCTTGAGCTTGACCAACATGACTTGCTGGATGTTAAGGTAAGAAAAACAATTTGGAAAGTATTGGAAGGCTTTCCTTCTCTAGATGCTTAGAACAAGTCTGTTTTTTTTTAGTGAATTCTAAGGTGAAATGCAATGGCTTGCAAGATGGTGATACAGAAACCAAATTTCTTCTCACCACTTCTAAAGGTTGTTTTGACAAGCTTGGCAATAAGCCACAGTTGCTTCCTAAAGTTGTATACTGAAAACAAAACGGCTGATAGAGCTATGAGCTCTCCATTTTAAACTAAAAGCCTAAACACATTAAGTAGGAACTGTGGACTGTGACTAGAGTTCTTATTTAACCTTTGAGGTTGGAAGGAGATCTAGTTAAAAGTAGAGTGAATTCCTCACAAGGAGATACTCCCTTCCATGGGATTTTCCTTGAGTTGTCAGAAACGACTGACACACAATACTTGCTGAGTAGTTCTCTACAAGTTGGGAAGGCTTAATTGTTACTCATCTTTTACAGAAGCAGTTTTATATCCAAGAAAAAGGTCAAATTGACCTGGTATATATAAGGAAACTGAGAAAAACTTGAGATTGCTATTTTAGGTGACACGCAGAAAATTATGCCGCTCATTCTAGAAAAACTGGTATACTGTATGTTTGCGGCAAATAACACCAGTAATTCGGAAAGAATTTTCATCTTCGTAATAGAGATTCAAACACAGCCTGTAGCTCATTGGCCTTTCCTTGGAGTTGTGAGGCCATGGATAAAGAAAAATAACAAGAGGTTCTGTAAAACACAAACCAGACTTAAATAACTCCATGGATTACTGCTCTCTTTATCAGATTGAGGATGCTTCATACATCTGGGCTGAACTGTAGTCCATGGAAACTTAACACACAGCTTTGATTCCAAAGGACCATTGGATTGTTGTTTTTTGTTGCAAAAGAATACAGCTTTTCCTCTCTTCAAATCCTAATGATGTGCTAAATAAATATTAGAAATTACTTTAAGCCAAGCTATATGATAGAGTGAAATCATTCTTGCAAGGCTTTCAAATAGTGTGATCTAAACCAGTTAATACATTCAATAGACAATTATGCCATATGCTAACGTTCTACAAACATTACTGTTTAGAAAACTAAATGTTGGGTTCTCTTGCTGGATTAATGTAAATTGCTTTGTTTGCAGGGTTTATTGCCATCTCAAAACCAGGCCAATTCTCCAAGTGGAACTGTAGTATAGCCATCACACTCCTGCTAGCAAATCTTTGAACACAGAACAAGAAGTAATGGCATTGGAATCTGGAGCTGCCGTTGAGCCAGAGAACACCACAAATTCTTAAAGGCAGAGTGTAAACTTGGGAGTTATGTGAATCACATAGTGTTTTACTACAAAATAATAATAATAATGTAATGAACTCTTTTTAAAAGCTAATATTTTTAGGCTGCTCATCCAAAGAAGAATTTTGCTTTAAAAATGCTTCTTTTGGTGCTGCAATTAAAAATAGTAAAACTTTTTTTCCAGTTTCTTTATACTTCTCACTGTAATTGAATCATATACGTAACATACACATATGCGTGTAAAATAAAAATGTTTCTTAAATTGAAGTATAATGGTGTTATAAATTAGAAATTCACTGTTGAGTTTTTTGCACTGATTTTTTTAAAAACCAGAGATGGTTAGCCTGGAATGCTATCATGGGAAATGAAAGTCATTCCTTTCTGACTTCGCAAATGTAATTCAGGAAGATGGATGCTGCAATCGTAGGTGTTTGTTTTTTTCTAAAAAGATTGTTTGCACTTAAATAGCTTAATGCTAATAGAGAATTACTTTTAAATGGGTGTTTGGACACCTTCTAAAGCTATGTTATTGAAAGAAGAGATCCTTTGTATCTATTAAACATTTTATTTTAATAATGTTTTCAGCTACAATCAGTCTGTACTATATATGTATATAATGTAATTCAGTGATTGGGGGAAGAATCAGTCATGACACTAGTAATTTTATCATTTAAGAAAGTGATATTTCTAATTCAGAAAAAACATTAAACTATCTTGAATATACGGTTTTGTTTATGTTCTGTTTAAATTAAATCCACTTTGATGTAACTTTTTGAATGTAATATTTTTGGTATGGACATGGTTTAATCCCTGTGAAAGATTTACTCCATTTGAAAAATACTCAGGTCAGATTCACTACCTATTGAGACTGGATTTACCCCTGCACTTTATTCTAAAGGAAAGTTTCTTTTTCTTCCACCTCTATGCTTTGGAACACTACACTAATTTCTAAGATATGTCTAAGTTTTTAAAAATAAACAGTGGTTATTTAACAGTGCTATTAGCTGTTTTCGTATATTAGGAGTATATAGTTTAGCATCTCTTAATGCAGTATACAACTTCGGGTATTAGTTTAAAATCAATGTTGACACATACGTGTGCTACACATTCTGCAAAATGCATCAACAATACAGAATAATGTGCCAAAGTAAGCAGTGTTTTAAAAATAAACGAATGCCTTGTGTGGGGAGATAGATTTGAAAGTCTACACAACCTTCTGCTTATTTACTATTAAAAACATTTGAACATACTAAAGATTGTAAATTCCATCCAGTATTTTTGATGGAAGAAAAGCAAGAACTATGGGTATTGGGTCCATCTATCACAATACCAAAAACGCTATCGGTCTGACTTGCAACAAAAGTGCGTGCCTTAGTTTGTGACTTCTTCGTGGGATGGAAACTTGTTTCTCCTTTTCCTCCATCTCTGTCCATTGCCTAAGCACAGCTGTGTAACTAGGAGGAAAAGGACTGCCCTGAACTCTTGACATTGCTGTTGAAAAGAAAAAATCTAACTGTTGGGGCTGCAGTTCACAGGTTACGTTTGGTTGTACAACTCCATTCTAAGGTTTGAATTTCTTCAAAACTGACTAGTTGAGAAGGACTGATTCTTTGTTTTCAGTATTACAGCCATTTATGCTTCTTTGCTGAATCTGAAACTCAATAGGTATAAATTTCTAAGATCATTTCATTACATAGGTATGAATCCCATTTTGAACATGTTTCAGAAGCATGTAAGTATTTCTTCTTCGTGGGGTCTGTGAAAATTGCACATACTGGTTTCACTGCACATGTGCAGCTTTTCAGAACATTCTAGAGCTTTATCATTGAAATATTTTGGTGGAGGCCCCGCTCACACTCCCCGAGTACTATAAAAGTCCATGGGAGGGCCTGAGCCTTGTTTCCTTTTTTCCACCGCGATCTGCAGCTGTTAGCTAGTAGCATTATATATATATATATTATATTTCTCCATTGGGTAATCAATGGAGTGTCGATCTTGGACTCTCCATTGACTACTCGATAACTCTTAATACCTACATTCTGGACTGACTCAGACTTTGCAACTCACCCCACGCCTGATCAATCGGACTGGCCTCAACAATGTGACTCTCCCCACTCCTGATGTAGTGAATTGGCTCCAATGATGCGACTTTCTCCGATCCCAACCTCTTGACTGTTTGATGACGCTATCAAGCCAGTCCATGGCCTAGCTATGTATACTACTTTTTTCTTTAAAAAATGCGAAGCCTGCGGGCATAAACTCCCATATTCCAATGGGCACAGTATGTGTCTCCTCTGCCTGGGAGAGAGCCATGTGCCCAGGCCTGCCAAATTTGTCAAACCTTCGCTCCCCAGGCTCACTGCAATAGAGTATCTTGCTTAAAAGCCATGTATGAACAGGCATTGGCTCAAGAAATGGCATGCCCCCCCTCCTGCAAGTACCCAGCTTCTGAGCTGCCGTCCCTGCCTCCTGTCTCAGGAGCACAAGAGCCAGGTCCCTCACAAAACGCAATGGTGCCCCAGGCCTCAGCCAACTATCACCCGGTGGCAAGAAAGAGCGCAAAATCCCCTAAACAGCCCCGTTCAGGGACAAAATCTAAAGGTCAAAGGAAAACTAAAGGAAGACAACTCATTGGCATGCAGCCCTTGAGCCCTCCTTGCCTGGCACATGATCTCTCCCAAAATGGTGCAGAAGATCACAATCAGGATACCCTCCTTGCTGGAGGTACCTCCCCACCTGACCGGTAGAGCCTCAGCTCGAGTTGGAGGAACTTGAGTCATTGCACCGATCTGGAGACTAATGTCAGCCCCAAGGCCTTGCTCACTCCCCAACTGAATGTAGTTGTGCTGCCCATGGAGGCCAATCCAGAGATGTGTCCTCTGTCAGTACTGAGGGCTCAAGATCACCTCAGTGAAAGCCACCCTCTGATACCAAGAGCTCAAGATGAACTCAGAGAACGCTGCTGCTAAGATGACCACCATTCCCTGTGATACCGATGCCACTCACCATTAGCAGATTGTTGGACCTCACAGTCCCTCAGCGCACCTAGGGCTTCTCAGTACCACTCTTGGTCACAGTCACTTGACCCACGTGCCTATTATCCATATCCAGACTAGGGCTATCCTGCATACCCTCCACCTCTCCTGCTTATGCAAGGTATGGCAGATGTTACCATGCAGACTGTTACCACAACAGGGAACAAATCCCTGATTCGGGCTCAAGAAGCCCATCGGTTCCGACTGCCATAGTTTCTCGCCCTCTCAAAGAAAGTCTCCCACTTCTACCTGCAGTGGCCTCTGCAACAACGCCTGCTCAGTCCAGTCATGTGGCCCAGCCCCAGCTAACCTCAGCTCTCCCTAGCAGGAAGGCAAAGAGGAGCATGATCACACCTACTCCCCCAACACCTGGGCCGCATGTAGACCCAGAGCCCGAACCCCTCCTCAGATGATTTCAAAAACTTCTCAGCCCTCATCAGGATGGCAAGAGCCCTCAATTTGCCTATCCCACAGCCCACAACAATGGTAGACGACCTCTGCTTTCCTTCCTCAGAGCAGCAGACCTCTACAACTACAATATTGTCCCCACTACCTTACTTGCTCCAATTAATTAAAACATCTAGGGTGTCTCCTGCCCTGTTCCCGGCCACTCCAAAAAGAACAGAAGGCCTATATTGAGTGGACCTTTCTTCAGCTTCCTGGTTGACCAAACAACCCAAAGCTAACTATAGTCACTGAAACGCAACTACGTCTCTCCCAAATAAACCAAATCTCACCTTCAGACAAGGAAGAGAAAAAGCTTGACACCATGACAAAAAAAATTATTTGCAGGTTGCCTCTTTGCGCGTATGGTGCACTATGGTGTCTATATGAGTGTGTACCAAAACTTCCTATGGGGCAAGATTGCACTATACCTGGGCATGCTTCCTGCAAGCGAACAAATAGTAGTCAAGGCATTCAAGCAGGACCCTTGCTCACTAGTGAACTTGCAAAAGGAGCTTGCCAAAAACACCATAGACTGCCCCAGCAAGGTCCTTGCTGGGGCAGTAGCCTTACGACGCCATGCCTGGCTTCGGGCAACAACGCCATGCCTGGCTTCGGACTCTGTTACCATCATTGTGTATATTTATAGAAGACCTGCCTATGGACGAAGCCAGCCTCTTTTAACCTCAAGACTGATTTCTACCTCAAACATAAGCATAAGATGAAGCAGACCGCTAACAAATGCCTGGGAGCTGATAGCACTGGAGAAGGCCCTCCGAGTATAGTTGCATCTGCTCACAGACCACGTCCAGCTGATAACAGACAACACAGCTGTGAAATGTAATATAAACAAACAAGGAGGAACCCACTGCAACCCTGGTTTGCCCCTCTCCTATGGGCATGGAAGGGCGAGCACCTCCACCTGACATCCAGCCCTGATCACCTCACAATTCAGAACGGCCTCATTTGTCATCCCGATATGATGTCCCTCTGCCTAACAACATAGAGGATCAGACCACAGCCTACCTCTCTGATGCAGTCCAATGAATAATCCAAGCAGCTCAAAAGGTCTCTACCAAAAGAGCACATAACTACAAATGGTCTTGCTTCAAAGAATTCGCCCAACCCTTGGGGCATGACACCTTCACAGCCCCAACTTGTACGGTACTTATTGGTACATCTCTCCACGAAGGGCCTCTCCCTGTCATCTATCAAGTGTTATTTTGCGGTGCTTCCCTGGTATAGCAAGAAGATGGGACAACTATCTCCTTTCCGGGACCCCTTGACACAAGTACTCCTTAAGGGCTATAAAAATGTCCATCCACCAAGCTCTCTGCCCCCGCTGGCCTGGAGCCTGGAACTTGTCCTGTCACAACTGTAGAAACCACCATTCGAGTCAATGGCTTCTAACGATCTTCCTCACCTTTCTTGGAAGAGCGCATTCCTGGTGGCCATCACATCAGCCAGATGAGCCAGCGAACTTGCAGCTCTCCAGGCAGATGCCACTTACATCTGGTTCCATGAGGATAAAGTGGTTCTTCGAACGAATGTGACTTTACCCCTAAGCTGGGATCACATTTTCATATGTGCCAAGACATCACTCTACCTACCTTCTTTCAGAAGCCATCTTCACCTCTGGAAGTGGCCCTCCACTCCTTGGATGTTAAGAGGGCTTTGGCATTCTTTGTACACAGAACAGTTCCCTGAGACTTTTCCTTAAATATCAGAAAGATGCTCTGGGGCTACCAGTGTCCTCCCAATGCCTCGCTTCTTGGGTCATCTTGACAATCTGCCTTGCCTACCAGCTGGGAGGTCAAGACCTGCACACTCAACCAGATCATTGTCCACCTCTTGGGCATTCTTACAAGGTGTTCCTGTTGAAAACATTTGCAGAGCAGTAACATGGATGGCGCTCTCATTTACTGTGCAATATAAATTGGACATCTTCCAAAGAAGGACACTGCCTTCAGCAGGACAATTCTGTTCTCCTGTGTGGCATGACCTACCTCCAAGATTAGTAGCTTGTCAGTCACCCATATGTTCACAGACTCCACAAAGAAATAGGAAGGGTCGCTTACCTGTAACTATATTTCTTTGAGTGGTAGTCTATGAAATTTGTACAGCCCCACCCATCCTCCCCTCTTGTATCATACCTCGACACCTAAGTTACAATCTAGCAACCAGGAACTGAGGCTCAGCCTCACCACAGGCTTATACAATACTTGGGGAGTGTGGGTGGGGACTCCACCAAAATATTTCAATGCTTAAGTTCTAGAATGGTCTGAAAAGCTGCACATGCGCAGTGAAACCCATATGTGCAAATTTCACAGACTACCACTCAAAGAAATACAGTTACAGGTAAGCAACCCTTACATATTACCCTTGGATATATCCAAATGACGTTTCTAAATTGCAATCAAGACATTTTAATAGGTTTGCGCTGGGGAAACTGCACTTTTGAGACACCTCTTTCTCACCCGTTAAAATGCGAAAGGAAAAAGAATAAAGGGATAATTTCAGTTTGTAGCAAGCTATCCTAAATCCAGGTTCTGTGGACTGCTCTTTCCATCACTGAAGATATCTGAACCCTTCAGTATTTTGGGGATGGTAGAAATATTTGTTGCTATGTTGCTCCAATTCAACTGCAGCCATTTGCACCATCCAACCATTGGCTCTGTATGGTCCCCAGGAAGCAGTAGCCACCTCCATCTAGTTTTCCGGTGGCAAGAATGAAGTCTGATTCCCAACCTACTGTAATCATTAGCCTATTTAACCACACCTGACTTTATTACATATCACTTAAATACAAGATTCTGGGGTTTTTTTTTGCAGTATTCGGATAACAGGTGAGTTTGCATAACTATCCACTTCAAAAGTTAACTTTTCTGTGTTTTCATGTCCTTCAGCAGGCAGTTCCTCAAAAGGCTTCATGAGCAGTTGTCTCAAATCATAACATACAATTTAGTATTGGTAATCTGCCTTGAGGCACACTTCCTTCTAACAAGGAATCTGTGTCCATTCCTCAAAGCACCTACTTTATCCGAAGTGTGATATGTGAAAAGGCAGCTGTATGAGGCGGCTGGGGACAAATATTTCCTTTGTAAAGGTTTAGCCACAGAATGTAATCCTAAAAATACGGCTTTTGCAAAAATTAATTCTTCGGTTTTTGATACATAGACATGACTGCTTGGTGAATTTCTGGATACACCTATTCCATTTCCCTTGTGCTATATAGGCTTGTCACTAGGTATAGGAACATATTAAAGTAAAAAGAGTGCCTGTAAAAATAATGAATGTTTTTGATAACTCAGCATGACTGGGGGCGGGGGCGGGGGGGGGGGAGCTGTTCAAATAAATGAATTTGAAGCCCTGTCGCAGGTAGCCCACCTCTGTCTCATAAAACTAGATCTTGGTTGCTATAAGGACTCAAGACCCTAAGCTTATTATCTACCTCACTCTAAACCATATTGTTATCTGCTCTTGCAAGCACTGTCCAGGATATTAAGCAGATAAAAAGGTCCTTTCCCATCAACCCATGACTTGAAACTATCTGCACAGGAAATACCAGGAACAAATGTAGTCCAACTTACAAATTTGTTCTGGATCCCAAGTTCTCCCAAAGTTCTCAATCTGAAATCCCTCCAGATGTTAATGTAATGAGCAGCTTCAGAATTTTGAAAATTCGGGGTTATGTCTTAATTTACTTTAAATTGCTGTGTTTTAATATTAATATCATGTCAAAGCAGATTTTGTGGTATAGTATGAGTTATCATATGTGTTAGGACTATTTTTAATAATAAGTCAACCAGAAACTACATTTACTGACATCTACCAGTCCCCATGGGTTTTGGTTAACAGAGTCTGCTGTATTTTATATATTTTTGGGGGGGAGGGGGTGTTATCAAAAAAATCTCTGAGCTGAAAAGCTCAAAGGATTCAGGGGGATCCTATAGACCAGACCTGCACAAGTTGTCAGTGTAAAAGGGCCAACATTAAGTAGGCTAAGCCCCTGAGGTTCCAAATAGTTTGGCACCTCACTTTCCAAGTAAGGTTATGATTAAGATTATTGTGTACCTTCAAGTCATTTCAGACTTTGGGCAACTCAAAGGCAACTTCAACAGAGTTTTCTTGTCCATATTTATTCAAAGATGACTTGCCTTTGTCTTCCTCTCAGGCTGAGAGAATGTGACTTGCCTAAAGATACCCAGTTGGTTCAAAGCCACAATCCAAGGTTCAAATCAATAAATACACTGCTGATTTCCTTCCCTCTGTTTCCTGCCTTCCTTTTCCCCCCTCCCCATTCCTTCTATTTCTCCTGCTTATCTTTTTCTTTTTTCTTTCTTTCTTTGTGCCTTCCTCCCCACCTCCTTTTCCCCTCCGACCTCCAAGATGGATAGGAAGGAAAAGGGGGTGGGCTTGGCAAGCCGCACCAAGGCCTTATGAGGGCCACATGTGGTCTGTGGGCCTGCTCTACACTACTGAGTCCCCTCAAAGGGCTGCATGGATCCTAGATAATTCCTATTTCTGCTTCAAAATACTCGGGATTCCCAAGTATTTCAATTACATTATAGTTTACCGATAGCAATTGATTTTTTAAAGCAAAAATATCCCCGAACGCAAAATATTTATGTTCATTGTTTTAACAGCAGCATACCCAGTGTTATGTGTCTTGACATTCTGGATTAAAGGAATAAACTTTAAAAATACTTGTGTTTGTAAATCCTTTGGTTGAAATTACTTATATTTTTAGCTCTTGATCGTTGCAAGAATAGGAAGCATCTGACATTTTATGCCCATGATTCATATTGCTCTGTGTGAACAGGCCATGGTGCTGGAGGAAGGAGGGTGGAGAAGCATTTTTCATCACCTCCACCATGAAGTGCCTCCCTCAATCTGCTCTGGATGGTCATAACAGTTGTGGAGGGAGGAGGATGGGAATAAAAAAACAAAACCCTTTCCAACAACAGGATTCTCCACTGGTTCTTGGTCCTTCACATAAATATATAAGAGCTTCTATTTGCCAAAGGACAAATCTGAATTCGACTCACAATAGCATCTTGCAGCTTTATCCAAATGTCACTCTGAGATAATTGTTTCTTCATGCACAGAAAAACACATTATTTCTGTACTCTGAGATTTGCATGAGCAGACGCCTCTTTAATTTGACTACAGCTTTTCTGCAAAATATGCCCCCGAAGCCTCCAAGCTACAAGGTAAGATTTTAGCTATTATATCATCTGTCTGACTGCTCATTTTTTGGATTCTGGAAAAATCGTACAGTCATGATTCCTTGACAGGCTTTTCTTCTAAGGTTTCTGTTGCTGGATGCAGCGTTATCTGATAAGATTCTCTACTCTGATGAACTACCTTGTATCATTATTTTTTTTAAATCACACTATTTTTTTTCACAAAGAATTCACTTTGGAAAAGGATATCTTTTCCAAAGAGTACAACCTATCCAATATTGATGGTTTCTTTTCAAAAACCAGACATCTAAAAATGAATCTAAAGGCTTTTTTGTTAGTAACTCTGGAAGATCAACTTTTAAAAATGATTATTGAAAGGGGTCTTTTGTAGAGCAGTGCTTCTCAACCTTTAGGTCCTCAGATGTTTTGGCCCTCAACTCCCAGAAAGCCTAACAGCTGGTAAACTGGCTGGGATTTCTGGAAGTTGTAGGCCAAAACACCTGGGGACCCATAGGCTGAGAACCACTGCCTTGGAGGCTAATTTAGAGAATGAAGTTGGTAACATAACCTTTCATAGATGTCTGCATACACAAGTCTACTCAAGTTTATGCTACCAACTTCTTTCTCAAGTGAGTATCAAAAATCCCTTTGCATTCTGATATTCCAGACTAACATGGCCATGTCTTTGGATTAAAAAATAATGTCTTTACAGGAAACTATTTCTGCCCCAAGACTACTTTCATATATTAGTAAGTCTTCTAGCACAAATGCATAATGTCATCTGAAATGTCTGAAGTATAAAACTTGCTTTCGGTGTTCAAACTTCCATACTATAGGAAAATGTCAGCAACAATGATTCAACTGTGCCATTAGAAATCCATGCAGAAACAATCTGCTTATTTACATATATAACTTCAGAAAGTCTATCTGCATGATTACATTCAAAGTTGATAGTATGACACATACCAGACGATAATAAGCAGGCTCAAATGTCAAAACAACCAAACGACTTATCAAAGAAGGCGGAGTACACTAACACCTCTACAGTAATGTTTTTAAAAAATACAAATACCATTTTAACATGTCATAAATAAAGACAATGTAGCATTTAATATAAAAATTGTAACAAAATCATTCTAACAACACAGTACAATTAAATATATGATTCACTTAAAAGAAAACAAAAGTTTTGTATATTGGGAGATTAAAAAGAATCAAGGTGCATTCTGAGCTACAAAAATGGTGCTTTTACAGTTGGCGCCTTTAAAAAAAACCACAAGTCCCAAAGGAATGTAATGTCTTGATGCAGCATGTGAGGATATAAGGCACTTGCCATTGGTGTACCTTTTAAAGAATATGGAGAGCACACGGGATTCTTGGTCCATCAGTATCCTCCACCTCTTCGTTCCAGGGCAGGCAAATGGTACTGTTTCACAGGAGATTTAAATTCTTTCTGTTTTTCAGACTGTTGAAGAGACAATAAAAGTTATAATGGCCTGTAATTTGCCTCTGTAAAATTATATGTAATCTGACAAGGCAAAATTACCTTGTGGTGTGTCCCAAAATATGTTATAGGCTGCAACAACTGGACTTGTCTGTTGGTTGCTGGGAGGGTAAAAATTGACTGAAATGTAGGGTTAGAGTAAGAAGTCAAGTTGTTGACTGCAGGGACTGTCACTTTTGGCAACTCTACTGCATAGGGAAGTCCATGAAGTCCCAATGGATACTCCTGGGTTTGCCTAAAGTTCTTTTTGAAATATAAAAGCACAGGTTCATTTTTTTTACAGAATTAGCACTTTGGTATGCCAAACGTCTGTTACCACTCACAGATGGCCCTCTGCTGTTGCCCCATGCTAGTCTGCATATGTGCAAATACATGCATGTGTCATGTTATGGATACATGCATGTGTCATGTTATAATGAAACTAAAACATGCATAGTAGTCTTGACATGTATTTAGAATCAAAGCAGGAACAAATACATCTAGTCATTCCAATATTTTTGAAGAAGTGGAGGGTCGGGTGAAGCATTGGCTTGACATGTGGTTCCCAAGCCTGTTTTTACATCCCTTAAACAGACCCAAAACTTTTTTCTGTTGGACAGAATATTTCCTGGAGTAGCAATTTTTCTTTTAAATTACTTGTTGTTTAACATATTTTAGAAAAACTGTTTTCAAATAGATTAGTAAAAACCTAATGAAGAAAAACATATCCATGCCAAAAGTGGGTAACAGGGAAACAATTCAGTATGCTTCACTGCCATAATTCTAGAAGAGGAACAAACATTCCAGCTAAGTCTGAAACAGACTCAATTTGAATCATAGGGTTGGAAGAGACAAGGAATATCCAATCCAACCCCAATATTCCTTCAGGAATACACAACGCACTCTTGACAGATGGTCTTCCAGCCTTTGTTTAAAAATCTCCAAAGGAGGAAACTCCACACTCCATGGCAACATATTTCACTGCCAAACAGCTCCTACCATCAGAACACACTTCCCAATGTTTTAAGTTCAAATCCATTGCTCTGTGTCTTAATCTTTAGACCAGCAGACAAGCTAGCTTCATGTTCAGTATGATAGCCTTTGAAAATTTCTCTTTACCGTCTCTTTTCCAAGCGAAACATATGCAGATCCCAAAACTGCTTTTCATATAGCATGGTTTGCAATTTTTTGGTTTGGGCAGCTTTCCAATCTACGAAGGTAATTTTGGATTTTGATCTTGTCCTGTGAGGTATTAACTATCTCTCTCAATTTGGTGTCATCTGCAAGTTTGATAAGCATGACTTCTATTGTCGAAATCATTGATAAAGATGTTGAATATCTCAAGGCCTAGGACAGACCCCTGGAGCACCCCACTGGTCACTTCTCTCCAGGATGAAGAGGAGACATTGGTGTTTAGCTTTTGAATTACAAATCCACCTAACTGTAGCATTGTGTAGCCCACATCTTACTGTCTTGTTTACCATAATATCATGGAACTTAGCCGAAGGGCATACTGAAATAAAAGTATGCTATATCCATAGCTTTCCTTTCTTCTACCATGCTTGTAACATTATCATGTTGATGTTGAGCGATTATAGTTCTTACATACTATATGTTTAATGATGCAAATATTTTCTTGAATTGATATCAGGATGACTGGATGGTAATTGTTTGGGTCTTCTTTTCCCTCCTTTCTGGTAATTCTCAAAGATTTTGAGATTACGTCTTCCAGTTATTTTAATACAGGCCCTAGAGACTTGAATTCATTTAGAGTTGCCAGGTATTCCTGTATTAGCTTTTTATGAATTCTGTGCTGCATTTCCCCATCTGCATCATCTGCTCCATTTCCGGTTTGTTAAGCACTTTTTTTCCTTTTGGTAAAACACCAAGGAAAAGTGTTGAGTAATTCTGCCTTTTCTCTGTCCTGTTAGCATTTTGCCATTTCCACACATTGGCTCTACCATCTCCTTAGGTTTTCTTTTGCTTTTCATTGTTTTTAATCTCTCAGTCTGAGATTGTTCTGTACATCACTTTTCTGACTTTCTTCTTACACATACCATTTGTTAGAATTCCTCTTCAACAATTTATCCCTTTCTTGTGTGGATCCCTTTTAAATCTTAGCTCAATTTAAACTTCTTTTGTTGTCCATCCTGGTTTCACTAGACACCTCCCATTTTTCTTCCTAACTGGAACTATTTGAAATTGTGCCTTTGCTTTTTTCACTTTTAAGAAGCATTTCCCCATCATGAATTCTCTTCTCTTTTAGTGTTCTTGGCTACGTAACTGCAACTCGTTTTCTCCTAATTTTTACTGAAGTCAGCATTCTTAAAGTCTAGATATTATGTCACACCATGCTTGATTTCTCCCTTCTACTGTATAACAACCTCAGGAGAATATGGTCATAAAATCTGCCACCTCCATAAAATGTTTTAGGAACTAGTAAATGGGTGTTTAGTTGGTGCTTCTGGAATAATTCTGTGATTAATGAATATTGGTTATATTAGCCTGGGTATAAGTTCAAATTTGTTCAGATAATAATCTTCAGAAAATGTGTAAGTAACGTATTCAAGTGTGGTTTCATTGCATGCTGTTACATGGTTACTTCAAAAACTGAATGCTGTGCTACCACACTACACTATTGAGTTATTCCAGCCTATAATTATGATAGTGTATTTTTGCAAAGCTTTGTTGAGCCTATGTGTTGCACGTAGACAGGCGATGTTAGTATATAGCAAAAATTCTCACCAATCATGGAAGCTTCTGATGCAAGAATCTTAAAACATGTTCCACCTCTCTGGTTCCGTTAATCAAATCTGACACAGGACTATTCTGTTGCAAGTCAAAACAGCACTAGTTAAATAGATTTATTTGTCTTTGATTTAAAGATTACCTGCCTTTGATCCTCCTTTGCAATACGCCGCAAGCTGAGAGACTCTCTTTCTAATGGATTTTCTACTAATCTCATTTTTCTGCGCATGGCCTGTTTCTCTGCCCACCTGTTCAGTGCAAAGCCAGACAAAACACCAGATACAAAAATTGAAATCCATTCATATCAGCTCGAGAGTCAAATCATCATAACATGGTCAGTTTCCCAGTTATGCTAAATAATTTAAATATAGCTGTTAACTACCTAGAACTTGTGAGTTATGTTTTTGTTTAGATGCTGTAAATAGTAGTCACACTTCTACTGAAAGGTTGGAATCATTTCTAAATCCAGGTTAATTGTTCAGTTCCTGTCAAACAACTGGGACTCTCTGCTTACCTCAGTTCTCTGAAGTAAGGATGCTGTAATGCTTCGTGGGCACAAATTCTCTCATCGGGATCATATTGTATCATTGCATATATAAGTGAAAGGCTCTTATTGGATAGACTAGGCATAAATGGAGAGATTCCTTTCCCTTTTCTTATTGGAAAGTCAAAGCTCATCACTCTTGACCTGCATTAAGCCAGCAAAAGAATTTTATTGGTTGAGGAAGAGAAACACTAGATGTTACACATCAAACCTTTATAGTTGAAGACACATTTGTTCTTCATTCAACCACTCCACTCTTTCAAGGTTACTCCAAGCATTCCCCATTCCAGCCAATCTCAATTAAAGTACGGTTTTTTTACATCAGAAAAGGCACTGTACAATCATTTCCTTCAATACACATGTAAGAAAGAAGAAAATAAGTCTGGATTTGGTTCTTCATCAATTACTGATAACATGGTGAGATGATGCAGGCTTGGCAGAAATAAAATAGCTCACCTTTAGAATTTACAGTATTAACATAATCGTCACTCCACTGAGGAAGTCTAGGCAGGTATCCTTGCTTGTTCCACAAGCAGGTGAAGACCTTTTTGTTTTGGCAGGCCTTTGGGGACATGGCTGTTTAGGAAAACAGGCCTTGCATAATGTGCTACATTTCCTATTTGTTGGGTTTTTTTATTGGTGTATGGTCTTGGAAGTGGAGTGGGCTGGTCAAAAGACAACCTGACAAAATGGCACTACCTAGAAGAATCCTCCACCTTGTTTAACTGTGGAGCAGAACAAACTCCGCATTTGTATGCTTGTCCACAATGTCCTGCCTCATGTACAGAGGAATAATTGTTTAAAGCTATAGACAATGCAGTCGCTGTTGCCCGTTTTTGGTCAAAAAATATTTATCCACTTGGGATCCTTCTTTTTTATCAGTTTTATACTTATTTATGCAATGCTTTTGATGCAAAATGAATAAAACTGATTTATGGTTTCAGCTGGTTTTACTTTTTTAATAGTTCTAACTACATTTTAAACTTTTTGTTTGCTGTGGGCTTTTGGCCACATTTGTTTTAACTGTGGTTAGCAACCCGAGTAAATAGGGATAATGGTGGTGGTTTCTGTGATTCATACAAGTGAATCTTTTACCTATACTGAGCCATGGCAGGAACATTTTAAAAGTTAGTAACCAAAACTGATCTCCAGATATTCTCAACCTCTGTTTGATCTTTACACCTAATATGTTTATATACCTATATGCCTGGGGTCATGCAAGACGCCTCTGGCAGAAAGGGTTGTGAGTACAAAGGGTTTAAGAAGCCCTGATTTAAGGTATATAGGTAGAGAATGTAATCATTGGAGTAGAAACAGGATATATATCTGCTGAAAACTAGAAAGGAGTTACAGATGCCATCTTGTCTGAAGAGCTTTGAGCAGAAATTACTCTGCTAGTTACAGCACACTTCTGCAATGAAGCAAGCTCAAAGCTTATCTTTAAATAGAAAAGTAGATGCCAAATAATCTAATATATTCATAAAATGATCTCAATCTCTCGTATGACTATGTAATGAACTCTGATGAAGTAGGGCACAGGCTGCACTAAATTTCAAAGCCTAATGCATCTATAAGCTGGTAGATAATATAAAACGGAAACTTAATGACAGAAGGAATGCACTGTTAAAATTGAGAAGCTACGTTATACTTACTGCTTAAATTTATTAAGGACCTTCATGGGGGGAGTACCTATAATTTCATGGATTTTTGATATTTGGTCCAGTTCGTTAGATCCAGGGAAAAGAGGGTGGAAACTAGAAACAAAATCAGGAATTGAACTGGTAAGTAGTGAAAATTACACACCAGTAGACAAATCTAAGCTTTTGTTGTGAAGATAACTGTTCATTTTCAATCTTAACTAGTATTATTGAGTTACCACAACATTTTAACTATAATGTTACGGTGGTTGTCATTTTGGGTTGCTTTGTGTTTTCCAGGCTGTATGGCCATGTTCCAGAGGTATTCTCCCCTGATGTTTCACCCACATCTATGGCAGGCATCCTCAGAGATTGTGAGGTCTGTTGGAAACTAGGCGTGAGGTTTATATATCTGTGGAATGTCCAGTGTGAGAGAAAGAACTCTTGACTGCTTGAGACAAATGTGAATGTTGCAATTAGCCACCTTGATTAGCATTGAATGGCTTTGCAGCTGCAAGCCACTTGCCTAATTTCCAACAGATCTCACAACCTGTGAGGATGCCTGCCATAGATGTGGGCAAAACATCAGGAGAGAATGCTTCTGGAACATGGTCATACAGCCAGGAACACTCACAGCAATCCAGTGATTCTGGCTATGAAGGCCTTTGACAACACGGTTGTCATCTTGTTTTGGCATCAAATATGAGAAGACAAAGAGGACTACTAACTATAGACTCCCTTCAGGGAGCTAGAGCAGAATACAAATAAAGTTTTATTATTATAACATACAATGCTCAGTCAGCGTCAATCCATACATTTATACAGCCCAGTAAAGTTTGTTAACTGGCAAAAGTTCTTGATTATGTGCCCTTAAGGCTGCGCTATTAGTGGTGCCAGACACTGAATCTGGAGTCTTTTCCACACTAAGCATGTGCTGTAGCGCTTGAGTGCAGGTTCTCCTCAGTGTTTATCATGTTTGAATAATTCTAACATCTGCACAAGCCTGATCTCAGTGTGGATGTCTCTGTCATTGAAAAGGTCAGACTATCTATTCTTTACAGATAAGTAATGTACCTTGCAATTTCATAAAACACACAGCCAGCGCTCCAGATGTCCATTTTGTAGCTGTAGTAGCCATCTGTCAGAAGACATTCAGGCGCCCTGTACCAGCGAGTAGAGATGTATTCTGTATATGGCTGTTTGGAATGTATACTCCTACAGGATCCAAAATCCCCTAATTTGAGACGGTCCTGCTGCAATAATGTAAGTTTTACATCTCAAATGAAAAGACATTCAGATAAAATTTAAAAATTATTTTAAAATAACAGTATTTTAATGTTTTTAAAATGATCTTTGTATTGCTGTAATTGTTTTCTTATTTGTTGCCTCGGAAGCCCTTCTGGGCTGGGGTCTGATAAAGACGTATTTTAAATACATACATACATAATTAATAAATAAACTAGAGATCAGATGGAAGCCTTCCTTCCCTCTCTCATTGTGTTGATGCTTGGGACATGCATTACTTCTGAATTAACTGTACGTGCAATAGCATCTATTCAAATCTTAATCACAACTAAAGCAGACCCCTAAATCAAAGGAAATTTGATTAGGTCAGCACTTAAGTGCAATTAATTCAATTTTGGACTAACAACTGAACTCAAGCTAGTATCTGCAATATTTGGAAGACGTGAATATAGATTTGAAGACTACCACTTCAGAGAGCTGCAAGAAAAAAAACAGGTTTGCCACTTTGGAATAAATTAAAACAGATTGGCCTGGTTGATAGAAGGTATCTTACTTTTCTTTGCCAACTGGAACTGAAAATATTTGAGCATCCTAAATCGAAAAGCAGGGACATCTGAATCTTGTTGATCACAAAATTATGAGATTAGAAGCAAAATGTATTTTTTTAATCCTGGAACTAAAACAAAAATGAGTTTTACAACTTTCTCAAGTGTGGAAACCTGATGGTGGAATTCCTTCCCTTTGGAGGACCAATTGGAGCCGATGTGGTACTGGGTGAATTCTGGAATCAACTAAAAACTCCATGTTTTAACTTTTACTATGAGGTCTAACTGCTTTATTCCAAAAATGGCCATTATTTTACACTTTTCTTCCTCTTTAACCCAATTCAATCTGAAAAATAATTTCAAACATTTATTTATTTGTTTGTTTGTTTGTTTGTTGTTCGAACTTATATGCCGCCACTCCCCTGGGGCTCGGAGCGGCTTACAAGAATGGCTAAAATCTAACACAATTTAAAAACAATTTAAAAACAATTTAAAAACAGCAATATCAAAAACCAAAGGCCTGTCGAAACAGGTATTTCTTACATGCCCTGCAGAAAGCTGACAAGTACCGCAAGGCACGGACTTCAGGTGGCAGAGTATTCCAGAGTGATGGTGCCACTGCTATAAAGGCTCTGCGTCTGGTTGCTGTTAGATGCAAGGTCTTGACACTGGGAATTTCCAATAGATCTTGGTTCTCAGAACGAAGGGATCTCTGGGGTTGGTAGGGGGTGAGGCGGTCCCTCAGGTACATCAGCCCCAGACCATGCAAGGCCTTAAAGGTGAGTACCATCACTTTGAAAGTCTTATAACATTATTCTTATTCTATATTTTCCCTATATGCTCCCTTGGGTTCCTATTATATTTGCAGAGATAGTATAATGAAATTAAAATGCTACAGGCTGCATTTCAGATGAAAGAAATGGCAAAACCAACTCTGAGCATTCCTTGCATAAGAAAACCGTATGAAATTCAGTCAGCACAACTTGATAGAGAATTCTTACCTTTATTAATATATTCTCTGGTTTCACATCTCTGTGAAATATTCCATTCCTATACCAAAAGAGGATTGGAGAGGAGGATGAACTAAGTATAATCCAAGACGGGAATGATTTACAGTTCTTTCCCCGCCCCCCCGCCCCCCTTTTTTTTTTCTACCATTATCATTCCAAAATAGTTTTTCACGTTTCCCTTGTAAAGCCATCCCTGAGGGCTGGAGGATTTCCCAAAAAAGGCAACTGATGTGCTGTGAGAAACTACCTAGAAGGAAAACATCCATCCCTCTTCTACCACAAGCTTCCTCCATATGTTCACACAGCATCTTAGATTGACTAATGGGACTCTCCAAATACTAGCGCAATTAACAATACATTTGGGGAAAGAGTGAGAGAAAAACACAGAAGGAAAAACAGGACTGTCCTACCTGTGCATGTGATCAAGAGACTTGAATAACTGGTACATATAACTCATTATTCTCCTTTCAGGCAATGGCTTTTTTCTCTCTAGAATTTAGAATAATCAAATGAAAATATGGGAGTTTAATATAAAAGGTCACTTCAAGATAGCTTGTCATTGGCTAATTTTTGAATGCTGTTATGAGATTTTCTACATATGAATTGAGGTACCATTTGTGTTTTCTAGCATTGGTGGAAAGTGCAGCAGTCAGTATGCTTTCTGGTATATGTTTTCACCCCATATTAAACTGGATAGAGATCTATACACTGCCTTTTTGTTTGAAAGTGGTTTTTTTTCTTACGTAATAAGCTCTACGCTACTTGAAAACCAAGTCTCCCATATAAAACTTCCTGAAAGTTAAGGTCAGCGTTGGATCCTCTGTTCCTAAAATATCATTGAAAAAGGAGGTTTATTTGGTGGGAACATGAGAAGATTGCTTTTTGTGGCATAACACACTTTATGGAATTCTGTCCTGTAATATTTTTAAAAGCATCTTTGCCTGACAAGGAAGTCAGTAAAACTTTGAAAGTTTGCATGACATATTGAGTTGGCCAATAAAAAATATTGTGGGAGCTATTGTTCAGAAAAATACCATTTTCCACATAGAAGTAACATCTCTGTATTCTAATCCCTTATCTGCTTTCCTTAATATTACAAAGTAAACAGTCAATTTCCAATAAGAGATATTGTGCCTGTCCATGCAAGGTTTTTCCGCAGCTACAAGCACCATGTGATCTTCACTATATTCTATTTATTATTTTGGGATGTATTCAACATTCAACTACACTTCTGCATTATTGAATACATGGAATGTGACTAAAGGATCCTTCTGGAGAAAGCATAATCTACATACCTTTGATCAGTTCATAAATGTTCTTGTCCATAAGTTCACATATTAATGCAAGAGCACCAGATTTCTTGTCACTAAAGAAAAAAAAAGTCTGATTTAATATAATGTTATGAAAGAAAGAAAAGTAAAGGCTTTAATAATCTGGGGCGGGGAGGTTGGAAGTGATCTCTCACACAGAAAAACAGATATAATATTATAGTATTATAGATACTAGATTTGGTATTATAGTATAAACGGCTCATCTTTGGGAACATGGCATAAGATGTCCCTCCATAATTACAAATGCAACACTTTCATTCTTGGACATCTAACTGCTTTTTTCTTATACTATTGGTGTTTCCATTTCAGTTCCACAGTTTTATTCTGGTGTGGGTGGAATAAAACTGATTTATTTTTTAATATATGTACACATGGCCTCTGTAGAACATGTTAATTAATAAAAATGAAGGATATCATATTAAAGAAATACAGTCTCAGCATTTCCACATTTTCCATACCCTATCAAAAACAACAACAACTTTATTTCTACGCCGACCTATCTCTGAAAAGGGATTCAGGGCGGTGTACAACAAAAGATTGGCAAACATTCAATGCCTGAGAAACATAACATAATAAAGCACTTAATAAATCTAGTAGACAACATCAGAATATACTTATAAGACAACTTGATAGCAAGTGAGAAATTTAAATATCCAAAGTAAAATAATTGGGACACATTTCTCTAATGTCTCTAATAATGGTCAGAGATAAAGAACAGATTGAATTTCATCATTCCAGAGAAAAATAGAGAGAATTTTGCTTCAAATTAGTTTTATTCAGATTAAGACTTGTTGGGAAAGTTAAATAGCCATTAAATTCAAGAGAAGAATACTCAGGATTGCAAAAGGAAAGAACTCATGTGGACTTACAAAATCACTTCATACAATACAAGGATATTTGGGTGTGGATTCAGTCGCCTTAAGGCTTGTATTTCCCTCAGATTGTTCACATGGTCAATACTAAAAAAGGAGTTAAAATGAGAAGATCAGGCTACAGCAAGGTTATAATTCTCTCGTTAGACATTCTTACACCCACCCAAATTCAACATGATCTCCTTTTTTATTCAATACACAGCACACACAGGCTATATATAATTCTCGAAGTCATCTGAGATGCATGCCCATGGTTGTATGAGTACACTAGGACCTTCTAATGGTCTTACTTCTCTAAAACCTTCTCCTACTGTACTGGAGGATTTTTATGATTTTAAAAATGTTTTAATAGTTCTCAATGGCATGGAGGCTGGGGTCCATTCACAGGGAGGACGTTATTTGTAGCCATCATCTCTCTTACTTCTGATAGTGGTGACATGTGAAACAGAGTTTCAAAGGAATGTGTTAATGCACAAACAAATGTATGCAACAGATGGTTTTTGGTTTCTGCTACTCCCTTCATGATCAAGAAGGGCAAGCTTGTATGTATATAGTCATGTCAGACAAGCTCAGTGTGAAGAAAAGTCATGATTGCAACATGCCTCTTCTTCTTCCAAGACATCCACAGCATATTACTATTTCACTTGTAATATTCAGAATCCCATGTTAAATCAAATGTTTATGAAGATCAAAGAAATATTTAAATATGATAGTTCAATTTTTTAAAAAAATAACATACAAAATGCAGCTATACCTACCTTTCAAAGTGTTGTTTCATTTGTTTACATGCATAATACTGTCCACCTTTCAGACTTTGGACCTTCAGAACATCAGAAAAGGTTCCCTCTCCAATCTTACCAATTGTTTTGTATTCTACAAAAGTCAGTTTTTTAAAAAAGAAAACAAAATTTTAGGTTAGATGGCATGCTTAATTTCCTTAGGATAATTTTAATTACATTTTGCTTCCTAAAATAAATTTTAAATTATGGTTTATTAATTCAAATCACACACTTCTTTCCTGCCTAGAAGCATGACAAATACCGCCAATCTATACTACTTATTACTGTACCTCTGAAAAGTTAAGATTTCTTAAGGATTGTGGAAGTGGAGCTTTTATTATGCAGTATTAAATGAAAACTTTAATTTTATCTGACATTTGGGCCCACTGAAATAACTGCTGGAGGCTTTTCAGAGATTAATGACATCTCAGATTCTTATTAAATCAAGGGGGGGGGGGGGGGGAGGATAATCATTTTTCAATAAATCAGTTAGAAATACTCTCTTTATACCAAAAATCCAGAATATAGGTGGATGCTCAATTTTCCTGTCCATCTTAATGTAGAATACACTTAATATTCCAGATATCAGGCAGTTTCACACTAGTCAGCCTTCATATTTGCTGGGGATAAGGGCACTGGACCCCTATGAAAATTAAAGACAATAAATGCATTTCTTATTTTTTATCTAAGAGAATAACCCTATAGAAATTTCTAAATCCAGTATGTTTCCTACAACTGCCAGAAATCCCAGCCAGTTTACCAGCTGTTAGGGTTTCTGGGAGTTGAAGGCCAAAACATCTGGGGAACCACAGGTTGAGAACTACTGATCTAGAGATTCCTGCAGAGGCATTCTGTCTAGAAATCTCTGTCTTCTGGCATGATTGAAGGAAGCTAACATTAGAATCACACTGGAGGATCTAGAGTGCCTAGTAAAACATATGACTACTGTACCATAGGTAAAGGTTTTCCCCTGATATTAAGTCCAGTCGTGTTCGACTCTGGGGATTGGTGCTCATCTCCATTTCTAAGCTGAAGAGCTGGCATTGTCCGTAGACACCTCCAAGATCATGTGGTGGCACGACTGCATGGAGCACTGTTACCTTCCCGCCGGAGCGGTACCTACTGATCTACTCACATTTCCATGTTTTCGAACTGCTAGGCTGGCAGAAACTGGGGCTGACAACTGATTCAAACCTGCGACCTTTCGGTTAACAAGTTCAGCAGCTCAGTGCTTTAACCCACTGCGCAACCGGGGTCTCCTTAATGGTGAATATAGGTTGCGTTTTTTAAAGATATTTTAAAATTGACTTTTTGCTTGCTTGTTTATGTAACATAACCCTTATCGAAGAGGGAACCAATCGCTTTGCTGAGTAGAATGGTGAAAGGCAAAAACTATTGGAAATGACAACCTTCTTCAAGCCTTCTCTAATAATGATTATCTATTATCCTGTTGCTTACTGTTTCCTGTATATATGTTCACAGTCTTCCCTGTTGTTTTGCTCTACGAGATGACCTGGCACAGAGAGTTATCTCAGACATATCTGAAACCGGACTTATAAGTTTTGTACCTCTGTATGCTGAACACATGAAGGTTGGGAGTAAACCAAGTACGTTATTTTTATCAAAGTCTACTTCATTTTTGTCTCTTGAGTGCATGATATAAAACAAGTTGTTTTATGGCAAAGAATGCACTGAAAAACACTTCTGAAACACTGCTGTTTTTTTATGCACTGGCAAAATCTCTGTTTTCCTAACAGACTTAGGCAATCCCTCGTTGTCCGAGTAGGATAGTCTTCCAGGAACAGTGTACTAGCAGTGGGTCCGTAGTTGACTGTGGAGCGCTATTCTTGATCTACATCTTCTCCTGCAGTCAGGGCATTGATTTCCAGGTGGAAGGTGGTCCTGGTCGGGATTGGCTTGGCGCGCCTTCCTCTTGGCATGTTTCTTTCGCCCTCCATATGTGCCTCTTCAAATTCTACAGCACTGCTGGTCACAGCTGACCTCCAGCGGGAACGCTCAAGGGCCAGGGCTTCCCAGTTCTCAGTGTCTATGCCAGAGTTTTTAAGGTTGGCTTTGAGCCTATTTTTAAATCTCTTTTCCTGACAACTAACATTCCTTTTTCCGTTCTTGAATTTGGAATAGAGCAACTGCTTTGGGAGACGGTGGTCGGGCATCCAGCCAACATGGCCGGTCCAGCGGAGTTGATGGCGGAGGACCATCGCTTCAATGCTGGTGGTATTTGCTTCTTCCAGCACGCTGACATTTGTCCGCTTGTCTACCCAAGAGATTTGCAGGATTTTCCAGAGGCAGCGCTGATGGAATCATTATTCAGTCTAACAACTGAAACCATTGCCTAGCATAATTATATCTGGTTATATACCAGGCATGGGCAAATTTTGGCCCTCCAGATGTTTTGGACTACGAGTTGTTAGGAATTGTGGGTGTTGAAGTCCAAAACATCTGGAGAACCCAAGTTTGCCCATGCCTGATATATATTCTACTAGTTGTACCCGTCATGCTTTGCTGTGGCCAACCTTCCCTCTTTCTCTCCTTCTTTCCCTCCTTCCTTCACTCCCTCTTTCCTTCCTTCCTTCCCGTTTTTTCTTCTCTTCTTCCTTCCTTCTCTATCTCTTTCCTTCCTTTCCCCTTTTCCTTTCTCTTCTGCTGTCTCTCTTTTCTTCCTTCTCTTTCCTTCTTTCCTTCCCTCCCTCTTTCTCTACATCTTCCCCCCTTCCTTCTCTCCCTCTTTCCTTCTTTCTTTCCTTCTCTCCTTCCCTCCTTCTCTAACTTTCCTTCCTTCCCTCTTTTTCTTTCCCTCCCTCTTTCTCTCCTTTCTTCCTTCTCTACCTCTTTCCTTCCATGATTCCTTCTCCCTTTCCTTCTTTCTTTCCCTCTCTCTTTTCTTTCTTTCTTTTCTCCCCTTCCCTCCCTCCCTCTTTCTTCCCCTTTTTTGTTATTGTCATTTAGCTTTTGGGGCCTTTTAAGTCCCTTCTGCTGTGTTTTTCAGTAATTTTATGAGTAAAGGTAAAGGACATACATTGGCTTGTTAGGTGTCTTGTGTCCAAATTTGGTGTCAATTCCTCCAGTGGTTTTTGAGTTCTGTTAATCCCACAAACGAACATTACAATTTTATTTATGTAGATTAGCCGTCCCCTGCCACGTATTGCTGTGGCCCACATGGGGGTTCTGTGTGGGAGGTTTGGCCCAATTCCATCGTTGGTGGGGTTCAGAATGTTCTTTGATTGTAGGTGAACTATAAATCCCTGCAACTACAACTCCCAAATGACAAAACCCCCTTTTTTTTTGAGTGAAGGACATACATTGGGTTGTTAGGTGTCTTGTGTCCAAATTTGGTGTCAATTCGTCCAGTGGTTTTTGAGTTCTGTTAATCCTAAAAACGAACATTACATTTTTATGTATATAGTCTAGCTGTCCCCTGCCACGCGTTGCTGTGGCCCACATGGGGGTTCTGTGTGGGAGGTTTGGCCCAAATCTCTCATTTGTGGGTTTCAGAATGCTCTTTGATTGTAGGTGAACTGTGAATCCCAGTGTCTACAACTCCCAAATGTCAAGGTCTATTTTCCCCAAACTCCATCTGTGTTCATATTTGGGCGTATTGAGTGCTTGTGCCAAGTTTGGTCCAGATCCATCATTGTTTGAGTCCACAGTGCTCTCTGGATGTAGGTGAACTACAACTCCCAAACTTAAGGTCAATGCCCACCAAACACTTCTAGTATTTTCTATTGGTCATGGAAGAACTGTGTGCCAAGTTTGGTTCAATTCCATCATTGGCGGGGTTCAGAATGCTCTTTGATTGTAGGTGAACTATAAATCCCAGCAACTACAACTCCCAAATGACAAAATCATAATGTTTTGGAGTGATGGTCACTCCTTGTGTTGTGAGACATTTTGTTGCCAAATTTGGTGTGATTTCGTTCATTGGTTCCTTTGTTTTTAAGGTACTCATTATGCACAGAACATTTTTTTATATATAGATAGATTACAACATTATCAGAAGCCCCTTCCTTCATACCATTTCCCACAGAAAGAAGCCAGACAAGGGGAGGAGATGCCCCGCCTCCTCCCTCTACCTTGGGCCTTATATTCAGTTTCATCCATTTCCCCAAAACAAAGGACGAAACCCAGCCCAGGCCTGCGACCCCCAGAGGGCCCCCTCCCCCTTACTGTTCATCCTCCGCCGGGTCTCCTTCCGGTGGGGAGGGGGCGCGGTCGCAGCACAGCCACAGTCTCTCCCCCTCCCCTCCTTCCTCCCTCTCTGCTTCGCCCTGTCAGCGCGCCATGTTGTCTTCCCCGTCACCCTGGCAACCCCAGCAGAGCGTCAGCCAGCCAGGCGCGCGCCACGCCCTGCCCTGCCTGTCAAAGGTCGGCGCAAGCGCAGTCACTCACCTCCGCCCTCGCCGACGATCGACTGCGGCAGGCCCAGAGAGGTCTTCATGCTCGCACTCGGTCTTCCCACCCGAACGCGACAGGTGTGCGCATGCGTACCGTCTCCTGCTCTCCTTTGCACGCATGCGCAGTCGTCCTCTAGGAAGGAAGCCTTTTGTTCTTAGTCGTTGGGTGTTTACTGGGCTGTCTGGCCATATTCCAGCAGCATTCTCTCCTGACGTTTCGCCTGCATCTATGACAGGCATCCTCAGAGGTTGGAAACTAGGAAACTATGCCTCTTCCACACAGTTGAATAAAATCCCACATTTTCTGGAATATATGGCAGTGTGGACTCAAGGCCCTTCCACACAGAAATATAACCCAGAATATCAAGGCAGGAAATCGCACAATATCTGCTTTGAGGTAGGTTATCTGAGGCCTCTTCCACACAGTTGAATAAAATCCCACATTTTCTGGAATATATGGCAGTGTGGACTCAAGGGCCTTCCACACAGACATAAAATCCAGAATATCAAGGCAGGAAATCCCACAATATCTGCTTTGAGGTAGGTTATCTGAGGCCTCTTCCACACAGATGAATAAAATCCCACATTATCTGCTTTGAACAGTATTACACATATGTTAATGTTAATACAATATAATAATAACAATACAATATAACAGTTATATTTTATATTACATGTAATATTACTAGTAATATTACAGTATAATGGTATAGTACAATATAAGGAGGAGAGCAATGTCCAGTCTCGATAAAATAGTAAAGAGTAGAGACATCAGACTGGCAACAAAGATCCGCCTAGTCAAAGCCATGGTATTCCCTGTAGTAACCTACGGATGTGAGAGCTGGACCTTAGGGAAGGCTGAGCGAAGGAAGATAGATGCTTTTGAGCTGTGGTGTTGGAGGAAAGTGCTGAGAGTGCCTTGGACTGCGAGAAGATCCAACCAGTCCATCCTCCAGGAAATAAAGCTCGGCTGCTCACTGGAGGGAAGGATACTAGAGACAAAGTTGAAGTACTTTGGCCACATCATGAGGAGACAGCAAAGCATAGAGAAGACAATTATGCTGGGGAAAGTGGAAGGCAAAAGGAAGAGGGGCCGACCAAGGGCAAGATGGATGGATGGCATCCTTGAAGTGACTGGACTGACCTTGAAGGAGCTGGGGGTGGTGACGGCTGACAGGGAGCTCTGACGTGGGCTGGTCCATGAGGTCACGAAGAGTTGGAAGTGACTGAATGAATAAACAAGTATAGTACAATATAAGGTAAAGGTAGTCCCCTGACATTAAGTCCAGTCATGTCTGACTCTGGGGTGTGGTGCTCATCTCCATTTCTAAGCCGAAGAGCCAGCGTTGTCCGTAGACACCTCCAAGGTCATGTGGCCGGTATGACTGCATGGAGCGCCGTTACCTTCCCGCCGGAGCGGTACCTATTGATCTACTCACATTTGCATGTTTTCGAACTGCTAGGTTGGCAGAAGCTAGGGCTGACAGTGGAAGCTCACGCCGCTCCCCGGAATCGAACCTGCGACCTTTCGATCAGCAAGCTCAGGAGCTCAGTGTTTTAACCCACTGCGCCACTGGGGGCACCTATAGTGCAATATAGTAATACATAATTTTATTTTATGTATTTATTTTTATTTACTATGCTTCTATACCACCATTCTCAGCCCGAGGGTAACTCGTGGCGGTTTACAAAACGGCACAATTTGATGCCCACAACAGTACAAAAATAATTTAAACATCAAAAACATTTAACACAGGTAAAAATTCATTACAATTAACATCAGTAACACAATAAAAACGCACCACAATTGAAGAGAGATATTGACAAGCTGGAATGTGTCCAGAGGAGGGTGACTAAAATGATCAAGGATCTGGAGAACAAGCCCTATGAAGAGTGGCTTAAAGAGCTGGGCATGTTTAGCCTGAAGAAGAGAAGGCTGAGAGGAGACATGATAGCCATGTATAAATATGTGAGAGGAAGTCATAGAGAGGAGGGAGCAAGCTTGTTTTCTGCTGCCCTGGAGACTAGGATGTGGAACAATGGCTTCAAGCTACAAGAAAGGAGATTCCATCTGAACATGAGGAAGAACTTCCTTACTGTAAGAGCTGTTCAACAGTGGAACTCTCTGCCCCAGAGTGTGGTGGAGGCTCCTTCTTTGGAAGCTTTTAAACAGAGGCTGGATGGCCATCTGTCAGGGGTGCTTTGTATGCAATATTCCTGCTTCTTGGCAGGGGGTTGGACTGGATAGCCCATGAGGTCTCTTCCAACTCTTATGATTCTATGATTATGCTAAACAGAGAAATCAAATTGAACAGTGCGCAGATTTAATTTGCTTGGTTTTAATTTGAAATCTAAAATGGAAGTTGTTATTTAAGGAAGTCGAAAATGATGTTACTAATTTATGTGATACAATGAAATGAGCAACATCTGCTATGTGTGTCAGTAGTCAACAGAAAGTGCAGGATTTTGCTGCGCCAAGTGGCCGGTTAGCTCAGTTGGTTAGAGCGTGGTGCTAATAACGCCAAGGTCGCGGGTTCGATCCCCGTACGGGCCAACAGGACTTTTTTTTTAAAAAAGGATAACAAAATACCAACGAGTATCAAAGACTCCTTAAAAAGTTAGTCTAAAATTTGCAACTCTCCTTTGTTTATTTTATAAATAAAACTAACAGTGACATATTGTGCTCCAATTAAAATTAAAAGGGGAAGGAGGAAGGAGTCTTATTTGTGTTGTTGAGAAAAAAGGTGTCTCTGTGTAATCCTGTGAGTTATTGCAATAGTCTAAACATTAATTTTATATGTTAAGGTCATGCTTTTCTTTTCCTATTGAACTGAATGGGGCTTAGTCCCAAGCACATGAATCATTCCATATAGAGAAGGAAAATGGACTATGGGAGTAGAGCATTGGTTTAACATTATGTACAACTAATACACCTTAACTGTCATGGGTGTCAGTTTGAAGACTCAATACTCTTTGGTAAAGGACCTTGGAAAGCTATAACTCCCATGATATTTATTTACTGTTATTTCTATACCGCCCTTCTCAGCCCTCAGGCGACTCAGAATGGAGCCATGGTAGTTAAAGGAGTGTCAAACTGCATTCATTCTGCAGTGTAGATTCATTCCCTTGTGTTTCTATGCTGTACAATAGGGCAGAAAGTGGTGGCGCGTTTTTTAAATCGAAACATATCTCTCGGCAGATGCCGTAGCCACGCTCCTGTTTTTCGATGACGTCAGGCGAGGCCGAATGAAACTTTACTATTGGTCGCATTCTCAGTTCTCGCGCGAGCTACAAAAGGGATGAGATTTCCCTCAGTTGACTACCAAGATGGCGGCTCCTAAGCGAACCGGTGTCGTTTCTCAGGAAAAGCCGGCTTCCTCGAGGGCTCTTTTGGACCCACAGACCTCTGCTTTTCCCGGATCCCTGCCGCCCGCCTCCAGCATCCTTTACAGCGCGGCACAGGAGCTGCGGAAGGCGGTTCAACTGCAGGACAAATCTGGGAAGGCGGCTAAGGCCTTCACTAGGCTCCTTCCGCCAAAGGTAATATAGGCCGACTGATTTACTTAGGGCTTGTTATTATTGCGACAGTGATGATTATGATTGTAACTATTTGTTTATTTACGACATTTATATGTCGCCCTTCTCACCCCGAAGGAGTCTCAGAGCGGCTTACAAGATACACACACACACACACATACATACAATATATTATGTGCAGGTACAACTGTACCAGGAGCTCCAATTTGGTTTGCCTTGCATTGAATGTTTGTTGCAGTCCTAAGTTTCAGGGACACTGCAAATAGGTGGCTCCTTTTGGCCGCAATCATAGAGCAAGGTAAAGGTAAAGGTTGTCCCCTGACATTAAGTCCAGTCATGTCTGACTCTGGGGTGTGATGCTCATCTCCATTTCTAACCCGAAGAGCCAGCGTTGTCCGTTGACACCTCCAAGTTCATGTGGCCGCATGACTGCATGGAGCGCCGTTACCTTCCCGCCAGAGCAGTACCTATTGATCTACTCATATTTGCATGTTTTCGAACTGCTAGGTTGGCAGAAGCTAGGGCTGACAGCAGAAGCTCATGCCGCTCCCCGGAATCGAACCTGCGACCTTTCGATCAACAAGCTCAGCAGCTCAGTGCTTTAACCACTGCACCACCAGGGGCTCCTCATAGGGCAAGCCACCTGTCAATTATAGTTAGGTTCCCTGGTCCCGCTCCTTTTGGGGTTTTTGGAGGGAATAGGAGCCAGTTTGGGTTCAGTCCACACAGAGCAGTTTTCATGCAGGACATAATACCAAGAGCTCCTGTAGAAAGCTTCGTCTTCTACGGCTTGGCTGGGGAGATATACAGCCCACAACTTGGCCGAGGATCATACAGCCTTACAGCTCCTTCGCTGAGGGACTTCAGTCAGCCATCACGGAAGCCTGAATTCTTTTCCCCTGGAAGTCTACAAAGCTCTGCTTAGTTACTACAACGATAACAACAAAAATTGATATTTTTTAGAGCAACACAATTCTATAAAAAAGAATGAAAATACACTTTATTTGAGTATATACAAATTGTTGTGTTAATTTACCAATTTTTTTGTTTCTGTTTTATTGACTATAGTTAGTTGCTGTTGATAAAAAGTAACTGGTACCGGGTGTAGGGGCTCCACGCCAACAGAGGCAAAGAAAGACTGCCCAGATTAGAAGTTAAGGATTTCCCCATTAGTTACAGTTATGAAGATAGTGCCTGTTCCCTGTGGACAAGATTCAAAGAGCCAATAGACTGTTAAGAAAGCCTTAAAGTACCTGTTTGTTTTCATTAATAAAGAACTTTGTCGAACCTTTAAGTATTCTAGAGACTAGAGGCTTTGGCTTAAAGCTACTTTCTCCCTACAATCTAACTACAATTTTTCAAACTGTATGCTCATCTTATGTATCCAGTCTATTACTCGCATATTTATTTGTAGAAATACTAATGCTGCACTTAAAGATCTCTTGGTGTTCAATCTATCAAAGCATCCCACATTACAAAAGAATGCAATTTAAAATCTACAACACATAAAAATAGAATTAAACTTATAGGTCAGTTAAAATCATTTGGCTACACTTGATTAAGGTACATTTCAAACTGATTATGTGATTTTGCCTCCACTGCCAACTATTTGTGAGGCCCCTTCTACACAGCTGTATAAAATCCACATTGAACTGGTTATATGGCAGTGTGGACTCGGATAACCCAGTTGAAAGCAGATATTGTGGATCATCTTCCTTGTTATTCTAGGTTATGTCAGTGTGGAAGGGCCCTGAGACAGTAGGCAATGAAGACTTTATTCTTTACACTTTTAAGACATCATTTGATACATAGGTAAAGGTAAAGGTAGTCCCCTGACATTAAGTCCAGTCATGTCTGACTCTGGGGTGTGGTGCTCATCTCCATTTCTAAGCCGAAGAGCCAGCGTTGTCCGTAGACACCTCCAAGGTCATGTGGCCGGCATGACTGCATGGAGCGCCGTTACCTTCCCGCCGTAGTGGTACCTATTGATCTACTCACATTTGCATGTTTTCGAACTGCTAGGTTGGCAGAAGCTAGGCTTTAAGCAATTGACATGCTTGAGTGAATCACACTTTTTCAGAGTCATTTGTGAGGCTTGAGCTTTTACAGGAATTATTTTTTATATTTGAACTGGACAAATAAGTCTGTGCAGGTTTGTTTGTAGATTTGTGTCTAAATATTTTAAAAACTTTTTTAAAGCAGGTGGAAACTGTCTGTGTCCAAGTACAGCCTGAGAAGAAAAAAGATGACAAGTCAGTCCCAGGTGCTGCATTGGCTCATCCCAAAAGTTTAACAACAGCTCAGCCAGTTGAGAAGAATTCCAAGATTTTAGGACTTGGTGTAAATCCTCAAATTATTCAGCTACACCCTACTATGGGAATTGACTCACAACAAATTTTCTTACACAATTCTTCCAAACCTACAGTTCAGTTACTTTTGCATAGCCCTTTACACCTCCTTGGACAAATTTCTGTAAGTAAGTTAACTACACATGGGCAGAAAAACAAACCAGCTGAAAAAGCTCCCACGGATTCTCCAAACTCACTTATAAACCATAAGAAGAAGCAAAAAGAACACAAAATTAAAAAGTCCTTGAAGGTGAAGACCCGTTCAGGGAGAGTTTCATGCCCTCCCAAATATAAAGCTAAGGATTATAAATTCATTAAAACAGAAGATTTGGCTGACTGTCATCAGTCTGATTCTGATGACTATTCTGAGCTGAGTCTAGAAGATGATGAAGGTGACAAGGGGACAGAAACTTGTACATTATTTGATTCCTTGAAGTATGACCTCAGGCCAAAATTGTTTAAATGTCAAAGTTGTGAGAAATCCTACATAGGACAAGGAGGATTGGCACGGCACTATAAACTTAATCCAAACCATGCACAACAAGAGTCACTTCAATTTTCCCTTATAAATAGACCTCAAAGGAAGATGTTGCTAGAAAACACTGGAAAAAGAAGCAGTGAACCACCATCAAGTAATGCTACGTTTGTAAACAAAAGTGGAATAGACACAGAATTGGAAAAAGATTTTCTCAAAGAGAGCGAGAGACAGGTAATAAATATATTCTCTGTAATGTCAGGGTCCTGGGTGTAATCTTTATAAGCTACTTGTGGTCTTCCATGAAATATATGCTGTATCCCTACATCCACTTCCTTCAAACCTCAGTCAGAACAAGAGGTGTGAAAGTCAAGGAAAAATAATCAGGAAAAAAACATTCCTAGATTAATAATCAGGAAAATAATCAGGAAAAATATTCCTCACCCTAATTTTATAGGTAGAAAATAAAAGTTATTTTGAGAAGTGCGGGGGGGGGGGGGGGGATTTTACTTTTTTCCAAATCTTCTAATCCTGGGGTTCTCAAACTTTTTCAGCCACTGAGCCAATTTTGCAGCAAAAATTTCCCATGGAGCCCCAAGAAATGTTTATATATTATATATAATGCACATATATCAGGCGTGGGTCAGGTCAGTGGCAGATGGATGGAGGATGTTTGTGTGAACTAATTTACAGTAAAAAAAAGAAAAGAAAAGTAAGAACAATACAATATTTTAAATGAAGAACAATTTTAACCAATATAAAGTATTTCAGTGGAAGTCCCCCGGGGCAATCCAGTTCAACACCCTTCTGTCATGCAGGAAAAGCACAATCAAAGCACCCCCAATAGATAGCCACCAGCCTTTATTATAATAGGGGAAAGGGTCTGGCTGGTGAGAAAGAGAGTCTGAACAGTGCAGGAGGTGATGGGAAAGGGTCTAAGTGGCAAGGAAAAGAGCCTGGGAGGCAAGGGTCTGCATGGCAAAGGAGGCAAGGGGGAAAAGTCTAGGGAGTATGCTGTTTGTGCTGCTGTTGTTTTCAGCAGTTCAAAACTTTAATTTCCCTGCAATTCTCAGGAGGGGAAAAGAGGAGGAAGTGGAAAGCAGCATGGCGCCGTGGAGCCCCTCACTATTACCTGCTGAGCCCCAAGTACTCAGCAGAGCACAATTTGAGAACACTGTTCTACTATCTAAATCAGTGGTTCTCAAGTCACCTTGAGTCCCCTCCGGGGTGAGAAAGGCAGCATAGAAAGGTCGTAAATAAATAAACCTGTGAGTCGCCAGATGTCTTGGCCTTCAACCCCCAGAAATCCTAACAGCTGGTAAACTGGCTGGGAGTTGAGGGCCAAAACACCTTGGGACCCACAGGTTGAGAACCACTGATCTAAATAGTGATGCATATTTTAAAAGCTGCATGGTTGAATTTCCTTTTTTAAATCTAAAAGCCTAGCATCTATTTCATGTTTATTATTTCCTGGGTTCGTTCCATGTTCATTCTTTCCTGGGTTCCATATTCATTCATTACACTGTGTTTTCAAAGGCTTGTTAAAAAAGCCAGGTTTTAAGTATTTTTTTTTGGAATGCCAGTAGGAAGGGGGCCGATCTAATATCCCTAGGGAGGGAGTTCCATTATGCTACTAGTCTCTTGCATATTAAGAGGCAAAGGCTCTACAACTTGGGTAGTCTGAGAGGCACTGCTATATTGGACAAAATCCTTACTATTTATTTATTTACTTTTATTTATTTACTTTATTTGTATACCGCACTCTCTCAGCCCGTAGGCGACTCAGTGCGGTTTACAACCAGGTCAATATACAAAGTGCACAACACTAGCATTTAAAAACAGTCACTAAGGCAACTACATCAATATAACAGCACATCAATACATCAATATAACGTCAATACATCCATATAACTAACCCATCACGTCTCATCAGTAAAGTCATAATCCGATTTCCTCGTCCATTATTCCAAGTTCCAAGATCAATCAGTTAATTGCACTGCTTAATTAAACGCCTGTTCAAAGAGCCAGGTCTTCACTCTTCTTCTGAACGTCAGCAGGGAGGGGGCCGACCTAATGTCTGCGGGAAGGGCGTTCCACAGCCGAGGGGCCACCACTGAGAAGGCCCTGTCTCTCGTCCCCACCAGCCATGCCTGTGAGGCTGGCGGGATCGAGAGCAGGGCCTCCCCGGACTATCTTAATGTCCTAACTAGTTCATAGGGGGTGATGCGTTTGGACAGATAGGTCAGGCCAGAACCGTTTAGGGCTTTAAAGGCTAAAGCCAGCACTTTGAATTGTGCCCGGTAGCAGATTGGCAGCCAGTGGAGCTGGCGCAACAGAGGAGTGGTGTGCTCCCTGAGTGCCGCTCCTGTTAACAACCTGGCTGCCGATCGTTGGACCATTTGTAGCTTCCGAGCAGTCTTCATAGGCAACCCCACGTAGAGAGCGTTGCAGTAGTCTATACGGGATTTAACCAGAGCGTGGACCACCGTGGCCAAGTGCATTTGAAAGATTTTAGTAATTCCTACAATGGATGAAATAAAAATAATGTGATAGTCTGAAAAGGTGTTGACATGAGCAAACTTGAGTAAAGCCAAGCAAGCTTGTGTTTAACTATTTTTGTATAAATGTTAAAACATTTAATAAAGGGACCCCTGCTCTGGGGCTGACATACAATTTGGATCATTTAGATGTAAGTACATAGCTGTAAAAGCAATCTTTGCATGTTTGTATTTAAAATTTCCCTACGTGTCTGTGCTGTGAATTCGCACTAATGGTACTCTCTCTGCGCATGCGCAGTCTCATCCGGAATCTTCAGTTGATATTTAAAAGAAAAAAGCGGTTGGCCCCGCGCACACTCCCCAAGATAGCATAAATAGCCCGCGGCAGGCCAACCGCCTCCAGATCTCTTCATCCGCGCTCAGCAGCAAGTTCGGATCTTCCTATTGCTCAGATCTGCTTATTATTATTAATTATAATATTACAGCAATGAGTTAAAAATGGCCCAGTTAACAAAGGCCATGAGGAATTGCAGGGAAGAAGTAGAAAAGTTATGTATCATATTTCTCACTTTGCTCTAATCTTAGTTTATGTAAACAAAACAATTCTTATTAAAACAGCAAGTGTAATCTAGACAATGTGAGTTACTTGTTTCAAAGTTTACAATAGTTGTTGTATGCTTTTGAGTAGGCTTATGGATTTTGCTTTTTAAGTAAGTCTATGGGTTTTGAAATATAGTATCGATTGTCTATATTAATCTTAAAACTCAGTTGCTTACTTTCTGGTCTTTCAAAATATCGGATAGTTTAAATCAAAGACAGCCAGTGAATTAACATCTCTGCATCAGATTCTGAACATAACATAAAGTAGCTAGTTTTGTCAAATGAATTGTGAGGGTAAAAAAAGGAGTATGAGACTTCTTGGATGGGACTCAAAGGGTGCTTCCTATAGTTAGTTAACATACCATATGTATGGTCACCTAGTGCCTATTTCCATGATTACCATTTGAATGGGATGTATTACTTGTGATTTGTGCTATTTAAATAGCTTTTTTTTAACTAGGTAGAGCAAAAGTACCAGAAAAAAGCACTCTTTCCAGATGTATACCGGGAATTTGAAGAGCTTCATTCTATGGTAAAGAGAATGTGCCAAGACTATTTTGGTAATCCTGAATTAAACAAGCCAGTGGAAGTAAAAAATGAGAAGGTAATTGCTAGACAGTTGTGTTTTTGTTGTTAGCTGTTCTCTATTAGCTAATTCTATATGGGTGAAATCAGACAGCATAATTTCTTTAAAAAGAAAGTAAAGATAAACTTATTATACCTTATTGCTATTCTTAAAAAGAAAACACAACAATTTGTATTCCCTCTCCCATAAAACCGACCTAATTTAAAAACAGATGCACCAAGTCTTATTACATATAGAGCATTCTGGGAAGGTTAACATCCAGATGAGGGAAGAAGATACTATTGACATTCATGAACTTCTCGATTTCATGATTAATTATAGATAAGGGTTCTGAAATACTTTAAAGAGCTTAACGTTCTTTTCTAGTCTAGGACAGATACACAAGGTCTTTCCTATATAACATCTAGATATGGTGGCAAGGAACCCACTTGATCAATCTTAATATTTTGATTATTAATGGTTTATTTCTTCTTGGGAAATTTCCCTTGGCACTTGCAGCACTATTTATTTATTTACCGTATTTATCTATCGCTTTTCTCAGCCCATGGGCGATTCAGGGCAGTTTACATTCGGCACAATTCGATGCCTCCCAGCAACATAAAACTACTTAAAACATTTGCATATAAAATATAAATTCATATAAAGTCAATAAAACATATATATGTTGAATTCCTGTTGTTTTTTCTCATGGCTTTCACAGGTGGCTGAATCACTAGGAATTACAGACAGCTTTCTTCTATTGAAGAAGACTCAAGCAGACAATTCTCCTGAATATATTGAGATGACTAGTGATTGTGTGTTTACCAAAACTGTGGAACAGAAATGTGCAACTGAGGTAGTGAACTTGTGAATTCTACCATCTTAATGAGAATGTCCCAGTTTGCCAGTACACTAGAATCATAGAGTAAACATTTTGGTACCTTTTGGGAGTATGGGTTTGTCTTGTCTTAACAAGTACCATTATATGTCCATGGCTGGGTTGAAATTCTTCTTTCCAAAATCTAACTATCCACTGTAGCTATATCAAATATTTTACCCACTAACTCCTAGTGACATAGTGCTGTGAATTATGTTACCTCTGCATAAAACTAGACATACTAAAAAAAACCCCATTGTTATTAATTCTGGATGTTCGTTGTTGCTTTATTCCATATGTAATACATGTAGTAATTTTGAATTTAACTTGGGTTATAAATCTTGGATTCACATGTGACATTAAGTACTACTCAAATTGTGCAGTAGAGCTACTTCTACATTACTGAAATTTTATTTTTTACTTCTAACTTTTGTTGACAGTCTTCAGATGAAATATTACCATTAGCAAAAAAGTGCAGAGTGGAATATCTACCGGAGAACATAAATATTGATTATTCAAACCATAGTGGAATAAAAGAAGGCAGTGCCATAGGTAATAATCTTCTCATTAGCAATATTCAGTAACAAAAACAGTTACTAACCAATGCATCTAAATTGCGTTTGCTTACTGAATTTTTTTTTATTCTAGAAGGAAACTGTGCAGCAACTGTTCAGTCTGGGAATGTATTATGGGAAGAGGAACATGAATTACTTGAAGAAACTGTAAACAATCAAGATGGCTTGCATGTATATAATCAAAGCACAGAAGTGAGGCTTGAGAGCATGAAACCTTCAGGAAAATCAGAACTGGATTGTTCAGGCTGCTTATCTTCATGGGGTGAAACACTGCCAACTAACAGTGCAGTAAGTTCAGAAGAAAAGTTCATGCAAACAAGTTTGAGCAAAGGAAATGAAGTGACTCTGAGTTCTGGAAATATTTAGCATCTGATAAATAGTTGGAATCCTACTTGGTCAGAGCATGAAGAAAATTATCAGATTGAAAAGGCTTCTGGTGAAAGGAACCAAGGTCATCTCCTGACAAATTCTGAACATCCTAAATGGTCTGATTCTGTAAACAGCCTTAAACACTATGTAAGCAGATCAGTTGAATCTCAGGTAGAGAGAATTTTTTATTTAAGCTTTTAAAAACACCTTGGCAAGCCTGTGAAGTTACTGAATAAACCTGTGGGACAGAATACTGGAGGCTGAATATTGAAGAACTCAGTAACAGGAAATGATAACATTAAATGACTGATGGGGGTGGGAGTTGTACCTTGATGCTGTTTATGGTTTCAGATGTCTGAAACAAGCGAATGCTGCTAGGACTAAGATTCAAGCAATTGCTTTGGAAAATGTGAAAATGTTTATTATCATGCTTGCAAGGTCATGATAAAAGCAAGGATCCTGGTAGGAATTAAAATATAAAATCATTTGTAAATACATTCTGCAATCTACTTAAAATGTATATTTTTTCTTATTAAATATTGTTTGCAGTCCTGTTTCATCAGTCTTTCTTTAATATTACAATTAACCTGCCTGAAAAATGAATGTATATGGCATGGGAAGGTAATACTCAATAGCATGCACAATTTACAGAAGATATTGACAAAATAAATGATAATCTAAAATTTAGAACTGCTTCAGTAGGTGTTATTTTACAAAATACACCTCAGCCCCAGTTAAGGTTGGATTATGTGCTTGGTAAATACTTGCATTTCCACTTTCTTGAAAGTAGTATCACAATTTGGAATAAATAAAACATTTCTAAAACAATGAAATGTATTTGGCTCACCATCCTGAACCAGGGGATAAGAAAGCATTTCCAAGCACAGATTCAGTGAACTATACAGTCAGAGGAGAGACATTCCATAACAAATTTTGCATTTCACTCATAATATAGATAATTCCCGCAGAAATATATTTTGATAGTAGGTTACTCATAATGTGTAACTCAAACCTTTAAAGTGAAAAAAGATGAAAGGTTGAGAAGACACTAAAGCAGAATCAAATAAATATTTTAAAAGATAGAAACATTGTTTTAGAACTGTCTTTATTCTACTTTGTGATCCCACCCAAATCTACAGAAAATAATCCACTTTTCAAATACAGTTGGAAGTACAAAAGCAAAAATACAATGTCACTAGGTCAACAACATTAACATAGTAGTCATTATTGCAATTTTTAGTAGAAAGGGTTAGGCAGGTCTGTGTCCTGTTTCTAATAACATACTTTCTAGTATTACAGTGCTGGTGTTCTCTATGTAAGGCTGGTATAACCATGAGGATAAGTAAACCATCAGGAGATCTTGGTCAGCTGTATGCGCAATCTCTTGCACAATAGTGTCTTTCAGTTTTAGTTCATTTGAATACATGTCCAACAGCTTGACTGAAACTTCATCTGAAATTGGGGGAAAAAATCAAGGAGTTACTTCTGCAACGGTATCCTCTTGTGTTCTGTTTTTAGAAACCTGTTTCTGTACATATTCAGTATTATCTAGATTGTGTGTCTTTGGTTTCCAAGCTAAATCAACTCTTCAGAATGAGATCATTACATGAGCTCCTAAATTCCTGTATCCGTCTAAATCTATAACCAGAATCCCAGTGCAAGTTTGTGATGCCTGTGCTGGTTTATTTGTACAAGACCTGGAAATTATTGTTGTGTAATTCCAGAATTACATGAATTACGAACTTTTAGTAAGACCCTCTATTTTAGAAAGGCAGAGTTAAGAGATACAATTTATTCGTTTTTAAATAAAAAAAATCCTCAATCAAACAGAAAATAAAACTTACAGAAGTAGGGAGTGGGCCACGTATGGAAGAATGGTTTTGCATGATCTCCATGATGATATGTTTCTAAGTTGCAGATCCCTTTGGTTGTTGAACACAGTTTTTCCATTTTCTGATGTATTTTTACCTAAAAGTTTAATATTTAACATTTTCATTTAAACAAGTGGTCAGTAAATGATCATAATTTTCATCTGTGTTGGCTATCTGAACTACATAATCAGTAAGTTGGGCTTCAGAGGTGGAAATGTGGACTGAAGACAAACCACTAATCAGGATGAGCAGTTAGTAAATGCTTACCATTAATGCCTACGGAAGGACATTTTGATAACAGGCATTAATAACAGCTTCCTTCTGAGACTTGTGAATGATAGGTATAGTATAGATTCATTTTAAAACAGGCGATTATTATGTCCTGCTGCTCTCCAGTTAATGGATTTGGGGCACATAAAGTTGTTACTGAAACTCTCCATAGACTTTCCATATTTGTATCACCTCTCTTGATCCACAACAGAGAACATAGGAAATGTTTTGATACAAGATAGTACCATATTTTTGAAGATCTCGAGTAGTTCTGTACAGCAGGCCTCCAATTCTACGTTGTAGTCAGATGATAGTTTTCCAGGTTCGGAGAAAATATTCTCATTATCTATTTCCAATTTGTTTTCTTTCGATCTAGAGAAAAATATACAGTATGTAAGAAATCCTGTAGTAACTCCCTGCCCCATACTCTAGGATCTCTTTATACCATGTCTCTATCAAAGGGACATATCTGTTAAGGTTGAAAAAAATCAGATTTAGAAGCTCATTAGATTTGTTTACAATCCCATTATGGAAGAATTAGCTTTGCATAGAGATAAGCTGTTTTCTCAATATACTCACTCTGTAGCAATTTTGATGTTCACAATTTTTGTAGCAGTCGTAAATCCATTGTTATTCAGTGTCTCCCACTTCATTATTAGATTGTGCCAATCTGCTGCATTATCTTTAATTTTTCTTGCACTGACAGATAAGGTAGGTGTCTTGGGAGTTGAACTTTTAGCTAGTCAAAACACAAAACTTAAATGTCAACATTGTTGTTTTATTTTTTAAAAAACACTTTGTCTTATACTGATTACAGTTCCTAAGTTTTTCTGCACAACTAATGATTATTTATCATGTCAGAAGCAAATTGAGGGTACAGCTAAAATTAATTTAAAACACCAACAAAGTTAAAAACTTAGCCTTTTCTGTGGTAGCCCCCCGACTGGAACACCCTCCCCAAAGACATCAGACAAGCTCCTACGTTGGCAGTCTTTAGGAAGAGTTTGAAGACCTGGCTGTTCCGATGTGCCTTTCCAGAATAGGAACTCCAGCAATATGTCCCAGAAGCACTTTATCAGAGTTTTAAGATGGTCTGCACATTGCACTTACCCTAAAATCCTACATCCACCTGTCACACCCAGCACATTTGGTCCGGCCCTAGTTTTATTGTGTTATGGTGTATTGTTTTATTGTTTACTGCTATTGTTTTAATGTTGATTTGTTTTTAAGTTACGTGTTTTGTTATGCTGTTGTGTTATTGAGGCCTTGGCCTGTGTAAGCCCCATTGAGTCCTTCGGGAGATGCTAGTGGGGTACAAATAAAGTTAATAAATAAATAAATAAATAATAAATTATGCTAAATGTCTTTTGACCAAAAGCTGGCCACTTAGGAGTGCCTGTAGTGTCACTGTGAGAAGGTCCTCCATTGTACATGTGGCAGGGCTTAGATTGCATTGTAGTCTGTGGTTTGACTATTTACAGTTATAATATGAAACATTTTGGTGTAATGTATAACTTAGCTTGTGTGATGGAATTTCAGGGCAGATTCATATATACAGATAAAATCCCTGTAATGTTAAAATTCAATAAACATACAAAATCTGCCACTAATAATATGGTGTCATACTGTTAATTTGTTTTCCCATGTGAGTACACTACCAGCATCATTTACTGAGAGCAGAGAAAAGAAAAAGCTGTCAACCTTCACTTCCCAAAAGAGGACAAAGAACGTCCATATGGTGTTCACGCTCAATGCACACTAAAGAGAATCAATAGTACAACAGCAATTATGCAGGACAAATATCAAAATCCCTTGCTACAGAGATTTTCCAACTCAACTTGATATGTATACACCTTCATTTTAACTATGTTACAAAATAATGGCATTCATTTTGTGTGTGTGTGTTTTAATGAGAGCTAATAAGTGGCTTGGCCCAGATATATTTGGTACAAGTTCTGACTGTAAAAAGATACTTGAAAATATTACTGCTGGATCTTCTGTTGATATACACAAGGGCTTCTTAAACTTTTTCCACTCGTAACCTCGTTCTACCCGTGTGTATCGATATATGAAATAAGTATTAAAAGGCAAACATTTATTGATAACAAATTGGCATTTGCAGGGCTTGCATTTAGGTGATTTTGCTTTTTACAAAATACAATCAAAGCATCTTCTGCCGAATCCACCGTAAACACTGCACGCTATTAGCTAACAGATTTGAGTAAGTTCCTAAAAACAACCACCAGATTACTAAATTTATTGCGACCCCCATTTTCAGTTTACGCCGATTTTCATTGGGACCCACAGTTTTAAAGAAGCCATGATCTACAGAACATTTGCTTGCTTATTTTGTAAACTCTTCTACCTGGACTTTTCTTCTTTATTTTCTACTTCGTTTATTTTGTACTTTTCTCCCAGGGCAAAAGTCAAGGTTGCACACATCAAGTGCACCAAAAATGTATCTCATGCAGAAGTTTTTCAGAAATTAAATAAACAAGGCAATTATTTGATACCAAGTTACAACAGATTTGTCCTTTTGATCTGTTTGCTTTGATTTTACCTTTCGGATTGTAAATGTGATTGATACTATGTATATTATTTTTATTTTGTAAGCCACCCTGAGCCCCCTCACATAGACAATTACAACAGAAAGGAGGAAACCATGAAAATAAACAAAATCTGACTACCAGTATTTTTTTTAAAAAACCCTCTAAAATCAGGACAGTAAACTTTCACTTTTCAGAGTCACACTCTAAGTGTGATTATATCACCTTATCTTCCCTGGATAACTGCTGCATCTCTTCTATCTCCATAGTCATAATTTGTTTCAATTGTTTTCCATGTCGGACATTAGCTGCAGTGACAATTCCTTCAATCATATTTCTTAAGCAAGTAATCACACAAGGTAGTAGGACCATGATTAGAATACCAATTATCAAAATAACAAATCCTATGACGATAAGGTCTTTTAACCATTGAAAATTCGGCAACCAAGAAGTTAACCAGCCAAAAACACTCTCTCCCTTTGGGGCGTATCCAGTTCTGATGGTAGATACTACTTCCTGTATCTTATTTATATCAGATTCAACCTCTCCTGACTTGTTGATATAGTGGCAACATGTGGTATTAAGAAAAGTTCGTTGTGGGAGTTCTGTGGTTCAGTTCCATCATTGGTGGAGTTCAGAATGCTCTTTGATTGTAGGTGAACTATTTTATTTATTTATTTGTCGTGTCAGGGCAACCAGTCAATTATATTACATTTCTAACAGAACAAAGCAAACAAACAGACAAAATACAAAATTTGTGAGTTTGGTAGTTGATTAAATGTCCTTTGACCAGTATCTGGCCACTTGGAGTGCCTCTGGTGTTGCTGCAAGAAGGTCCTCCATTGTGCATGTGGCAGGGCTCAGGTTGCATTGCAGCAGGTGGTCAGTGGTTTGCTCTTCTCCACACTCGCATGTCGTGGATTCCACTTTGTAGCCCCATTTCTGAAGGTTGGCTCTGCATCTTGTGGTGCCAGAGCGCAGTCTGTTCAGCGCCTTCCAAGTCGCCCAGTCCTCTGTGTGCCCAGGGGGGAGTCTCTCATTTGGTATCAGTCATTGGTTGAGGTTCTGGGTTTGAGCCTGCCACTTTTGGACTCTCGCTTGCTGAGGTGTTCCAGCGAGTGTCTCTGTAGATCTTAGAAAGCTATTTCTAGAATTAAGTCGTTGACGTGCTGGCTGATACCCAAACAGGGGATGAGCTGGAGATGTCTCAGGTGAACTATACATCCCAGTAACTACAACTCGCATATGTCAACGTCTATTTTCCCCCAAGAGTGCCTCAAGAGCGCCCCTGGGCAAAATCAACTATACTGCAAATGCTTACTTTGCGTAATGGGTTGAGCCGCCCCTGGCCAGGATACACCCCAGGCAGCAACCAGCCAGATCTTGAAACTGCAAGGCTATTAAATGCTAATCAAGGTGGCCAATTGCAACATTCACACCTAGCTCCAACAGACAAGAGTTCTTTCTTCCACCTTGAACATTTCACAAATATATAAACCCATTTTTCCTAGTTTCCAAGAGACCTCACAATTTATTTATTTTATTTGCTTTATTTCTATACCGCATTTTTCAGCCCAAACATCCTCACAACCTCTGAGGATGCCTGCCATAGATGCAGGCGAAACGTCAGGAGAGAATGCTTCCAGGCTTCCATAGAGCCTGGAAAACTTAAAGCAACCCAGTGATGAAAGCTTTCGACAATACAATGAATAGCATTACTAGGCCTGGTCCAAGTTGGGCCCTCCAGGTGTTTTGGACTTCAACTCCCACAATTCCTAACAGCCTACGGCTGTTAGGAATTGTGGGAGTTGAAGTCCAAAACACCTGGAGGGCCCAACTTGGACCAGGCCTGGCTGACACTAATAATGCAGCGCATTGTGAGTCTACACTAATGCAGTGAGTCTCACAGTGCAGCTGCGGCCTAGCGTTGGGCCTTGTCTCTCATCCCCGGGCACGCTTACCGGCCATCCCCGCCGCTGCCGGAGGAGGAGGAGGAGGGGGAAGCGAGGCCCAGCCTCTCGCCTCAAGCTCCGCCCCGGCCTCCGCCTCCTTCTCCCGGGGGCCTCCGAGGCCTGGCTGGGTCTCCCTTCAGCCTCCCGCCATGAGGGGCCCCGCCGAGCCCTACTGAGCTGAGAGGGTGAGTGAGGGCAGCGCTTGCGGCCTAGTCGTCGGTTGGGCGGGCAAGGGGAGGTGGGTTGGGTTGGGGGGGGGGGGTCCCCTGTGGTCTCCATGGAAATGCGTTGCTGGGGATGATAGGTAAGGGCAGCTCCCACTTGGGCAGGCTCTGCTACCCCTTCCTGCCTTTGCAGTTGAAGTATATTATCATTGGGTTGTTGTAGGTTTTTCCGGGCTATATAGCCATGTTCTAGAGGCATTTTCTCCTGACGTTCCGCCTGCATCTATGGCAAGCATCCTCAGAGGTAGTGAGGTTTGTTGGAGTTAGGAAAATGGGTTTATATATCTCTAGCTCCAGCAGACAAGAGTCCTTTGCCCCACCCTGGTCATTCCACAGATATATAAACCCTTTTCCCTAGTTCCAACAGACCTCACTACCTCTGAGGATGCTTGCCATAGATGCAGGAAACGTCAGGAGAGAATGCCTCTAGACCATGGCCATATAGCCCAAAAAAACCTACAAGAACCTAGTGATTCCAGCCATGAAAGTCTTCGACAATATATTATGATTATTATCAGAGGCAGAACTTTCAAAAGGATGGGAGCCTTCTGAAGGGGAAGCACTGACATGGCTATACAGTTTTCCAGCAAAGGGCGACTAAAATGATCAAGGGTCTGGAGAACAAGCCCTATGAGGAGCGGCTTAGGGAACTGGGCATGTTTAGCCTGAAGAAGAGAAGGCTGAGAGGAGATATGATAGCCATGTATAAATATGTGAGAGGAAGCCACAGGGAGGAGGGAGCAAGCTTGTTTTCTGCTTCCTTGGAGACTAGGACGCGGAACAATGGCTTCAAACTACAAGAGAGGAGATTCCATCTGAACACGAGGAAAAACTTCCTGACTGTGAGAGCCGTTCAGCAGTGGAACTCTCTGCCCCGGCGTGTGGTGGAGGCTCCTTCTTTGGAAGCTTTTAAGCAGAGGCTGGATGGCCATTTGTCAGGGGTGATTTGAATGCAATATTCCTGCTTCTTGGCAGGGGGTTGGACTGGATGGCCCATGAGGTCTCTTCCAACTCTTTTATTCTATGATTCTATGATTAGGATTTGCTCTCATTGCTATTAGAATTCTACAGTTGAAGAGACAGACCACACAATTTGTAGGTATTATTATTATTATTATTATTATTATGAACTAGCCATCCCCTGCCACACATTGCTGTGGCCCACATGAGGGTTCTGTGTGGGAGGTTTGGCCCAATTCTATCGTTGGTGGGGTTCAGAATGCTCTGTGATTGTAGGTGAACTATAAATCCCAGCAACTACAACTCCCAAAGGTCAAGATTCTATTTCCCCCAAACTCCACCAGTGTTCGCATTTTGGGCATATGGAGTATTCGTGTAGAGTTTGGTCCAGATCCATCCTTGTTTGAGTCCACAGTGATCTCGGGATGTAGGTGAACTACAACTCCGAAACCAAAGGACACTGCCCACCAAACCCTTCCAGTATTTTCTGTTGGTTGTGGGAGAACTGTGTGCCAAGTTTGGTTCAAGTCCATCGTTGGTGGGGTTCAGAATGCTCTGTGATTGTAGGTGAACTATACATCCCAGAAACTATTACTCAGTAATGTCACATTTGGGCATATTAAGGATTCATGCCAAGTTTGGTGGTGCCAAGTTTGGTGGTGATCGATAAATGTGTGATTCCACAGTGCTCTCTGGATGTAGGTGAACTACAACTCCAAAACCAAAGGACACTGCCCACCAAACCCTTCCAGTATTTTCTGTTGGTCGTGGGAGAACTGTGTGCCAAGTTTGGTTCAATTCCATCGTTGGTGGGGTTCAGAATGCTCTTTGATTGTAGGTGAACTATAAATCTCAGCAACTACAACTCCCAAATGACAAAATAAATTTCTTTGAGTGAAGGACATACATTGGGTTGTTATGTGTCTTGTGTCCAAATTTGGTGTCAATTCGTCCAGTGGTTTTTGAGTTCTGTTAATCCCACAAACAAACATTACATTTTTATTTATATAGACTAGAATCAGATAATTGGAAGAGACTACAAAGGTCATCCACTCCAACTCCTTGCTGTGCAGGGACACATTAATAAAAGTGGTCCCAGTGGTGATCAGCACACTGGGTGCAGTGCCTAAAGACCTTGGCGTGCACTTAAACACAATTGGCGCTAACAAAATTACCATCTGTCAGCTGCAAAAAGCCACCCTACTGTGATCGTCACGCATTATTCGCTGATATATCACACAGTCTTAGACAGTGGATTGTTGTAGGTTTTTCGGGCTATATGGCCATGTCATAGAAGTATTCGCTCATGACGTTTCGCCTGCATCTATGGCTAGCATCCTCAGAGGTAGTGACCTCACTACCTCTGAAGATGCTTGCCATAGATGCAGGTGAAACGTCATGAGCGAATGCCTCTAGAACATGGCCATATAGCCTGAAAAAACCTACAACAACCCAGTTGTTGTTTTCGTCTAGTTAGATAAAGTGAGCAATATGTTATCTTGGTTTGAGCGTTGGACAAAACTCTGGAGGCCAGGGTGCAAATTCCCAACTTTACATGGAAGCCCACCTTGGACAAGTCATACTCTCTCAGGGTGCATCTACACTGTAGAACGAATGCAGTTTGACACCACTTTAACTATCCAGAAAAAACCTACAACAACCCACCACTTTAACTGTCACGTCTCAGTGTTATAGAATCCTGGGAGTTGTGGTGTGGTGAAGCACCAACACTTTTTGACAAAGAAGGCCTTACAGATTAAAATGACAACTGCTAGAATTCCATAGCATTGAACCACGGCATTTAAAGTGGCAGTAATTACACAGTTGTTGTGCAATTAATGTAGATGCAGCATCAGAAGCAGGCAAGCCAACCTTCTGAACAAATCTTGCCCAGAAACCGCTTTGATTGTGTCACCATAAATTGGAAGCAACTTGATGGCATAGAACAACAAAATGAGATATAACCCAAAAACATTGTTTGTAAGTCCGGCTTACACATATTATATCAATATAAACATATGGCTAAAAGTATGGTAGTTTACTTTTTGAAGCTTCTAATGTGAACGTCCTCCAGTTAGAGCTGTTGTTATTACCCAATTGCAGTCATCCTTCAAATCAGGTGGCGTCATCTTCTCATGTCAGAAGCAACCACAGTTGCTTTCATTGTTGCTGGTGTTTTGTAGTTGCTGATTTTGTTAATATTTCTGGTAGTTTAGCTACAATATTGCGGTTTGGTTTCTCGGGCCTCTTTATAGCCATTTTTTTGGTGTCAGGAGCAACTTGAGAAACTGCAAGTCGCTTCTGGTGTGAGAGAATTGGCTGTCTGCAAGGACATTGCCTAGGGGATTCCTGGATGTTTGATGTTTTACCATCCTTTTGGGAGGCTTTTCTCATGTCCCCGCATGGAGAGCTGGAGCTGACAGAGGGAGCTCATCCGCACTCTCCCCGGATTTGAACCTTCGACCTGTCGGGCTTCAGTCCTGCCGGCACAAGGGTTTAATCCATTGTGCAACCAGGGGCTCCATTGCCATCTATATCTATAAATTTCCTACTGGCGTCCAACGGGGAAGCAAAACTCTAAAACCCCTCCAAAAAACTCCACCAAAATTGCCATGCCCCAAGGACAACCCACTAGGTACAAACTAATCCAGTCAGAAATCAAAACAACACAACCACACACAGAAAAAACGGCAAAACAACTGAGCATGCGCACTGGCGCAAAGTCCCCAGCGCGCGCGCACACATGGCCGAACGGCCAACGCACTTCCCTCCCTCCCTCGCCCCGCCCAGCGCGAACACATCACCGCACTTCCCCACGGCACACACACACACACAAACAACGCAACTTCCCCCCGCCCCCTTCCCTCCACCCCCTCCTTCATCTTACTCCTCCCACGCTGCCTCCAAGCCCCGCTCCGCACACTCCAAGCCTCGCCGCGCCGCATCCCCACTGGAAAGACACGCCCCCTCCCTTCGCCCCACCCCTTCCCTCCCTGATTGACTCCTGGAAGGAAAGGGGTGGGGCGAAGGGAGGGGGCGTGTCTAACCGGAGAGGGAGGGAGGAGGGAAGGAGTGAGTCACGGAGGAAAGGGGTGGGGCGAAGGGAGGGGGCGTGTCTTCAAAGTCGCCCCCTCCCTTCTCCCCACCCCTTCCCTCCCTGAGTCACTCCTTCCCTCCTCCCACCCCCTCCGGAAAGACACGCCCCCTCCCTTCGCCCACCCCTTTCCTTCCAGGAGTCAATCAGGGAGGGAAGGGGTGGGGCGAAGGGAGGGGGCGTGTCTTTCCGGAGGGGGTGGGAGGAGGGAAGGAGTGACTCAGGGAGGGAAGGGGTGGGGAGAAGGGAGGGGGCGACTTTGAAGACACAATGATGGATCCGGACCAAAGCATTCAATACGCCCAAATATCCACACAGATGGAGTTTGAGGGAAATAGACCTTGACATTTGGGAGTTGTAGTCACTGGGATTCAGAGTTCACCAACACTCAAAGAGCATCCTGAACCCCACCAACGACAGAATTGGGGCAAACATGCCACACTGAACCCCCATGACCAACAGAAGATACTCAAGTTTACACACAAGCATAAAGAAGGGGGAGGAAGGAGGGATGCCAGAGAGAGAGAGGGGGGGGGAAGGAAGGAGTGTGAGAGAGAGAAAGAGGGAAAGAGGGCGAGTGAAGGAAGGAAGAGAGGCCAGGCAGAGACTTCAAAACTCTTACTAAAGGCCACAGCAACGCGTGGCAGGGCACAGCTAGTATAGCCATAAAATTCTGTGATACAAGACTAGTTGAGTGAGTGCTTCCGCTCTGGCATATGAATAATATGCATTCTGGGAAGAAAGCTCATACATTTAGCTCGTAAGTGTCATTGTGATTCTGTATATGTTTGTTTTGAAGAAGAGGGACAAGGAAGCTTCCTAACAGTTTAATAATCATAACTTAGTGTCGTCATTTGAATAAGTATTCCAGCTATATACATAATGATCATTCTTAATATTCATTTAAAACTTTCACGTTGTAAATGTACATCACATACATTATTTTGTAATCCTTGCATTGAAATTACTGAATTGTGCTGTCTTATCGGTTGTTATGAAGGAACTCCATTAATTAATTGCAGTAGATGCATAGTGGTTGACCTAATCTGTTTGATATTTTTTTTACGTCAGCTTAAGCCAAAGCTGCTTAAATGGGGGTGAGTGGGTAAAAACTCTTTAAAAGTGTTCTAATCATGAATTTTAGTGGTTGCAATCTTAGTTACGCAAGTTGTCTGTCACATGAGAACAGGGCATTGAGACAGATTAGGCAGGACATTCATTGTGATGCTTCCCCGATTGTGATCCCAGATGTTTACCAGGTAAATGTTAGTCCATCTGTTACATTTGTGCTTTATAAAACAGAAAGAAATCTTTCGTATATAGAAATGTTGATCTTCCTTGCTGTCCCTTGGTAATAGGAGTAGAAGGAATACATTCCTAGATCTCAGTCATAAGACTCACTAAACATTTCTTGTCAGCTTGAGGGCAATACTTATTTGGAGTTTAACTTTCGTTTTCATTCTCTCTCTCCAGTGTATTTTGAAAATGCAGTCACCGGCTCAGCTAGATTTAATCCATTATACTTGCTATGACATGTAGGCATGAATTTTGTGTAATGATCGGTGCAGGTGTTGGCCTCTCATCAGGATCACATGTTTAGGACATAGATGTTCAACCTGTTTAATAGTCAGATCCGTGACTGAACATGATGCTGTTCAGATTGACAATGCTGGCAGTGACATCAAAGACCCAAACGTGTTTGCTCTTGTCTAGCGATAACATTTTGTATTTATGTAGCACGTCTTGATCTTTTATTACATTTTATATAGTATCTTAAGTAATCCTTTCAGAGTGTCTACACACAGTGTAGAAGCAATGCAGTTAACACCACTTTTAACTGCTATGGTCCAATGCTATGGAATCCTGGTATTTGTAGTTTAGTTAGGCACCAGTGCTATTTAGCAGAGATGGTTCAAGACTTGTAAAACTGCAACACTCATATTTCCCTAGCACTGAGTCATGCAGTTAAAGTGGTGCCTAACTTCATTAATTATTTGGTGTAAGTGCATCCAAATTGATAGCATTCACCAATATGATTGTCTCCATTGTGCCATAGGAAGAGTGAGGTAAAAAGAATGATGACTTATTTATATATTTACAGTATTTATTTATCCGCCCTTTTCACCCTGCAGGGGATTCAGGGTGGATTGCAATGCACATATACAGGGCAAACATTCAATGCCATTTAGACATATAACATATATAGACAGACACAGAGGCAATTAAACATTCCAGCTTTCCGGCTTCATGAGGGTATCCTTGATTCCAGCCACAGGGGGAGCTGTCTTTTCACCGTCCACTTGTGACACCGAGACCTTGATGGATTACTTCCTCAGTCTTACGCACGCTGCTGGAAGGTTTTATGGTGTCATAAATTAGTTAAATTAGCCTCCCCGCATAAAGTGGTACCTAAATTTCCTACTTGACAGATGCAACTGTCTTTTGGGCTGCATAGGTCAACAGCAAGCTACACTATTAATAGTCGGGAGCTCACTCCGACCTGAGCTGGCTTTGAACTCATGACCTTTCGGTCAGTAGTGATTTAATACAGCTGACTACTATCTAGCTGCGCCACAGCCTGGACTTGCCAAGGACTATCTTGATCTGGAGTCAATATCTGGATTTGCAATTTCTTAGTTTATACTCTTGAAATAGTACATTTACTTCACTCCTGCCAGTACTGTTGATTAAGAAGCAGGAGGGGGGCTTACTGCTATTTGTTTTCTCCATAAGGTTAAATGAGAACCTGTTCTTCCTCCCCAAAAGCTACTTCATTGGTCTTCCTTCATCTCCTATTCAGCTCTTGTAGAAATCTTCTCTCTTGTATTCAGTTCCGTCTTTTGAGAATCCATGGAAATGGACTTTCCTATTGCTTCCTCTATTATTCACAGAAAGAATGAATGAGAAATGCTTGCCATTACCAAACTGATTGAGATTTGGTTTTTTTGTTATTTCATGCCAAAAGCATTGGATACAAAAATATAAAACTTATAAAAATATAAGTATAAGCGGCTAATAATTTTTGACCAAAACCGGGCAACAGTGACTGCATTGTCTGTAGCTTTAAACAATTCTTCCGCTGTACATGAGGCAGGGCATTGTGGACAAGCATACAGGTGCGGAGTTGTTTGTTCTGCTCCACAGTCACACAAGGTAAAGGATTCTTCTACGTAGTGTCATTTTGCCATGCTGTCTTTTGATCTTCCCACTCCACTTCTGAGTCTTTTCAGGGACTTCCAAGTTGACTATTCTTGGTTCGCCCCTGGAGGCAGATCTTCTTCAGAGACCATCCAATTGGGATGTCCTGGTTTAACTAAAATTTGTTGAGCCTTGTATATTTATGTGAGTTGGGTGGGCAGGAAAACGATACTCCAGATATTTTTGGTCTCTTTGCTCTCACAAGCTGTAGGCAGCCGTGAAGGATTTGTGCGAACTGCATCCAATTCCTAGTTTTCTATCCCTTAGGTGGGTAAACCATTCCATGTGAAGTAGCCGTTAGATTACCTACCAAGGTCAAAAGTTACTTCTGTGGCTTTTAAAAAGGAGAATTGTCTCCTTATATACATTTCTATGGCAATAGAATTAGTGGTTTCAGACAAAGATTATAAATTCCTTTTTTATATAATCTTTATTTGAAAATTTTGATTAATAATAGAACAAAACAATAGCAGTAAAATGCAACTTAAAAATGATATATAGAATCTATATCAGAAAAAAAGACAAATAGAGATAGAAAAACAAGAGAAGAAAGAAAGACAAAGATAATAAATTCCTCAAGTGTGGTCGTCTTCAGTTGAAAAGACACATGTTTTGCGCATTAATTTGTGCTGTTTTTATAATTTAATAACTAGATTCAGATAGTATGCATAATTATGATTCAATGTTATATAGACATCAGTTATCTACTCATGAGAATGTAAAAAGATCAAAGGCATGAACATTTAGCATAATTTATTGTTGTGTGCAAAGTTTATCTGATCATTACTATGGTTTGTGCAGTGGTTCCACACCTTTGGGCCTCCAGGTGTTTTGGACTTCAACCCCCAGAAATCCCAGCCAGCTTACCAGCTGTTAGGAACTGTGGGTGCTGAAGTCCAAAACACCTGGAGGCCCAAAGGTTGGGAACCACTGGTTTATTGAAATGTCAGCTTTGTAAATTATAGTTTGAGGTGGGATTATTGTGTCCCTCCAGATGTTGTTGGACTGCAACTTTCAGTAGCTCTTGCAAGTATAACCAGTGATTAGGAATGCTGAGAACTGTACTCCAACAACAACTAGAGGGCCACATGATTTATGCATTGATGACAATAGTTAAAATTCATCAGGTGCAAATTAAGACAAAATATTATTTTGTTTAGTTCAAAATGGGAGCAAAATCTTTTGATCTTCTTCACAGCAGTTCTCAGCCTGTGGGTCCCCAGATGTTTTGGCCATCAACTCCCAGAAATCCTAACAGCTGGTAAACTGGCTGGGATTTCTGGGAGTTGAAGGCCAAAACACCTGGGGACCCACAAGTTGAGAACCACTGTTCTAGCAGCTGTGCTGTAGGAGGGAAAGAGAGGTGCTTATAACAAGATATGTTCATATAATATTAAACAAAATCTGAACAAATCAACATTAAGAATAATGGAAAAGCAGAGCCAGATGTTTTCACAATAAACAAAAATTGCCATTGTTGTTATCAAGTCCCTCCAAATCTCATAAAGTGCCCTATAAAATGGAAAGAAACTATAATATTTTTCTTTTTTTGTTATGTGGAGCAAAATGCTGTGTGAAAATTACGCTCAACTATACAAGATGTACATTAGGGATGTGGTACCGTATTTTAAAAAATCATTCTTACAGGAAAGTGAGCGGGAGAGAACATTAACATTTTTGTTCTTTCAGTGAAATACAATTCACATAACAGAAAAAGTCTTTCTCCCCCACAAAATATGATATTTATCTTTTTTCCCCCCAGCTTGGAGGTAGCACATGCAGATGTTTACAATGGCCTCGGAAACTCCATCCTCCTCTTTCAAAGAGTTCTGCCCCTTGTACTACCTTCTCAATGCAATTCCTACAAAAATTCAAAAGGGATTTCGTTCCATTGTGGTGTACCTCACTTCGCTTGATACAAATGGAAACTACATTGCTGTGGGCAGCAGTATTGGAATGCTGTATTTGTACTGCAGGCACTTTAACCACATGAAAAAATACAATTTTGAGGTAAGGACAAACATTTCCTGATTACAGCATGGTTCTATTTTTCAAAATATTTCCCCCCCCCCCTTTTGAGTTTTCTATGTTGTGTTGGATAACCTGCCTTGGTTACCTTAATGGGGTATACTTTATCAAAAGAGATGGGAGAGGGTAGCTCTGTTGATTTCTTAGTCCTCTTAATCCCATTTTAAATTGTAATATCCTGGCTTTACAAATTTCGTAAGAGGAACACTGCTCAATGGTACTTTTGCCAATGTTTGAGAGAAAAACACTCAAAAGGAGCAATCACATGATACTCACATATTGGCATGCTAATTCTGCTATGCTTTTGCTTTTGTTTTATTAGGGGAAAAATGAGTCAATTACTGTTGTGAAGCTTTTGAGCTGCTTTGATGATCTGGTTGCCGTTGGGACAGCGTCAGGGAAAATTGCTATATTTCAGCTTGTCTCTTCACTGCCTGGGAGAAACAAACAAGTAAGAGCCAAACTTAATTAAACTTCTAAGATGTCCAAGACAGTTCCATTAAATTGTCTAGTTCTTTAATTATGGCAGTCAAGAAGAAAACTGTATTTAATGAAATACCTTTCAAGCACTCATTGTTGGGCTTTTCTTCCTTGAATGTTTTAATTAGACAGGACAGCTTTGTTTGGTAATACATTTCTGTGAAATATCTGATGCCTGTGACAATGAAGGAGCTTGATTGATAGAAAGATGTGCTAATATCTAAGCTGGCCCACTGAATCAAGTCACTGTATGTCTTCCCTTTTCTCCTCTTTCTCCTTTGTTTGTTCACGTGGTGCATTCATTTTCAGCTTCGAAGGTTTAATGTTTCTGGTTTCCACAAAAGTAGCATCACAGCCTTGGCATGGAGTCCTAATGGAATGAAATTATTCTCTGGAGATGACAAAGGAAAAATAGTCTATTCTGCTTTGGATCTAGATAAGGTAAATTGTTGGTTGTTCAAAATGTAAACTCCTGATACTAGGGACCTAGGCTTCTTATCGTCTTAAATATAAGGCCAAGTGACTTTGTTTTCCATGGTGGCTTTGTAAATGCTTCTGAAAAGCTTACTAGCAAGGCATCAAGAAGTTTAACCCTCTTCTGTTTTTTCCTCCTCTGCAGTTAGCATTCAAAGTCATGACATCTGTAATATCTAGCCATCATGGTCACGGTAGCAGCCATTAATAAAAATATGAAGTATAAGACTACATTACAGGCCATCATCCCCTATTGAGAAAGTGACTTTCATAGTTCAAATATCAGTTATGTGGAAATGTATTTCCTTTTGTATGTCTTACAATTACGTTCAGTTGAAGGACCCGAGGTTCTAATAGTGTTCGACAGGCAAAAATCGACAGACAAAAATCCCTGAACTTTGGGTCCTCACGGGACCCAAAGCAGCTTACAACATATTAAAATCATGTAAACAGCAATCCAAATACATTGATAATAAGTACAAAACATCATAAAATAACAATTTAAAACAACAATAATATACATTCACATTCTTATAGTATCATGTCAGATCATATTGCACTTTGTTCCCGTCCATAAACATTTAGTTTCCTTCTCTAAAGGCTTGTCTAAACAGGAAAGTTCTTGAACAGAAGATTTGGAACAGAAATGAGAGAGCAATCTCCCCCTAAGTACATACTAAGGGAGCAGTCGTATACAAGACTTACTGCATTGGTACCGAATTCGTTGGGTGGGATGGTGTCATTAATGTAAACTTCAACATGCAGAAATTTATATTACACACCCTTGTTCAAGAATCTAGGTACTCTCGCATACACACAGCATATATATATTTACTTAATTTACTCATGGATAGCAGTGGTAGCTTAGAAATTGGGTCTACAGTTCTGCTCATATTTGGAATTAATGTGTACCGTATGTACTCGAGTATAAGCCGACCTGAATATAAGCCAAGACACCTAATTTTACCACAAAAAACTGGGAAAACTTATTGACTCGTGTATAAGCCGAGGGTGGGAAATGCAGCAGCTACTGGTAAATTTCAAAATAAAAATAGATACCAATGAAATTACATTAATTGAGGCATCAGTAGGTTAAATATTTTTGAATATTTACAGAAAACTGTGAGTTAAGATATGATTGTCCAACTCTGATTAAACCATTATTCTAACTCTTTTCAATGTAAATGTGCTTATGTGTCCTTTCAATAATAATAAATAGAATAAAATAATAAATATAATAAAAATAATAGAGTAAAATGTAATAATAATATTAGAATAAAATTTGGGCGTGTCAGGAGCAACTTGAGAAACTGCAAGTCGCTTCTGGTGTGAGAGAATTGGCCGTCTGCAAGGATGTTGCCCAGGGGACGCCTGGATAATTTGATATTTTTTTATCATCCTTGTGGGAGGCTTCTCTCATGTCCCCGCATGAGGAGCTGGAGTTGATAGAGGGAGCTCATCCGCCTCTCCCCGGATTTGAACCTGCGACCTATCGGTCTTCAGTTCTGCCGGCACAGGGGTTTAACCCACTGCGCCACCGGGGGCTCCTAGAATAAAATAATACATGAATAATAATAAATAGAGTAAAAAAAACCCCCAAAAATAACATACTCAAGGAAGTCTGGGAAGAAGATTTAGGGATAAAAATAAATGAAACAGAGTGGTAACAATTATGGAGACAAAGATATCTAAAAATTTATTAATACGGGTTAAAGAAAATTAATATGGAAATGGTACCTAACAACAGTAAGAATAGCAAATATAAATAAAAACTACTCAAAAAATTGCTGGAGAGGATGTCAAGAATCAGGAACATATATACATATGTGGTGGCAATGTAAATATATAAATAATTTGGGGGGGGGAGTATTTAGAGAAATCGTAGATATAATGAATATTAAAATAGAAAGAAGTCCTAGTATAGCTTTATTATCATTATATAATGATAAACAATTGAAAAAAGAGGATAAAGATGTGATAACAAATTTATTAACAATAGCAAGACTCAAATTCGACCTAATTCGGACCGCTTATCTACATTAATAACCCCAAACCGGTCTCCTAAGGTAATTTGGTGTAACCAGGCTGGCGGGCCCTCCAGATTGAAGGTGGTGCTGTTGAACGCCAGATCTGTCAACGGAAAAACGACCTATATCCAGGATCTAATCCTGGATGAGCGGGCAGATCTGGCGTGCATTAAGGAGACCTGGTTGGATGAAGCTGGAGGCATGAATCTCACCCAGCTTTGTCCTCCAGGTTTCTCCGTACAGCACCAACCGAGATCCGGAGGACGGGGAGGCGGGGTCGCAGTGGTCTATAGAGGTTCCATCCATCTGACCAGGAGTCCCATCCTGCAGACCACAAATTTTGAATGTGTCCACCTGAGGCTGGGTGACCGGGACAGAATAGGGATTCTGTTAGTGTACCGTCCACCTCGCTGCACTACAGTCTCCCTACCTGAGCTAGCGGGGGTAGTCTCGAGCCTGGCGTTGGAGTCTCAACGGCTTCTTGTGCTGGGAGACTTCAATATCCACGCCGAGGCGACCCTCACAGGAGCGGCTCAGGACTTCATGTCTGCCATGGCAACCATGGGGCTGTCCCAACAAGTATCTGGCCGCACCCACTGTGCTGGACATACATTGGACTTAATTTTCTGTCAGGGATGGGAGGAAGGTGGCGGTGTGGAGGAGTTGACGATCTCTCCGTTGCCATGGACCGACCACTTCCTGATCAGATTTAGGCTCACTGTGCCCCCTAACCTCTGCAAAGGTGGAGGACCCATTAAGATGGTCCGCCCCAGGAGGCTTATGGATCCGAATGGATTCCTGACGGCTCTTGGGGATTTTCCCGCCACCTCGGTAGGTGACCATGTCGAGGCCTTGGTCGCTCTCTGGAATGGGGAGATGGCCAGGGCAATTGACACGATCGCTCCGGAACGTCCCCTCTCAAGTAGCCGAGCTAAACCAGCCCCTTGGTTTACTGAGGAGCTGGCAGTGATGAAGCGAAGGAAGAGGGAACTAGAGAGTGTGTGGCGTTTGGTTCCGAGCGAGCCAAATCGAACACGGTTTGTGTCCTTCCTAAGGGCATATGCCGCGGCAATAAAAGCCGCAAAGAAAACCTTCTTTGCGGCCACTATTGCGTCTGCAAAGAACCGTCCGGCGGAGTTGTTTCGGATTGTCAGAGGTCTTTTAACTCCCGCCACTCCAGGCGGGAGCCCTGACAATTCGGTCACGCGCTGTGAAGCATTTGCTCGGTTCTTCGCAGACAAAGTCGCTTTGATCCGCTCTGGGCTGGACTCCGCGTTAAATGCAGTCTCGGAGGATGTAACAAGAGCACCTGCTTGTCCTATTTTGATGGATTCCTTTCAGTTTGTGAAACCCGAGGATGTGGACAAGATACTTGGAGGAATGAGGCCCACCACGTCCATCCTAGACCCCTGCCCATCCTGGCTTCTGAAGGAGGCCAGAGGGGGATTGGCCGAGTGGGTAACGGTGGTGGTTAATGCCTCCCTTCGGGAAGGCAAGATTCCAGCGAGCTTAAAACAAGCTATTATAAAACCGCTGTTGAAGAAACCATCACTGGACCCCACTAAATTTGACAACTTTCGGCATGTTTCCAATCTCCCCTTTTTGGGCAAAGTCATGGAAAGCGTGGTGGCCTCACAACTCCAGGTATTCTTGAGAGACACGGATTATCTGGATTCGGCACAGTCTGGTTTCAGACCGGGACATGGAACTGAGACGGTCTTGGTCGCCTTAGTGGATGATCTGCGCCGGGAGCTAGACAGGGGGAGTGTGTCCCTGTTGGTGCTCCTGGACCTCTCAGCGGCCTTCGATACCGTCGACAACGGTATCCTTCTGGGGCACCTTGCGGAAATGGGCCTTGGGGGCACTGTTTTGCAGTGGCTCCAGTCATTTCTGGAGGGCCGCACCCAGAAGGTGTTATTGGGGGACACCTGTTCGACACCACAGCCATTGACCTGTGGGGTTCCACAGGGCTCTATACTGTCCCCCATGCTGTTTAACATCTACATGAAGCCGCTGGGTGAGATCATCCAGAGTTTCGGGGTGCGGTGTCATCTGTACGCAGATGATGTCCAACTCTGTCACTCCTTCCCACCTGCTACTAAGGAGGCTGTCGAGGTCCTGAACCGGTGCCTGGCCGCTGTAATGGTCTGGATGAGGGCGAACAAACTGAAATTAAATCCAGACAAGACAGAGGTACTCCTGGTCAGTCGCAAGGCCGAACAGGGTATAGGGTTACAGCCTGTGCTGGATGGGGTCGCACTCCCCTTGAAGGCGCAGGTTCGCAGCTTGGGTGTGATCCTGGATTCATCGTTTAGCCTGGCACCCCAGGTTTCAGCGGTGACCAGGGGAGCATTTGCACAGCTTCGGCTCGTGCGCCAGCTGCGCCCATACCTCGGGATGTCTGACTTGGCCACGGTGGTACATGCTCTGGTCACATCCCAACTTGACTACTGCAATGCTCTCTACGTGGGGCTGCCCTTGAAGACGGCCCGGAAGCTTCAGCTAGTCCAGCGCGCGGCTGCCATGCTACTAACAGGAGCAGGACGCAGGGAGCACACAACGCCCTTGTTGTTCCAGCTCCACTGGCTGCCGATCTGCTACCGGGCCCAATTTAAGGTGCTGGTGTTGGCCTACAAAGCCCTAAACGGTTCCGGCCCAAAATACCTTTCTGACCGCATCTCAGCCTATGAGCCCACGAGGGCCTTGAGATCATCTGGGGAGGCCCTTCTCTCGATCCCGCCTGCCTCACAGGCACGTCTGGCGGGGACGAGAGATAGGGCCTTCTCAGTGGTGGCCCCCCGGCTATGGAGCACCCTCCCTGTTGACATCAGACAGGCGCCCTCACTTATGGCATTCCGTAAGAGCCTAAAAACATGGCTATTCGAAAAGGCGTTTAACTAAGTGCTATAACAATTGGCAATGACGACTGGAACGGAATATGGATTATGAGATTGGCTTATGATTCTATGTTGAGACGACGCGGATGATTTAGTTTAATTATATGTTTTGTAAACTGTTTTTATATGTTGTACACCGCCGTGAATCGCCCTAAGGGGCTGAGAACGGCGGTCAACAAATGCAATAAATAAATAAATAAATAAATTATAGCAAGGAATTGGAAAAGAGAAATAATATACAAGTTGAGGAGCAATACAAGGAAGTATGGAAATTGGCAGTAAATGATAAGCTGACATATTAAAAATTAAAAGAGGTATATGGAAACAAAGTGATTTTGATGATGTATGAAGAAAATTTATGGAAAATGGATTAAAAAAGGATAAAAGGAAAGTTACCTCCACAAGAAGATTTGAAATTTTGGACAGATATGTAAAAGCTGTGGCTTGGGAGGGGGGGGGGAGCACAGTGGTGAGGGATAGATAATATGCATAAGCAGAAAAATAACAGTAGATGCCAAAAGTTAAAGTATGGTAGGTTGTATTGAATAATATGTATCTGTTGTAAAATAAACAATGTATAACAAATGTATTTAACCATGATAAAATAATAAAAAAATAAATAGAGTAAAATAATAAATGTAATAAAATAATAATAGAGTAAAATAATGGAATAATACTACTACTACTACTAATAATAGTAATAATAACAGAGTAAAATAATAAATAACTTTGACTCGAGTCTAAGACAAAGGGAGCTTTTTCAGTCTAAAAAAAAGGGCCGAAAAGCTCAGCTTATACTCGAGTATATATGATAATTTTGAATACTGCTAGTCTTTCATAGAATCATAGAGTTGGAAGAGACCACAAGGACCATTCAGTCCAATCCCTTACAATGCAGGAACACACAATCAAAGCACGTCCAACAAATGGCCATCCAGCCTTTGCTTTAAAATCCCCAGAGAAGGAGACTCCACCAACTTAAGGAAATCTTGGCAAGAATAATATTTTGGTCTTATGTGATGTGGGCTATGGGAACCGAATTCTGGTGTGCCTTTGTCAGATAGTCAGCTACTGTTTGAACCAGTTTTAACCAAGCTAACATGGGCACCTAGCAAGTTTTAATGTACACAGGATCTTATCTTGAAAAATCGTGCTCATCTCTTTCCTGTGTTCTGTCTTTCCAGGGACTTTGCACCTCCACTTTGGTATTGGAAGAACCATGTTCAATTGTGCAACTGGATTATAGTCAGAAAGTACTGCTGGTCTCCACTTTACAACGAAGTCTACTTTTTTATACTGAAGAAAAGTCTGTCAAGCAAGTTGGAGCCCAACCCAGAAAAAAGTAACTCTTCAATTTTGTTCCAAGCAGCTGTAAATGGAGATGGGTTTGAATGGCTTTTTGAGATCCTTACAGCTTTTCTTAAAATGTTTTATAAGCAATTGCTTGTCTCTAAAACTAGTAGTAAAAGAAGCATAATAGATACTTTTCATGTATTATTCCTGTTATTTCAGTTGGTATGAAATGAAATGTTCTTCATTCCCTTAAAAATATACAATATAGTTGTTGAGGACTAGCGTGTTAATCTCTTAAACCGCCCCATTATTATAGATACCATGACTAGGCCTAACTACAGTGGGGCATTTGATTAAATGAAGTTAATTTAAATATGAACGTTATTGAATGAGTATTTTCTATTTGGGGTTGGCAGTTAGATTTAGGTCTTTTTAAAAAAGTTGGATCATTATTGTCAAATGTATTGTCGAAGGTTTTCATGGCTGGAATCACTGGGTTGTTGTGAGTTTTCCAGGCTGTATGGCCATATTCCAGAAGCATTCTCCCCTGACATTTCACCTGCATCTATGGCAGGCATCCTCAGAGGTTGTGAAGTCTGTTGGAAACTAGGCAAGTGGGATTTATATATCTGTAGAATGTCCAGGGTGGGAGAAATAACTCTTGTTTGTTTGAGGCAGGTGTGAATGATGCAGTTGGCCACCTTGATTAGCATTTAATGGCCTTGCAGCTTCAAGGTCTGGCTACTTACTGCCTGGGGGAATTCCTTTGTTGGGAGGTTATTAGCTGGCTCTGGTTATTGTCAAAGTCAACTCCAACCTGGGGTTTTAGAATCATATGTTTTTCACCCACAAATATGTATAATTATGTTGTTTGACCATTCTTTTTCTTTTGAATTGTAGTACTGGCAAATTTGGAGCATGTTTTATACCTGGTTTGTGTAAACGAAGTGATCTAACATTATTTGCTGGAAGACCTGGGATTCGTCTTTGGAAATCAGATGTCCATGGGACTGTTCAGGCTACATTCATTTTGAAAGATGTATTTACTGCTGGGATGAAGCCTTTTGAATTATATCCTCGAGTGGAACCCTTGAACAAGAATAGCTATAATTTCCCAGAGAGGCAACTTGGACTCATTTCCTGCTTTTTCCAGGAAGGGTGGGTGTTGAGCTGGAATGAATATAGCATCTATTTATTGGACACAGTAAACCAGGTGAGTAATGCCAACAGAGGAACATTTGAGCCTTTGCACTTGAAGACCATCCCCGTTGAATGTCTTTCTGTAATTATTACATAATTGTTATCCAAAACAGTGCTTTTTCAGCTACCTGATCTACCAGGCCAACTATTAATTTCTCAATGTGACAGTGACTGGTGCCAAATTTCTGCCATGTTATTATGATATTTTTATAGTTTGCTGGAAATTCATCACAGTCTGGCAGCCACTGGCTCATGCACTGGCGCTCGTCCATGCTTTGCCACTGAGTAGCTCTGATCTGAAGAATGCATTTAGATTGATCTGTGCTGTGACAAGATTTTGGCATTGCAACATTCTACTTTTGCAGCTTGATGTTAACATATGCTGCTAGTATTGTGGTTGAAATTTGATTTCCAGTTTGGCACTTCAGATTTCCTCCAGTTGCCATGCCTCTTTCTTTGTTAACACCGTTTTTTAATAGTTTCCAAGATTTTCTCCCCAATTCTAAAAGCTTTAAAAGCCTCTCCTGCAGCTTAGTCATTGGGACTAGAGTTTAAAGGTCAAATATAGTGGTATATTCGGTCCCTTTCTTTCCTATGCCTACAAGGGAATGGAGACCATGAGAACCAAGACAGTAGTTCAGTGGTTCTCAACCTGGGGGTCACGATTCCCAGGGGGGTCGCTGGACCATTTTCTGGGGGTCGTGAAGGCACCTCGGTTGGCCCCGCCCCCTCCACCTTCTCAAAATGGCTGCCAGCCTGTGCCAGGGAAACAGCCAGGCTTTCCAGGTCAGCTCCTCCCCCTTGCGCGAGGCCTCCCTCACCTGTATCGCTCTCCCAGCGGCAGGCGGGCACGGGGCAGGCGAGGGCCCCTTTGCGCAAGGCCTTGCGCAAGGCCTCCCTCGCCTGTATTGCTCTCCCTCGCCTCCATATCACATATTTACATTATGATTCGTAACAGTAGCAAAATTACAGTTATAAAGGAGCAACGAAAATAATTTTATTGTTGGGGGTCACCACGACATGAGGAAGCATATTTAGGGGTCACGGTGTTAAAAGGGTTGAGAACCACTGGTGTAGTCAGTATCCCAAATATTTAACTCTCAACTTTCCTCTATTTCTATTATCTGGGGCCTGCAGGCAGTGCAGTGGGTTAAACCCTTGTGCTGCTGAACTGCTGACCTGAAAGTTGGCAGTTCGAATCTGTGGGACGGGGTGAGCTCCCATTGTTAACCCTAGCTTCTGCCAACCTAGCAGTTTGAAAACATGCAAATGTGAGTAGATCAATAGGTACCGCTTTGGCAGGAAAAGGCGAAAAGATGCCCCATGCAATCATGCTGGCCACACAACCAGGAGGTACCTATGGACAACACAGGCTTCTAGGCTTGGAAATGAAGAAAAGCACCTCTCCCAGAGCCGGAGATGAGCATCTCCTCCAGAGCCGGAAATGAAAGGAGAAGCCTTTGCCTTTGTCTGTGTATTTGTGTCTCATTGTATTTCATTATAACAATGCATTGAATGTTTGCCTGGTTCTGGCAAACCTTCCACTCTGAGTCCCCTCGGGGAGAAGGGCGGAATATAAATAAAGTGTTGATATTATTATTATTATTATCTGATACTTTCATAAATGGCAAATATAAATACTACTAATAAACTTACTGTAGCCAAATGGTAGCACAAAGCATCTCATCACTACCATGTCAGTCATCGGGTACTTAGATTGATAGAACATCAAATATATTTAATTCATTTGGAGTAAAATGTAAGTATAACACGATACTCTCCATATATTTTTATAATAAGTCTTTTTGACCAACTCCAGCCAAAATTACTCCTGTCTCTGACTTCACAGCCCTGGTAAGGACTCATCTGAAATTCAGTTCACATCACAGACTGAAAGAGACTCCCTGTTCTTAGTTTAATAGCTGTTTCTGAACAGGAGTTTTATGCTGTACTTTTTGGCTGACCTTGTGGTGATATGAAGTACCAGGACTATATCAGTTAGCTGTGAAAAATGTACTAAGATGAACATTAGTTTCTCAGTGTCCTAGTTTCATGCCCAAGGCATGATACCATGCATGAAAGGTTTACTTTTCTCAAATAGGATATTACATGCATGTCTCACTTGTCACCATGTTCCAAAATGCAGTGATATTCTTCCTCTTTTTCTTCTCCTTAATAGACTTGTTAATGTATGCTACTTTGGGACTTGAAAGTGTCTGAGAATGTTGTCTGAAATTGCATTTCTCATGCCAAGAAGAGTGAATTATTATAGCAAGAGAGCTAGATTCTAAAACATTTTATAACACATTTCATGCTCTTAGGCAAGATTTACATAAATTGTACATTAATTCTTCAGCAGTTCAGCCATGTCATTTTGCTACATTGCTTGACAAAAGTACAATAAGAAGTCTGACATGTTATTTGCATTCTAAATTACTTCTTGGCACATTCGCAACTTACCTTCAACTTTTTTTGTTTCCATAGACGATGATTGGCAGTTTGGAAGGGTCTGGTGATATTGTGTCTGTGTCCTGCACTGAAAATGAGATTTTTCTTTTAAAGGGAGACAGAGATATCATTAGAATCTCAAGCAGACCTGAAGGGCTTATGTCAACAGGTTTGTATATATTAGCATGCTGAGTGTGCACCGTTTGTGAAGTACTCTGTGTGTGGTGAGTGAACTTCTATTCTTGGAATGGATGCAAATTGACCTTGACTTTCTCACCCACGTGGTGAGACATTCACCATTTAGCAAACAGGTCCCCCATTGACTGCTGCTTCTTGCGTGTGTTGAATTTGATGAGGCTGACAAAAGAATATACAATGTTTTGTGTTATATCAGTCTCTTGGCAGACAAGTTGTAATTCTCAGTGAATTTTTAAGTATGGGTAGTGACGTGATCCTGAAGTTTTATAGATTAAATGGAGCAAATTTTCCTAGCAGAACTTTGAAAAGTTGTTTTTGGGGGCTTCAATTACCAGTAACCATCATGGCGACTAGTTAAGTTTAAAACTCAGAACTCTACTGCCCCAGATTATCTGTTATTCAAATAATGACTTGAATAATTTGTGACTTGGATTTCACTCACACAAAATTGTTCTCTTGTTGTCTTGGGACAACTAGTAAACAGAGCTCAGAAAAGTTGCATTTTACACTCAATTTCTCAGATATTTCCCTTCCCAGTCAGCATGGGGATGCTGGGGAAGTGACTCTTGAGAACTTTAAAACCAAACAGGTAACCTTCCCAGGTGCTATTTACTACCACTCACCCTGTTGCATCTCCTCAAAACAATTTCTTGAAAGGATTCTCTGGAGTGGCATGCAGTATAGTGGATTTCTGAGAGATCCTTTGCATGGGTGGCAATGCCTTATTTATTTGTTTTATTTAGAACATTTATACCCCATCCTTCTCAACCTCCAAACAGGGACTCAGGACATCTTCCAACCGACAACTATTCGATGCCGACACAATATAATAACATAACATAAAATACAATTAGCATACATTAAAAACAGTTATAAATATTCATTAAAACAGTTTGCTGGTTCAAATCGTCATCCAAGTCAGTCTGTTGCGATCCACTAAAACCTTATATTCACCAGTAAATCAGTCTATTCTGCAAACGCTTGATTCCATAGTCAGGATTTGAGTTTTTTTCCGGAAGATCAGGAAGGGTGGGGCAGATCTAATCCCATAAGGGAGCGAGATCCATAGCCGATGGGCCACCACAGAGAAGGCTCTGTCTCTTGTCCCCACCAAACACAACTGCAATGGCAGTGGAACCGAGAGCAGGGCCTCGCCGGATGATCGTAAGGTTCTTGGTGGTTTGTAGAGGGAGATACTTCAGACAGGTAAACTGGGCCAGAACCGTTTAGGGCTTTATAGGTTAAGACCAGCACTTTGAATTGTGACTGGAAGCTAATAGGCCATGTCTGACATTCTGAGTAGTTGATTCCTTCCTCAGTTTTACCATTTCAAACCTTGCTTTTCAGACCTCAGGTCAAAGGTGATGAGCCCATCATCAGATTTGAGCCCCAAGTTACAGAGTCCACACTTGGTCATTGAATCGATGCCATCCAAGCCTTCTCCAGAAACAAGCCAAATACTGAGTACCTCCTCTTTACCCCAAACACCTGGTGACAAAAATGGCTCCGTAGGTAAAGCTGACCCAGATGGAGTACTAGTCATAGAGAAACTGCGCTCGCAGAGCTTTGATGAACTAGGGGATTTGAACACAAACTCAAGAAGAAGGGGCTATTCAGTAGCAAGTGAATCAAGAAGTAGGAGCAGCTCTGTGAATTCTGTGGACAGCAGTTCCAGTTTCTTGACTGGTGGGGATCAAACCTCAGAAGTACAGCGGGAAGGGCAACTTTCTTCCCAGCGCTTCAGCTTGATTAGTTCTGAAGACTTCAACCAGGAACTGATTGTAAAGGCAATCAAAGTGAAAAAGAAGAAGAGAAGGCCAGGTAAGAAGATGTTATCATTCTACATGGAACCTTTTCATTTAGAGTCTCACAAAAATTCTGATTCTAGATGTTTCTTGTTAATGTTTGTGTTTTAGAAATGATATAACTTATACATGTAATATGAAGAATAAGGTTGAAGGACTGGTTTTGTTTGGAGAGTTTGTTTGTTTACACAGATATCTACTTTCATTCCTTGCGTCTTGGTGTTTACTTGCATTCAAGCAATGTTAATCCTATTTACATCAGTAGAGCTGGATTAAAACAATAGCAAACAAATCTAACTTAATTGGTAAGTGAAAGCTTTAACTGATTGGATCTTGTGGATTATCATCTTTTAGATTACCTATTAGGGATATGTACACAGTTATGTTTTCCTTACATCGGTGTTGTCTCTTTTTCAATAATCTTTCCCTCCCACTTCAGGACCCAAAGCATCCAGACCTTTCTGAACAGTCTTTGAATGTCTTCTCCACAGCCATTTCATGCAGAAAGTAGACAGGATCAGAGGACCCTTAGCAGATCTCAACACTGCTGTAATTATTTTATGCCTGGCTACGCAGAGATAGCCAAGAGCTTCTTTGATGCTGCCTCTCCTCTCTGTGAGATGTGGAACGGCTGTGCCGGAGAGCTTCAGAGGCTGTCTGGAAAGTCTGTGGGTAATCCTAATGTGGATCTCTGTGTTGAACTTCTGTGCTATGCTGATCCATGCTGAACTACAGCCTTAAATAGCTACCTGTGACCTTTGGAACATGGGGCCACTGTGACACTTGTGACTTACTCAGTGAATCTGATACCTATTTACACTATTTATTTATCTATCATGTCAGAAGTGAGTTGAGGGTACAGTTAAAATGTATTTAAAAACACAAACAAAGTTTCAAAACTTGGCATTATGCTAAATGTTCTTTGACCAGAAGCTGGCCACTTGGAGTGCCTCTGGTGTCGCTGTGGCAGGGCTCAGGTTGCATTGTAGTAGGTGGTCTGTGGTTTGCTCTTCTCCACACTCGCATGTCGTGGACTCCACTTTGTGGCCCCATTTCCTAAGGTTGGCTCTGCATCTTGTGGTGCCAGAGTGCAGCCTGTTCAGCGCCTTCCAAGTTGCCCAACCTTCTGTGTGCCCAGGGTGGAGTCTCTCATTCAGTATCAGCCGTGGCTTGAGGTTCCGGGTTTTAGCCAGCCACTTTTGGACTTTCACTTGCTGAGGTGTTCCTGCGAGTATCTTAGAAACTATTTCTTGATTTAAGGCATCAGTGTGCAGGCTGATATCCTAAGAGAATGGACTGGAGATGTCACTGCCTTGGTCCTTTCATTACAGACAGTTACTTCCCGGCGGATGTCAGGTGGTGCAATACCGGCTAAGCAGTATAATTTCTCCAGTGGTGTGGGGCGTAGGGATCCTGGGATAATGCGACATGTCTCATTCAGAGCCACATCCACTGTTTTAACATGGTGAAATATATTCCACACTGTGCATGCATTTTCAGCAGCAAAGCGCAAGGGCAGATGTCTTCACTGTGTCTGGTTGTGTTCCCTAGGTTGTGCCAGTCAGCTTTCATACAATATTGTTCCTAGCATCCACTTTTTCCTTGATATTCAAGCAGTGCTTCTTCTAAGTCAGAGCACAGTCCAAAGTGACTCCCAAGTATTTTGGTGTGCTTCAATGCTCCAGTGGGATTCCTTCCCAGGTAATCCTCAGAGCTCGAGATGCTTGCCTGTTCTTAAGATGAAAAGCACACGTTTACATTATAGATGGATTAGGAATCAGCTGGTTTTCCCTGTAATAGGCAGTAAGAGCACCTAAAGCTTCGGAGAGCTTCTGTTCAACCATTTCAAAGCTCCCTGCTTGAGCAATGATGGCATGATTGTCAGCATAGATGAAACACTCTGTCCCTTCAGGCAATGGCTGGTCATTTGTGTAAATGTTAAACATTGATGGAGCAAGCATGCTCCTTGAGACAGGCCGTTCTTCTGTTTTCATCATCTGCTTCTCTTGCCCTGGAATTCAACAAAAAAGCTCCTGTTTTGTAGCAGATTTTCTATGAAGCAGGTGAGGTAGTAGTCCTTAGTGATATTATAAGTTTTTCTCAGGAGAAGGCAATGATTTACAGTATCATATGCTGCTGATAGGTCTATGAAGACAGTTCCTGTAATCTGCTGCCTTTCAAAACCATCTTCTATGTGCTGAGTCTATGTACTATTTACAGCAGAAAAGTGCCTTCTGAGCCAAAAGATGAAAGACTGTGACCTGCAACGCAGAATCAAACCCTTTGAAAAGGTGATGACAGAAACGTTTCTATAGGACTGTAGAGAAGTTCTTCAGCTGTTTGGTGTGAAGTACCATAGGGCTGTCACCCTATTTATAGAGTTTATTTCCAAAAGGTACCAAATCCATCTGAACAAATTTTACAAGAATTAGGGGGAAAAGTGCAGAGAATATACATTCTTTGGCTCTAAAATGCAATTTTCCAAGCCCTGTACTGAAGTAATTTGATACTTTTTTATTGTTATGATTTATACGTAATATTCTACTCTTAGCCAACAATGTGTTGTAAAAAGGTAAAGGTTGTCCCCTGACATTAAGTCCAGTCATGTCTGATTCTGGGGTGTGGTGCTCATCTCCATTTCTAAGCCGAAGAGACACCTCCAAGACACCTCCAAGGTCATGTGGCCGGCATGACTGCATGGAGCGCCGTTACCTTCCTGCCGGAGCCGTACCTATTGATCTATTCACATTTGCATGTTTTCAAACTGCTAGGTTGCCAGAAGCTAGTTCTGACAGCGGAAGCTCATGCCGCTCCCCGGAATCGAACTGTGACCTTTTGGTCAACAAGCTCAGCAGCTCAGCGCTTTAACACACTGCGCCACCGGGGGCACCTGACACAGCACAACATTGTACCTATAACCAATTTTTCACTCTTTTTTGGATTTGGTACCTTTGGGAACAAACTCCATGTTTGTGTTCATTGACAACAGCCATTTATTTCTTGGAAACTCAATGCAAACTAGCATTGGTCAACAGATCACCACTTTGAATAGGGCTACTTTAGAGCATACAAAGTCCATCATCTTGTAAGCTTTACCATAATCTTTTAAGGAAGACCAAGGTTGCTGTCTCCATGTTGTGGATATGGAAGATTGAGGCTAAGGGAGGACTTCAGTCTCCAAATAATGTATTTGTTGCATAGCTTGCACACAGAATTGGTAAGATGGCATGGGCTCTTATATTGGGGCAGCTTGGATTAATCTAACTAGGCTGTCTGCTTGTCCTTGTGATATGAGATCTGTTTTAGCTTGCTGGTCCTGTGGATATGAACAAGACTGTTTGAAACAGAGACAGCTACCATCTGTTTACTTGATCCTTATCACTCCTGACTAATTCAATCTGTCAAAGTGGACGTAATGCCTGTGGGTGAGGGAAATTAATGTTTCTTTATAGAAAGGAGTTGTTCTACTTAAAAGAGGTCAGCCGTGACCTTTATTAAAGAAGTCTACATTCAGCCAAACAATATTTATAAATTATGAGCCATGTATCATGCTTTTGTTGATTTAAATAGTGGGGGTGCTGTAACTGCAGGCACTTCTGAATGATTTATTATCTTGACCTGTTGAAATCCAATGTTTGAATGGAATGTGGAAGTGGGTCTGATTTGCTTAACTTGGTGAATGACCTATGCTGGGGACTGGACTGAGCACATGTGATCCTATCAGTTCTCCTGTACATCTTAGTAGATTTCAGTATTGTAAAACATACTAGCGGAACAGCCTTGCTGGACTGGTTGTTGAGGACATTGCAATGGAGTGATTCTGATTCTCCCAGCTGTCCCAACAAAGCTGTATTGTGGGATGACTGTTGGACGACTATATCCTTTGTTATAAGATAATCCACAGGGTTCTGTTTTGTCAGCCATGTTCAACATCTCGTATATCAGGGATTAGCAAAATGTGGTCCATGGCCTGTGTGTCTTTTTGTGGCCTGTGACACTCTCTCCTCCCAAGTGGAGCCACAATAGCACAGCAAGTTAAACTGCTAGCTGTAGGAAAGCTGCTGACCAAAAGATTAGCAGTTTGAAGTTGCTAGTCAAGGTGAGCTTCCAACTGTCAGCTCTAGCTTCTGCAAACCTAGAAGTTCGAACGCATGCAATACAAGTAGATCAATAGGTATCACCTCGGCGGGAAGGTAAAAGGGTTCCCCATACAGATATGTAGACAACAGCCATGGAAAATGAAACAAGAGCACCTCTCCATGTCTGGATTTGAGCATAGCCTCCAGACGCCAGAGATGAAAAAAGGGAAAGGACTTTATCCTTGTCTGTGTTGTATGTCATTGTTCACTGTTGTGTAAAAAGGCAGTAAATGTTTGCCTCGTATGTGCCTTGTAATCCGCTCTCAGTCCCTCCGGAGAGATAAAGCAGAATATAAATTGTTGTTATTATTATTAAGTGCCTGCAGAGTCCTATTGGACAGACATCCAACAAAGGGCATTTTACTGAGTGCTTCCAGATTGCATATTTAGGACTGTGACCCATTTCCATTCTCAGTGATTTTAGGAAAGACATGAAGGTTTCTCTCTTCAAACTGACCCTTTAAATTATTTTAATGTTTATTTAATGTTTATTAATTATGTATATCAGTGATTTAATGGTTTATTATTCTGTAGTGATCATAATGGCTTTATCATTCATTTTGCTTTTGATGATGTTATCCACTCTAAATACTTCTATAGACTGGACAAAATTGAAAAATGAAATCATTCCTTGCTTTCACTTGGCCCTAGAACTGTATTCCTTCAACTAATAAACTGCATTGTTTTCTGTCCCCATCTTCTCTCACCCTTCCCTTACTATTTCCCAACTATGTACAAATGTAGGAAATGGAGCCAGGAGACATCCCAGCTCTCTGGAAAGCACACCATGCTATGAGGATCAAGGCTTCAGTGATAGCTCTTCATTTCTAAATGCAGATTCATTCTCCATTAACTCTAGCCTCATGGGCAGCATCACAGACCGCTTAAGTGTGAATTCTGTGGACCAGGAAAGTATATTTAGTTCAGAATCGCAAAACGTGTTACGGGAGGAAAATGGCTCTGAAACATTCAGTGTTCTTCAGTCTCCAGAGTCGGTGGCTGCTCTTACGCCTGAGGACAATGGTGCGGTTGAATTGCTGAAACTTTCTAACAATGAAAGTGCAGTAGGCACATTGTCTACTATGGACTTCTCAACCTCTGCTCCTCCCTTGCTTCTGCCTGAAGAAAAACTAGGCTGTGATGACACTGAATGTAATTGGACACTCCCTCAATCTGAACAAACCAAAGCCATTGTAGAGCTGCCATGTCAAGATGAAGCACATGCTCTTTTCCCATGTAACATGGAGAGCACTTCAGATAAATTAGATTCATCAGGAGATTTAGAGTCTCTGGAAAACACAAGCTCTGAGAAAGGGATGCCTGCAAATGTGCATGCAGCCTCTAATGCCGAGAATGGGCTACTTGGTTGGGCTGCAGCAATACAAAACAACCCAGAGCAAAAGCAACAGCAGTCTCTGGGGGACACTATCCCCCCTGTCCTTTCTGAAAAAGAAGTACGTCCTCAAGAGAGTGCGTTTTGGGGGGGATTTCAAGCGATGCCCAACACCCACACTGCCCGCAAATGGATCAGTGACACTTGTGATGTTAGAGCTGAGAAATCTGCATCGAGTGATGAAGAGGACATCTATGGGCATGGCTTGTCTTACTCCTCTTCAGAGGCGAGTGTGGCAGAAATCGGGGCCTGTCTTCCTCTGCAGGACAAGATCCGAACACACATAGAAGAAGGAGTGCTTTTAAAATCAGACCAGGTATTTACAGTTGCAACATCTGTCAGAGGGTCTCCAACATGTACTTACACTAAGATTACCCTATATAACCATGATTAAGTCAAGAAATTTTAATCAATTCAACACCAAAAACTGGGTCAGTTTGTCCACATGTCAGTATTTACTTCTTATCAAAAAAGGGAACCGTCCCCTTCTCTGTGTTGAGTGGCAAAAGGCAAGAGCGCTAGTCTGTCCTGGGAGAATCCAACAAAAGCACCAATCCCCTTAAGTCTCTTTGCCTTGTCACCACCTCTGCCCTGTATGAAAGCCTGGGTTGGGAATTGGTGGTGGCAACCAGGGGCAGCTGGCCTGTGAGGAAGCATTGGGGCTTCCCCCTCTTCATGGAGTGATCCTCAGCTTAACCATGGGTCATATCAGAATCCCTAATTTTGACTTCAAAATCTGCCTTCAACTTATACATGGAGTCAACCTATACATGAGTATATATAGTAGCCCCTTTACCTTTCAATAAGCAAATTCTGCTATTTCTCCATCACAAACCCATACCTATGACACACCCATATTGTTTCCACATATCCTCTGTAAACTTCAGAAGTAACTTTTAGAGGAGAGTGCAGTGGGGCTTGAGAAGAAGTAGGTGGCAAGTCAGCCTCTGTGCATGAATAGGATTCAGGTTAGGGTGTTGTGTGGTTGTCCTTTCCTAGTTGAATCCATTGTAATTAAACCTTTTTGCTAAAACACATTTTAGGGAATTTTTTTGTACAGGTAGAGTCGAGTTACAAACATTCAGCTTACAAAGGACTCATAGTAAGAATGGGGGTGAGACAACAAGAAGTGAGAGAAATCTACCTCTAGGAAGCGAAATTCACTCCTGTAAGAGTTTTCATGGGGAAAATGTGTCTCAATGGAAGCTTTATCACCAATCCTTGTCTCCATAGCAAGTCAAATTTTTCAAAACCCAAGGACAGAAATTGAAGTGAAATCTTCTGAAAAGGGGCACAGACATACACCATAGGGATGTTAACCCTTTTCAATGCTATCCAAAGCTTACACACACACACACACACACACACACACACACACACACACACACTCAGCATATCACAGAACACATATTCAATGCCGATTAAACAATGACAAGACAAGCAAGAGTATTTGTTCTGTCCAGTCTCTCTCATAGTCAATTAATAGGTCCTGAAAATATAGTCCCAGGCCCCACTTTGGTCACTGCTAGGATCGACTTTTTGCTTCCCCTCCATCTCCCCAGCCCTATATTGTTCTTCACTATCCTGGACCCAGACACCTTAGACGGTTGAGGCCCGCTTGACTACCCCGGCCCTTAGCAACTCATTCCAGATTATAGAATATAATCTGTATTTATAGTATTTGTTTTGTATTAATAATTTTGTGTTTTTGTTTGGACTACTCTGTATATTTCTTTTGTGTCATTGCACGTGTGGAAACCGCTCTGAGTCCCCTAGGGGAGATAGAGCAGTGTATAAATAAAATTATTATTATTATTATTATTATTATTATTATTATTATTATTATTATTATTATTAGGTGGGTGGGGGGCTGGGCTAAAGGTCAAGAGCTCACCCTGATCCAGCTTCGAACTGTCAACCTTTCGGTTGGCAAGATTTAATAATAATAATAATAATCATCATCATCATCATTATCATCATCTTTATTTATATTCCGCTCTATCTCCCCAAAGGGAGATTCAAAACATAAAAGGCAAACATTCAATGCCTGAATACAACAACAATACATCCATGCTAACAAAATTTATACAACCCAACATATAAATACGAATTATAACTTAACAAACTAAAATTAAATAAAAAGCACAGCCTGTTATAACAGGCAAAAAGACAAAACATCCAACATCAAATGGAAACATCGATTCCCCATTTCTTTGGGGCAAATCGATTAATCATTGCTCAAGATATCTATTGAGCTAGTGGGGTGAGCAGGGCATGGATACAGATGGCAGCTATTAATCAGAGGTATAATGGTAGTATTACCAACTACAACTGCATGCATCTTGATTCATCCCCAAAGGGGGAAGTGCAAATCATAAATGGATTTCTAATCCCTTCCAGTTTTATTTCAGCGAGGTGATGTGGATCCATAAGAAAATTGCCTACTGGACATTGAGCACTTAACACTACAATAAAAAAAATGTTTTGTGACTTGCCATGTTTGTATCTATGAAGATACCTCACCCAGTTCTAACTCTCCAGTCTTTAGTTTGCAGAAAGCTGGATGGGCTACGCAGGCCCTGGCTACGGGATCTTGAGCCTGGTCGTCTCTGATAAATACATTTGGTGCCTGGATTACAAAGGTGGCCTCTACTGCAGTGCTTTACCTAGCGCTGGTTTGCGCTGGCAGAGATTTGAAGACAATGTCCAGCAGGTGGCAGTCTCGCCTTCAGGTTGGTTTAGGATAGCATTTTTGGTGGTTGGTTAGGAAACCTGTGAAAAAACTCAAATGCTTTTCTTTGCTTGGGTTAAATTCTGTCTTTATTATTGATATACAGTATACAGAGGCCATTGTTAGAGCAAATAATATCATTCCCTGCCCTTTTGCTGTGATATGAGCACTTTACAAAACATGGAAGCCCAAATGAATATAGAATTCTGGGTTGTTGTAGGAGTTTTTTTTAACTATATGGCCATGTTCTAGAGGCATTCTCTACTGACTTTTCGCCTGCATGTATGGCAAGCATCCTCAGTCACCTCACTATCTCTGAGGATGCTTGCCATAGATGCAGGAGAAACTTCAGGAGAGAATGCCTCTAGAACATGGCCATATAGACCAAAAAAACCTACAACAACCCAGTGATTCCGGCCATGAAAGCCTTCGATAATACAATATAGTATTCTCTAATATGGATGTTTGGTGTTTACAACGAAGTACTGTAGACACAAAATATAGCAGCATTTACTGCATGAGTAGAAAAATAAAAATGATAAGGTAGGTTGAATATACAGTACAACCCTTGTATTCAGGCCCGTAGCCAGGATTTCGATTCGGGGGAGGGGGGCTGAGTTTTTTTCAGGGGGGTTTGAGTATGGTGATCAGATCATGATATGAATAAACATAACAGTTTAAATAATGCACCAGTAAGGCCTTTTCACGAACCACCATGAGAATTTCGGGGGGGGGGGGCTGAAGCCCCTGAAGCCCCCCCCCCCCCCTCTGGCTACATGCCTGCCTGTATTCATAGGGGATCTGTTCCAGGATTTGGTAAGGGTATGTGAAAATACTGGTAATAGTGAATTCTGATGAATGAATTACTTCTGGCTGAAGTGTAACATAGCGTCGCATTGGAGGATCAAGGAAATGCTTAGAGAAGATATTTTTCTAGGCATTGCTAAGCCAGACAGCATTCTCTATTGTCCAACTCTGACAAAAACATACAACAGAATTGCCTAGAGCATAGTTTCTAAAACTGTGCTCTTCCAGATGTTTTGGACTTCAGCTCCCACAACAGCTAGTAAACTGATTGAGATTTCTAGGATTTGAAGTCCAAAACACCCGGAGGAGCACAGTTTGAGAAACACTTTACAAGAGTACTGAGAAAATACTTAAGGAGGACATATTTTGTAAAATGTGAGTAAATGAAACACTGGGTACTGGTTCTGCAAATACGGGGGTCGTATTGTATTGAAGTTTCAGGTTGTCTTTTTGTAGAAACAAATTTCCTAGACCGGAATGCTTCAGGCTGCAGATGGGGCAGTTAAGTTGTATTTGAATGTCTCTGACACATTTGGCATAGGAAGGTGTTTACTTTCTCTTTTTATGACAGTATAAATGTGGCTTCATATCTTTCACTTAAACTGCATCTAATTTCTACAAATATTCCTTATATGAATTAGTATAAACTTGGAATATTAGCAGTATTCACAATTTTAAACATGCAAAAACAAGTTGCTATCAGTCACTTTGCAAATATATTTTGCCATACAGTCTTGGATGGTTCACATTTCACACTTGAGTATAATAATAACAACAGAATATGGTGTTGCAGTGGGTGACTAATTCAGCCGAAGTATTTGTACAGCACTGTCCAGCCCAAAACTCCCAGAATAGTTTTCAAAGCTTTGTAATTGAAGAAAGTCCTCACATTCAGACAGGTTTATACTGTAAAAAGCACTAAATCAGTGGTTCTCAACCTGTGGGTTTGTTTGTTTATTTACCACACTTTTATTGTGCCCTTTTCAGTCCGAAGGCGACTCAGGACGGCGTACAGACTGGCAATAATTAGATGCCAAACACACATAAATACATTGTTTAAAACAGGGTAAATCACATAATCAAATTCATATAAAAACTATTTAAAATTATTAAAATCAATGACCTCTGGATTTAAATCCTCCAAATCCCCCATCCATTCACATAATAAAGTGGTTCTCAACCTGTGGGTTCCTAGATGTTTTGACCTTCAACTGGCTGGGATTTCTGGGAATTGTAGGCCAAAACACCTGGGGACCCACAGGTTGAGAACCAGTTTATCACATGAATGGATGGGGGATTTGTAGGAAGGAGGCACACACATTTTGTAGAATCTTTCTTGTGCTTATTTAATATGTTTGTTGCAGTCAATAGTTGTGTGAGCAGGAGTTTTGAGCAACAAGGTAGGTATGTCCCTTGGAAGTGCTTTATTACCCAGCTTTGCTGGAAAGTGAGAGTTTTGGAAGTATCCTTGAAGATTTTTTTTGAGTTTGTATTTTTTAATTCCCGTCTCCTTTTCGTTCTCCTGAACCAGCCTTTTTACTATTCTTTTGAACAACATGCCCATCCTTCCTCTGCAAAGGCAGAGCACTAACTACAGTGAGTGTGGGCCCTTCCAGACAGGCCTTGTCTCCCAGGATCTGATCCTAGGCTTTCTGTTTATCCCAGATTATCTGGCAGTGTGGACTCATATAATCCAGGTTAAAGCAGAAAACCTGGGATCAGATCCTGGAATTTAGGGCCTATCTGGAAGGACCCTGAGCAAAAGTGAAGCATGTGAAAAGGTAGACTGATTATTTATCTTGAAATAAATGTGACTCATCATATTAACGTAAGGTTCCTTCCTTAGGGGCTCTTCTCTGGAAGATTGAACAAAAAACCAGTAAAGCTTTTGCCTGTGGAAAAGTAACAATAAAAGGCAAACGTCACTGGTATGAAGCTTTACCTCAAACCGCATTTGTATCTTTGAGCGATGACACTGCCTGGATTATTAGAACAAATGGTGATCTGTATCTGCAGACAGGTATTGAAATGAGTTGAACATCTTCTAGAGTGGTATGTGTGTTGATTTCCTTTTTGTACAGTGTCCTGGAGTTTATCAGCACTTTCCTGAGGATTTATCTGTGAGAAGGCACAAGAAAAGCAGAGTTACTTCAATGGAAATGTTGACAACCCCCCCCCCCCCTCCATCTTTCTCCCACGTTGTGGGATGCACTTTCAGTTACATGGAAGTTGAATACTAATCTGCTTCCTCTGACATTCGCTCTTATGTAATTTCTTATGGATAGTAGAATACTTCCGTATGATGATTCTAGCCTTATACATGAGTATATACTGTATGTTTTGAAATGAACCTTGAAAGAAAGCATTTCAGTAATAAGAAAAACGGACAAAGTGATACAAATAATACTGCTCTGTATTTTCCTTGAAGGCCTGAGTGTGGATCGTCCCTGTGCCAGAGCAGTAAAGGTGGATTGTCCATATCCACTATCGCAAGTGGCAGCCAGGAATAATGTCGTCTGGGCACTGACCGAGCAACGAGCACTTCTGTTCCGTGAAGGTGTGAGCGGCTTCTGCCCTGAAGGAGAGCAATGGAAATGTGATATTATCAGGTAAGCAGTGTTTAATCAATAGGGATGTTCTGTAATAGTTCCTCATGGTTTTGCAATGGTTGGGTTTTTCATAATCTTAGTTTGAACTTGCACTTGTTTATAGAGAGCATAGTGTATCATGTGAGAAGGTCGCTTTCCAAATCACCACAGTAAGTTTCATCAGTTTTGAAATTGCACACAAAAGGAGAAAAAACCACTGTGTCAGTGGAGCAACACTGGAAGTTATGCCAGTTGACATTTAGTGTTGCACAATCCTGAGATGAGCTTAATGCAGCTGGGTATTTCTGTGACCACATTACAATGAGCAGCTTTTAAATGTTTCATTAATTTATATGATCATAATCAGGGCTGTGCGTGTGCTGTGTTCTGAAATAAATAAGTGAATTAAATATGGTCTCACCCACATCCAGGCAAATACAGATTCTGTCCCCCCTCCTGCCCAAAGCAAACTCTGATTCATAAGTGAACTATACAAATTGAGTATGTTTGCATTCATTTTCATTGTCAAGAATAGTGATAAAGATTGCATGGTTGATTGTACTGGTAATTCTTTATCAAATTAATAATAATTTTATATTAAAACATACTTCTATAAAATACATATTAAAATACTCAGAACACAGATTGATACATAACTCCCCTGTTATGCCAGTCTGCTTCTGAGCACAATTCAAAGTGCTGACTATAAAGCCCTACATGGTTCTGGCCCAGCTTACGTGTCTGAATTTATCTCCTTCTATGATCCACCTCAGAGGTTAAGATCATCAGGGAGGCCCTGCTCTCGGTCCCACCCCCTCGCAAGCACGACTGGTGGCCCCTCGCCTGTGGAACTCCCTCCCCAGTGAAATTAGATCTGCCCCATCCCTTCTGACCTTCAGGAAAAAAACAGAAAACATGACTCTTGGATCAGGCTTTTGGCCAGTAACGGGAGTAGTGCAATATGAGACCACAAATTAATATAATGATGACTCGGACCAGCCCTGGAATAAGATTTGGATCATGTGATTTTAATTGTTGTTTTAATGCTATTAATGGTTTGGCTTTCACGTTTTTGTTTATTTACTGATGTATTAATATATAAATTGTTGCCTTTGTAAGGCTGCTCTGAGTCCCCTCAGAGCAGTCTTTTGGGGTTGAGAATAGCAGAATATAAATGTGGCAGATAAATAAATAAATAAACAGGTCATTATTAAAACTGGCTGGATTGGCATTGATATTTTATTTGTTTTAGAACGTTCGACATGCTTTTTAAGCCTGGTGATCCCATAGTATTTTCTTGGTAACTTCTGAGACAGGCAGTGGCATAATTGAGCAATAGTTATTCACACCTGTCCCATACGTATGATTTATCATAACTTAATTGTTTTTGTTCCCTTTCAGTAGACTCAATAACTGAGGCATGTCCAGTGACCAAAACATGAAATTATACTTAATAGTTTTGCTTTCAATTTATTGTCTTTATATAAGTAGATAAGGAAAATTAACTACTTCATACACTAATTTTTAAAGAAGACATGTTTGCATGTTAAGCTGATATGAATTTGTTCTTTTTGCCCCACAGTGAAATGCAAGCTCTAGAGCCCATGTGTGTGACTCTTGGAGATCAGCAGACCATATGGATTTTAGACATCCATGGAAACCTGTGGTTCAGGACAGGTGTTGCTTCCAAGAAACCACAAGGGGATGATAACCACTGGTGGCAAGTAGGCATAACTTGTTCTACCTTCAGTCAATGCAGAGGATCCTTAGCTTTTTAATGAAGCATGTGTTTTGCATGCACAATATCATGGGTTTATTTTTCACCAGAGGATCTCAGGAAGTGTCTTTGGGAAAGGCATCTACCTGAAACTTAGAGAGCTGCCTCCAATCAGAAGCTACCTCAGGCCCCTTCCACACAGCTGAATAAAATCCCACATTATCTGCTTTGAACTGGGATACATGGCACTGTGGACTCAGATATTCCAGCTCAAAGCAGATATTGTGGGTTATTCTGCCTTGATATTCTGGGATATAGGGCTGTGTGGAAGGGCCCTTAGCAAAAGTGTATTGGGGGAGAGGGGGAACTGTGTTAAGGCATTCATCCTGTATCATAGTATGTAGCTTACTGTCTTGAAGAATGATGGAGAATACTGTTACCCTGTAGACTCATGGATAAATCTAGAAATTATAGTCGTCGTCCTTCCCAAAAAGACCTGGGTTAACCTATTAATGAATCAGTGTGAGTACTGCTCCATAAACCTTATCAATAATAATATAATAATAAAACTTTATTCATACCCCGCTCCCATCTCCCCAAGGGGGACTCAGAGCAGCTTACATGAGGCCAAGCCCATCAATAAAATAAACACAGTATTACACAAAAACATAAAATGCAAAAACCAATATAATAGACAACACAGCAATATAAAATCAAAACATCAAAACACAATTTCACTGGCCAGGGCCAATTCAAAAATAAAAATTTAAATTTATTAAAAACATTGGGAGATAGGCAATGTAAAATTGTCATGAAGGGGAAACCGGGAATGAGGAAGGCTTTAATTGCATGAACCATAAAATAAAGTGCTTCTGAGGTCATTTTGGTCGGGGAGTGTCCTACATTCAATCATTGAAGGCACATTGAAAAAAGAGTACCATACCCTTTGCTGAGTAGAATGGTGAAAGGCAAGAACTTAGTATATTCAGGGAGAACCTAAAAGGAAACACTGGCCTACTTTACTCTTTCTGCCGCTGTACTGTTTCTGGTTTTCTTGGGCAGGAAAATGGCAGTGGCAGTCAGGGCTACTGGCCTCTTGAGGTGACATTGATGCTTGTAAGCCGCCCTGAGTCCCTTTTGGGAGATGGTGACGGGATATAAATAAAGTTGTTATTGTTATTGTTATTATTAATTGTTATTATTATTGCCATTTCTGTCTCCATGAAATGGCCTTCAACTTATTCACAGGTCATATCAAAATCCACAATTTTGACGCCAAATCTGCCCTCAACTTACACATAAAGTCGACTTATACATGACATACCAGGCACGGGCAAACTTTGGTTCCCGAGATATTTTGGACTAATACTCTTAGAAATTCCAGCCATCTTACCAGCTGTAAGGAATTGTAGAAGTTGAAGTCCAAAAAACCTGGAGGACTGAAGTTTGCTTATGCCCTGTTTTATTATCAGATTGGAGAGGTGTCGTCTTTTCCAATACCTGTATTTTCATCTAGCCTTTGATACTGAGGCAGTTTTGAGCACTTCATTTTTTCATTAATTCTGGCTTACCTGTGGGTTGTTTTTTTTTTTTTTTTTTTTGCAAGGATCCTTGAAAGGATTTTACAGAAATATGGCTTTAAAATGTCTATAATCATTACTCGGTACTGTACACTTTGTTTTTGGTCCTTGGCAACAATCCATGTAATATCGTTACCAACCATTCTGATGTTTCCCTCTGTGGAATAATTTTAAGATTCTTTTTCAGCTGGAAACATGACTGAGGGAAGTACTGTGTGAGTTTCTGAGAGTGAAGAAAACAAGGCTGAAATGCTTTGATGACATTGAAATTATTCAAAATATAGTTTTGAAAATTCTTTCTCTTCAAAACAACATCTGTGACAACCTCCAACTCCTGTCCAAAAAAGTCCTGCTGATTTTCATTGGAGAGTTAATCCTGTTGTCTTTCTATGTCTCCACAGGACTTCAGTGGCATAAGATTCACTGTTGTTCGAATGGGAATGCTGGGGTAGTCCAGTTTTCCCTAAATCTGTAGAACTACAACTCCCAGAATCCACTAGCTAACATGGTCATTGATACTGCTTGCTGCTGACTATAACTGACTAGGGAATTCTGGGAGCTGTATTGCAACATATATTGGGGGTACTAGTTTGGAATGGATAGACTATTAGTCTGATTCAGCAAGGAAAATATTAATATTCTTTTCATCTGAACTGGTTCTTACATATTTCTCCCTTAGGTAAGCATCACAGATTATGTTGTGTTTGACCAGAGCAGCCTTTTCCAGACTATACTCCAGGCAACGCAAACAGTAGCCACAGCAGCCCAGGCCCCTGTCGAGAAAGTAGCAGACAAGCTCCGGATGGCTTTCTGGTCTCAGCCACTGCAGTGCCAGCCAAGCCTCCTTGCAGTCAACAGCAGCGGTGTCTGGATCTCATCTGGGAAGAATGAGTTCCATGTAGCAAAGGGAAGTCTCATAGGTAGGACCATATTTCTTTTCCTTGCAATGTCAAGATTGAATGGCTTTTGCACATTTAACTGTAATAATAATAATAATAATAATAACAACAACAACAACAACAACAACAACAACAACAACAACAACCCTGATTCTGGCAGCCCAAGAACAAGCCATTAGAACCAGTGCCACCAAAGCCAGAATTGAAAAGTCAACGACAGATCCCAAATGTAGACTGCAAGGAAGCAGATGAAGATCACATCCTCAGCTGCTGCAAGAAGATCGTGCAGACAGACTACAAGCAGAGGCATAACACTGTTGCTCAGATGATTCATTGGAACTTGTGCCATAAATACCATCTGCCTGCGACAAAGAACTAGTGGGATCACAAGCCTGAAAAAGTTACAGAAAATGAACACGTCAAGCTACTCTGGGACTTCCGAATTCAGACAGAGTTTTGGAGCACAATACTCCTCTGACCCCATGATGGTGTTAAAAAACAAAGTATGGATTGTTGATGTTGCAATCCCAGGTGACAGCAGGATTGAAGAGAAACAACCGGAAAAGCTGACACGATATGAGGATTTAAAGATCGAACTGCAAAGACTCTGGTACAAGCCAGTCAAGATATGAGGATTTAAAGATCGAACTGCAAAGACTCTGGTACAAGCCAGTCAAGGTGGTCGGCACACTGGGTGCAGTGCCTAAAGACCTTGGCCTGTACTTAAACTTAAACACAATTGGCACTGCAAAAGTCACACTGTGCATGCAGGGCAATTATTCACATTATGCACACAGGACAAATAATAGTATAGAGAATGGGAGTGTTTTTCTGACAACAATAGAAGTGGATTTGGGCATTCATGTGTTTGTGCACAATGCATTGCACAATGTGGTTCCATGGGAGTGGCCTTGTCTTGCCATAACTAATCTTCTCTTGCAGATATTTACGCTATACTTATGGGATGTTGGATTGCAGCTGTTAAAGACTTACCCTTTGATAAAAATGTCCTGCATACTGTAGCATAACATGATTCAAAATGTCTCAAGACAGAAGGCTATTCAGTGGCAGTCTTTTATTGAAATCTATTAGAGTATTTAGCATCAGGACTATCTTTAGATTTAGACAGAATAAAGCAATAACCTCTTTGATGTCATGGAAGTACAGCAAATTGTGTACATTATATACTTTAGGAGTATTTTATTTTTACTCTTGGCTGTGAAATGAATGCTTGTTAGATTTTTCTACCTTTCATCTCAAAAGAAATTGGCTGTAGCATACATCTTGACCTAGGTCAATGGGAGACATCATTTGCTGTTCTGTCTCGGACACTGAAAAGACTTTGGACAACTGTGAACTGCAAGGAAATCATCATGTTATTTGCAACATCATTTTTCAGATATAGAGATCTTGTGGTAGAGTTAATGCCCTGTTTTCTTCCCTTGAATCTGTGGTTTCATGTGGGCAATCTAAGTGTTTAAATGCCCCTTCAGGTGGCCAGCGAGAAAAAACTTAACTTTCTGAAATTCTTATAAGATCAGATACGTTTTTTCATCATTATTTCTGGGTTCAATACAGTCTTTACAACAAGTCTGTAGATGCATATGCTCCTTTTTCTGCCTTATATCTCAAAAGAGGAAGAAGAACAAGGGAACAAAGGCCAGTTTTCCATTTCCATTAGCAAAATATGGTCTTTTCCTTCTCAGTATTAATGAGCTTCCTCTTCTCCATATTATTATTATTATTATTTATTTATTTCTAGACCACCCTCTCTCCTCGAAGGGACTCAGGGCAGTTTACAGACACAAAACAAAAGACAAACATTCAGTGCCCTAAATGGTTCCAGCCCAGCTTACCTGTCCGAACGTATCTTCCTGTATGAACCACCTCAGAAATTAAGATCATCTAGGGAGGCCGTGGTCTCAGTCCAACCACCCTCGCAAGTACGTCTGGTGCGAATGAGATACAGGGCCTTTCCATTGGTGGCCCCTTGGCTGTGGAACTCCCTCCCCAGTGACATTTGATCAGCCCCCTCCCAGCCTTTAGAAGGAAAGTCAAAACCAGGCTCTGAGATCTGGGATTTGAAGAATAGCGTGGTGCAATAATAGACTGGAATATGTGCAATGATTACGGAACGATGTATTGTCAAAGGCCTTCATGGCTGGAATCACTGGGTTGTTGTAGGTTTTTTCGAGCTATATGTCCATGTTCTAGAGGCAACGTCAGGAGAGAATGCCTCTAGAACATGGCCATATAGCCTGAAAAAACCCTACAACAACCCAGATTACGGAACGGTCTTGGATTATGATTTTTGGAAGGCATGATTTAACACTGAATGTAATGCTTTTAAATATTTTAATGTTTTTTAATTCAATTGATTTTAAGCTTAATGTTGTTTATGTTCCAAGGCATTGAATAATTGCCATATGTAAGCCTCCTTGAGTCCCCTTCAGGGTAAAGGAAGGCTAGGTATTAAACAAGGTAAATAAATAAATAAATAAATAAATAGTGCCTCAAATGAATACAAACACATTAAAATAATACACGATGATTCACAGAAACAACAGTAAACTTATAGCAAAGAATTAAGCATTGAGTTGAAAATGATAGAAAACAATCCAATAAGACAGGGCCCCTGGTGGCGCAGTGGGTTAAAGCACTGAGCTGCTGAGCTTGTTGATCGAAAGGTCGCAGGTTCGATTCTGGGGAGCGGCGTGAGCTTCCGCTGTCAGCCCTAGCTTCTGCCAACCTATCAGTTTGAAAACATGTAAACGTGAGTAGATCAATAGGTACTGCTCTGGCGGGAAGGTAACGGCGCTCCATGCAGTCATGCCGGCCACATGACCTTGGAGTTGTCTACGGACAACGCTGGCTCTTCGGCTTAGAAATGGAGATGAGCACACACCTCAGAGTCAGACATGACTGGACTTAATGTCAGGGGACTACCTTTACCTTTAAGACATCATAAACTAAAACATTTGTAAAACATTACAGCATATACCCGAAAAGCAATTATGATACAATTACATTAAAATGATTTTAAAATGGCTAACACCAGTATTCATTTAAGATGTATTGTAGCAGCCATAAAATACAAGTGGGTTAGCCAGCATACCCTCTCCATACGCCAAAGTGCATAAATGCTCCCTCCTCTCATTCAGTATCCACCTGGTACTTTCTAGAAAACTAACTACAGCTCCCATAACAATTCCACAGCCTGGCTGCAGTCATCTGGCACAATGCTGTTTCTGATGTGTTATTTTGTGATCAGGTGGTCTTCCTATGCATACTTGAGTCTTATTTTGCACCCATGCCAAGAAATAAAGAAATACTCAGTTCTTGTGGGTTTTTTCGGGCTATATGGCCATGTTCTAGAGGCATTTCTCCTAGAGGAGAAATGCCTCTAGAACATGGCCGTATAGCCCGAAAAAACCCACAAGAACTGAGTGATTCCAGCCATGAAAGCCTTCGACAATACAAATAAAGAAATAATTCCATATCCAACATCTTGTAAATGCAGAACCCCCTGACTGGATTGCATGGGCTGCTTCTAAGTTGCTGTTCTCATTCTCCCCACTTTATTGGGTTGCTATGGCTAGAGAAGATTTCCTCTCTGATATGCAGCTGTCCATGATGTTATTTTGCCCAGGCTACACTAACAATAAGTGATGGTTCTTGAGTGGTATTTTTTAATGGAAGCTGTACTCAATAACAATTTATTTTAGTGCACAACAAATACAGCTCCCAGCAGAGTTGCTGGAGTACTTACTGGTACTCAAAAGCCATTTGTTTCAACAGCTTGCGCGAGACAAGTTCCAGGGAACTGAGTTGCTGTTCTGACATCAATAAGAAATGCTTTCATGTCTAAATCGGAGCTGTGAACTCCAGTTGTGCTGATATATAGATAAAGTTGCCACACTTTTATTCCAAGTCATAATTATGTTTTGTCTGTCAGGTTTAAACTGTCACACATAAAATGGAAATATAATTGAAGATAGGTGACTTTCCTGTTGGGCAGTAGAAGGCATTTCTGTATTCACAAGTGTAATCTCTATCCACTGCTCAGGTGTTGCAGTCAAATGCATTAACTGTAGTAATAACAACAATTTATTGAAGATTGGTATCTCCATATAGCAGGTCAATAGCTACTCGTTTGATAGATTATCTTGACATTTCTGTAGTCCATTTAAGGACTCATGTTTGTATTTGACAGGTGCACTTTTAAACAAACATAAACACAAAACCAACAGACAGTAAGCACATTTTAGGGACCCTTTCATACTACATGATTACAGTGCTATGATGCCACTTTAAATGCCATGGCAACATCCTATAGAATTTGCAGCTTGGGGAGATGTCCAGAATTCTCAGCCAGAGAATTTCAATGCCTCACTAAACTACAAATCCCAGAATTTTATGTGATGCAATGATGGTACTTAACATAAAAGCATAGTACTGTGTTTGCAGGATGAAAAGGAAATTATCCAGGAGTGGTTCCTGGATAGTGTCAAGAGAATAGGCTTGGCAGTCCCCATAGAGTCACTGCTGCAGAACAGTTTGCATAATGAATAAAAAGCAATACATTAATATCCTGATTATTCCACATTAGTCTGACAACTGAGTGATGTCAGAAAGTAAAAGACTGAAAAGCATTTCTGAGCAGTAGTTGGTATTAGATGCCTAAGGGCCCTTCCACACAGGCTCTATATCCCAGGATCTGATTAAACTCGATTATATGAGTCAGCACTGCCAGATAAACTAGGATAAACAGAAAACCTGGGATCAGATCCTGGGATATAGAGCCTGTCTGGAAGGATCCTAAGTCAAAGAACATACTCCTCTAAATAGAAACCCTCCAAACATATTGGACCACAAATTATAGCAACAGGAGCAAAAACGCAGGCCAGAATTGTCATCCAACACATATGGAGTACAGGTTACAGAAGCCTGCAGTGGACATTTAAATGTTTCAAGTGTTTTGGCCAAGTTAGTCCTTTGGCTTCCTGAGCTAGAGTTAATTTGTAGGGCAAAAATATAGTTAGAAACATCTCAGAGCTTGAATTCAAGGATGGACAATTTATGGGCTTCCAGGTATTGTTGGAGTATTGACTTGATGTCAAACCAACATAGCCAGTAATGAAGAATGGAAGGTGTAGCAGTCTAACAATATCTGAGGGGGCATCAGTTGCCCTAGTGCCCTTCCACACAGCCCTATGTCCCAGAAGATCAAGGCAGAAAATTCCACAATATCTGTTTTGAACTGGGTCATCTGAATCCACACTCAGATAATGTGGGATTTCCTGCCTGGATATTCAGGGATATAGAACTGAGTGGAAGGGCCCATAGTTATTCAAACTGGATTCTGTGTAATATGTTTTTTAGAAGTATAACTGTGAATAGAAACTTTTCCATCATTCCATAATCATTTTCATCATGTGATCCAGATGGAAGAATGTAACTTGAATCCCCCATCTTAGAAACACCCAATAGGGCTGTGCTTTTGTATGTTTAGTATGCTTTAAATGATTCTAGCTCTGTGTTTGTTCAAGTGGTTTTTTTTAACTTTTGCACTAATAGGTTTATGTTTTTTACCTGCACCTTGTTTTAATTGAATATAAACCACTTTAGGTCCTGTGCAAGGAGAAAGAAAGATAGAAATGAAATAAATAAAGTCGACTGCGTTGAAAACATTGATTTGATTCTTGTTTTATTCCCCAGGTACTTACTGGAATAATGTTGTGCCACGTGGTACTGCTTCAGCCACAAAGTGGGCTTTTGTGTTGGCTTCTGCATCTCCAACAAAAGAAGGTAAAGTGTGTTTTATGGAATTTATGGAGCATTTCTGCTAAATGAAAAAAGATGTGTGTCTTGTTGTTTGCAAACATGTTGATTGATTCATTTGACAATACTGATGTGTGTGTATGTATGTGTATGTGTATGTGTGTGTGTGTGCATGTATATTCAAGTCTAAGTTAAAACAGTATAGCAGATAGAAAAGAAAGCCCTGCTGCCTTACAACTCCTGGGCAGGGCACTTCCCTGGCTCCCATAGTCTCGTGGTGAGAGTGCTTCAACAGCCTGGCTGCCCAGCCATAGCAACACCTGATGAATGACTAATTGTGTCTTTATTGTATAAGATCAAGACCAGATTAAAGTCCAAAAATAGCGCACAAATAAGAAACAATTATAACTTGTAAGCCACTCTGAGTCCCCTTCGGGGTGAGAAGGGCGGCATATAAATGTAGTAAATAAAATAAAATAAAATATAGAATCGAGCAGGCCCTGCCTCAATTAGTAGTTTCTATTCTTAACTGTGACAAAATGTGATAAAAGAAACAGGGGTCATTTCATCTATCCCAGCAACAAGACAGAAGTGTTTTGCTTATGTTTTGCTTGTGGGTTTCCAGAGCCATGTGGTCGATTTACAACGGAAAATGAGAAGCGATGTATTTTAACCTCAGCTTCCTATTGTGAATTTGAGGATAATACTGGTTTAACTTACAAGTCTCCTCTAAGGTTTGAGAAGACAGTGTATATGAGATGCACTATAGAAACTGTTGTAGTTCAGCCCATGGTGGTATCTGGTATTACTTCTAATGGGGATTCTGGGCCTGAGATTTTAAGTCCTGAAACTGAGCAGTCTGTGTCTCCAGTTAGTCAAGGCCACATTCCAGAGGATGCAGTGGAGCTGATCTCTAGGGAAAGGAGTTCAGAGGCAGAAACTCCAGGTGCCGAGAGTAATGAGCTGCAAGATAATGGTAATAAGTTTGTTGATAGGAGACCTAGTTTAGTAGACTTCAGGCTGCTCAAGAAAGAATACGAAGGTCATAGTGCTTATTAGAAAAGAGACCCATATCTGAATCTCATGTGAGATTCATGTTTTTTTGGATAAATTATAGAGTCCGGTAGTTTTGCCCAGCAGTTCATGCTCTTTTTTTTAAGTACCAGAGATTGTTCCTGTATTTCTATATTGGATTTTATGTTTCTCGGGTTTTCTTGTATTCCTGTTCTGGATGCTCTTGATTATTCTTGCACCTGAAACCTTATGGATTATTTATATATTTGGACTTTGAAGTTTTTACTATTTTTGCTGTTTGCTTTTTATATAATCATCTACAAATTGCTTTGCTGATTTAACCTGGTGGTTAAGTACAGAGATGTTTCCTGGCCTGGAGCACAACCGAAACAGTCACAATATTAGTAATTATTCATTATTGTATATTAAACACTAGGTATTTTTTTAAAACGGAAATTGAAAAAGGGCAAGGACAATGAATTATTTTTGTGAAAGAAGGAGCATTCTGGAGAAGAAGAGATTTTGCAATGAATGTTTTATGTTTCCTGCAGGAAGTTTTCTGTGGCTGTGCCAGAGTAACAAGGATCTCTTCTGCGTCAGCGATCAAAACCCTCAATTCCATCCTTCAACTGTTCAGCTTCCCACTGATAGTGAAATCATATACTATTCTGCCTGTCAGGATGCCATATGGAGCTTAGATAGTCTGGGACAAGTCTTCATAAGGACACTTTCACCAAATTGTCCAAGTGGGATGCACTGGACCAAACTGGACCTTTCTCAGTTAGGTAAGTATTTTCTAGCACCATCTTATAAAAGTTGCCAACCTAAGTGTTGACACATGCACCTTATACAGTATAACTGGTTGAAGTTAGAATACATTTCTTATTCTTGTGTTTGGAGTCCACTGCTAAAGCATTAGAGAAGAAATTTAAATCAGTATTACATTTTTTGATCATGTTGCTCACAGAGAATTGGAGTCGATCAGTTCTATGTAACCAGTCTTTCTCAATGAAAGAAAGTGATCACAATTTGCAATAACTGCAATAACTCTCCATTACAGTAGCTGGCACTTATTTTATTCCAATGTTTACAGCCTGGCCATTGTGCCTACCACCACGGTTAGAGGATCGCAGCTTGATTGAGTCTGAATTGATGTTTCATTATGTGTTTTTTGTATTTTATATTTCGTTCACTTTTATGTTTGTTTTTATGCACTTTGTGCCGTCTGTAAGCCGCCCAATGGTGGCAGGGTATAAGAATAAAGTTGTTGTTATTATTATTATCATTATTATTAGAAGGATAATGTTCTAGCAGTAAAAGGCTGTTGGACATCCAACAGCAGAACTGGAGAACACGGAGGGAAGGATACAGCCCCCAGAGGAGCATCACTTTAGGTTGATGCTACTTAACCCTGCACTACAGTGCAAATAGCAAGCAGTACTGTAATGATAATTACAGGTTGATAGGATCTGCCACTTCCTGGTGACTTTTCATGCAGATAAGTGGTGATTAAACAAGAGATAACAAATAGGAGGAACCAGCAGTAGTATGCCATGCCCACCGTTTTCTGTAGATGACTGTTAGATAGTAAAGGTAAAGGTTTCCCTTTGACATTAACTCTAGTCGTGTCCAACTCTGGGGGTGGTGCTCATCTCCATTTCTAAACCGAAGAGCTGGTGTTGTCTATAGACACCTCCAAGGTCATGTGGCCAGCATGACTGCATAGAGCGCCGTTCCCTTCCCGCAGAAGCGGTATTTATTGATCTACTCACATTTGCATGTTTTTGAACTGTTAGGTTGGCAAAAACGGGCTAACAGCAGGAGCTCACTCTGCACCCCGGATTCAAACCGTCAACCTTTCATTCAGCATGTTCAGCAGTTTAACCCACTGCTCCATGCAGGGCTCCCAACTGTTAGATATAGCTTGTAAAAATAAAAACGAAATGATGTCAATCATGTCTATTTCTTTGTATTATCGAAGGCTTTCACAGCCAGAATAACTGGAGTGTTGTGTGGTTTCTGGGCTATGTGCTGTGTTTTAGCAGCATTTTCTCCTGACATTTTGCCCACATCTGTGGCTAGCATCTTCAGATTCTCTGAAGATGCCAGCCACAGATGCAGCCGAAATGTCAACACTTCATCTCTATTTCCTCTTCTCTCTATTAATCTTTGTGTATGTGTGTGTGCTCTGCTTTAAAATATAATTTTGCCCTTTGGATAATACATTCAAGATCAGATAGCTTCTGTTGAAGTAGCATTATATTAGTTAGACTTCAGCTCTACACAGCCTATTCTTTGCGCACTGAGCCCTGAAGTTGAGCATTTGACTTGATTAACTTTCTGCCATTATATTCTGGCCCTTCAAAAAGAAAGCCAAACGAGCTGTGACAATGTGTTAGCAAGCTGAAAGTTTGTTATCTGTGAATGAACAATGAGCATCAGTTTTGATATGAGGGATGGATACACACACACACATGAGGGAGAGAAGAAACTAGAAATGTTGCCTCAGGAGGGTGTCTCTAGATAGTAGGTTTGCTGCCCACTTATGCAACTCAGAGCAGGTGATATGTGATTCCGTGTTCTAAAGGCCCCTGCGCTTATTTAGATCAAAACCAACAGCTGAGGCACTAAACACTGCAGCCCCTGTGATCCAACAAGCTTTGTGCTGTGGAGGGGTAATAAGATTTTATTTTAACTAACACTGCTAAATGTCAAACCCAGAGGAGGAGCAGAATTATGCTGATGGCTGTTTTTCTCCCCTCTGGCTATTTTGAGCCTGGCAGGCCTTATGTAACAGGGGTAAAATACAGAAGTCAAGAAACTATAAGGGAAATAAGGTAGGAGAGTTGTAATCTATCAGGGGTTCCCAACCTTTTTTTGACCAGGGCCACTTTGACCAGGGACCACCCTCCAACATTAATACCAAAAGGATTGCGAATCAGTTTTTGGTTAACTTTAGATTTAGTTTGGTTATTTGGGGTGCTGATTCAGAAAATTGCGTTGGATAGACACATCAGCTCTAGTTTCTGATACAGAACATATGTCATCCAGTAGTCACCATCTGCTCATCCATATTTAATAATCTAGAGCTGATGTGGTAGTAGTAATCTTTCGTGGGTAGTCAGTCTCTCCCCTCCCGACATCTCCGTTGCCTCAGCACTATAAGAGGGTTTTGCAATGGTGTAGTAATGATGAGGTCACGGGCCATATTTCTGTTCTTGCAGGTCACTGGTGGTCCATGGACCACAGGTTGGGAACCACTGGTATATATTGACAGATATATGGCCCGCAGCAAGGGAACTGGCATCATGGAGTGGTTTTAGCATTGGCTTACAATTTTATAGACTGGGGTTTGAATCTCTACTTGAACATGAAGCTCCTTGGGTGACCTTGGGCAAGTCACACTCTCAGCCTCAGACGAAGCAATGGCGAACCTCTTCCAAATAAATCTTGCCACGAAAACCCTGTGATAGGTTTGCCTTATAGTCACCATAGGTCAGAAACAACTGAAAGGCACCCAACTTCAGAAACAGCCTACAATGTGTCTTCAGTCAGAATTGTTCCCTAGATCTGCTAAAGTTGCCCATTCCTGATGTATCATGTCTTTAATTTGAGGAGTTCAAGGAGACATGTGCCACTTTGTTCGTTGCAGTCTATGTCGCCACAAAGGTTTCCTCACCTTTCTTTTAATACACTCTTGTTATGCCTAGGAGTTGGCACTCCTCTTTTTCCTTTTGAATGGAAAAGCTCTGCCTTTGTCCCATGCCTAGAAAAGTGGGGGTTATCTTTTTTTTTCTATCAAAGTCTGTGTTTCATCAGGAGTGGTGTATAGAGCACTGTAGCAGATGAGAACTTTTGCTCTTCTAGTGATCACAAGCTTTTTTTGGGAAACAACTTTGCCATGATCTCCAAACTCATATTAACAGTTTATTGGATCCAGCTCTCATAAGACAAAATGGGCAGAATTACTGAGCATGAAGATATCTGCCTCAAGTGAGTTCCCAAGTTCCCCAAGTCTTTTCATTAGTACCTTAAAGCTGGAATAATAACTTCCAATTAAACAGTAACATATTAACAAATCCATCAATTTTAACAACCCGTGACCCTAACAGGCAAGCAGTTGCTCGAAGACTTGCTGGAACTGAAAGGTCTTTGCTTGCAGAAAAACAACAAGGAGGGAGCTAGGCTGATCTCCTTTGGAAGAAATGCCTATAAACTATGAACAGCCACTAAGACACTCCTGTTTCATGGCCATATAGCCCAAAAACCTACAACAACCCACTCCTGTTTCCTTTCTACACTAAACACTGCTGTAAAGTCCTCTCCTATAGATTTCAAAGCTTGGGCAGACTTTCAGATACAATTGATCCAAACTGCATAGGGCTGTATTGGTCAAAACCAATATTTTGAATGGAGCTAGTTCTCCATTTGCAGCTTGCTTACTCACTTGCTTAGGCAGTCCCTTGTTGTCTGAGTATGATGGCCTTCCAAGTGCAGTGTCTTGGTGGTGGATATGTAGATGACTATTCTTGACCCGCATGTTCTTCCACAGTGACGACATCGGTTTCCAGGTGGAAGGCGGTCCCTATCAGGGTTGGCTTGATGCACCTTCCTCTTGGCATGTTTCTCCCTTTTGCCCTCCATTCTTGCCTCTTTAAATTCCACAGCACTGCTGGTCACAGCTGACCTCCAGGTAGAGTGCTCTAGGGCCAGGGCTTCCCAGTTCTTTGTGTCTATGTCACAGTTTTTAAGGTTAGTTTTTGCAGTACTTTGAAAACAATAATCTGTAACATGAAAGTTTCATCAAGTTCATGTATGACTTATTTGGGGTGTTCAAGAGAAGCTAAGTCAGTTTAAGATAACTATTCCAAGGAAAGATAACTATTCTTGACCTGCATGTTCTTCCACAGTGAGGACATCGGTTTCCAAGTGGAAGCCGGTCCCAATCAGGGTTGGCTTGATGCACCTTCCTCTTGGCATGTTTCTCCCTTTTACCCTCCATTCGTGCATCTTTGAATTCCACAGCACTCCCGGTCACAGCTGACATCCAGGTAGAGTGCTCCAGGGCCAGGGCTTCCCAGTTCTTTGTGTTTATCTCACAGTTTTTAAGGTTAGTTTTTGCAGTACTTTGGAAACAATAATCTGTAACATGAAAGTTTCTTCAAGTTCCTTAATGAGTTATTTGGGGTGTTCAAGAGAAGCTAAGTCCGTTTATGAAAGCCAAGGAAAGATGACTATGGGCTGTCCAAGAGCTATTACTTTTGAAGTCTCTTTTGAATCTCTCCCAGGTACCCTGGGACAAAAGGCTTTTTTGGGTTTCTCAGTAGCAAGAAATAACATCAGGTTTATTACACTCTGTTCTAATGTAGGATTCCACTTTTCTAATACCTGAAAACACTAAGCTAAAACTGCTCTCCACTTTTTTCTGAAGTTGCTAAAGAATCAATAAGAGGAATGGATTGTAAGACATTTTGCTTACAGCTTTTGCAAATCCGTAGTGTACCAATCTTAATGCAAATAACATATTAGGCTTTCCTTTCTTCAGAGGAACACTATATCTGGTGACAACATATCTTTGTCATAGTTCAGAACATTCTGTTTATGGGTGAGATTAACTTTGGCTCTGGTGATTTATCTTTTACGTTTGGTATTTTGTCAGTATGAATGTCTGTGAACTATGTAATTGGCCATTGTGCCTGTATGCAACGCATTGCCCTCCCCAAAGACTGCTAGCATAGAGTATGGAAACTCTAGATTTCGATTTTGCATCTTGATTGATAACCTCTAGGCATTCTTTACACCTTCTTCAATGTAAATAACATGGTTGAAATTTCTAGGAATATGTACTGTGTGACTAATGAGATGAAAGTTATTCCACAGCTTCACACCTTCTATTTCAGGCTGGATCAACACTGCCATATAACACAGTTTGAACTGCATTGAACTGCATTATGTGGATCTTCACTGAGCATATCATGCAGTTATGCTTAAAAATCCATAACGAACATATTTGAGGACTTAGAGATTGTTTCACCTGCACTTTGAGACTGATATTGATCGCAGTCGTTTTATACTTGCAGCTATTGTTGTACTTTGTTGATTTTAATCAGTGGGGTTTTATGATCTGTTGGTTGTTATTGTTATTGTTTATGCACCTATTGTATTTTGTGTGTTAGCACCTTTGAATGCTTGTGATTTGCTCCAAGTCCCTTTGGGAGATAGTGGTGGGATATAAATAAATAAAGTATTATTATTATGATTTTATAAAATATTTTTATTGCGTCTTTTCCAAATAATCAAAAAGCCAAGAAAAGAGAAGAAACGAAAAGAAAAAGAGAGAAATGAAAAGAAAAAAGAGAGAAAAGAAAGTATTTTGTATATACGTATTCCTGTATTTTGTATATACAATATTCCTGAATGCACATATTGTTATTTATTATGTGATAGTGTAGATACCACCTCAGTCCTAAGGAAAGCAAGCAAAGTTTTGATGCTGCTGTTTAATAAAATTGAAAAAAAAAAGTTCTATTGATACCCCTGCTCTTTTGGAAAGGACTTGTGTCTTGCACTGTGTGCTAGAAAAGAAAGCTTGGCTAACCTTGAAATATTTATCCCGTAGGCCCATCCCAGAACCACTGTTTGCTAGTAACATTTGGAATGTTAAGCACTGCAAATGTATTTATAGACTTAGTCTGTAAGCATGACTGGTTCCCCGGAAAAGTTCACTCGAGGTCATGTGAAAACTTCATCTCTAATTTATACACAGAATTGCTGTCCAATTGCATTGCATAGAGTGTGCCTTCCTCCATTCCTCTTGGAAAAATATTATTTTAACAATTCATTCTAAAATATATTGGCCCTGCTATTCTAGGATACTTCAGTATAAGAGGACTTGCTAAGTGAATGAAACCAAAGAGTTTTAAGCTTTCCTTCATTTGTTTGGTTCTAATGCTAGTTCTACATTACAAATGCATCCATGGTCCAAAATTACTCACATTTTCTGTTGCTTACTGGATTTTCTCATGTGACAAATACTTTAATTCACATGACCCTGTTCCTCACTAGTGACTCGGGTGAAATAAGAAGCCAATGATGCCTCCACTGTAAGCAGGGTGTTGAGCTTGCAGTTCAGGGCTTTTTTTCATTCTATATGGAAATATCCTATAGAAATTTTAGATTGTTGTTGTCTTTTTTATGATGACATACCCAAGGGTGGGCCTCCTGGTGGCACAGTGGGTTAAACCACTGAGCTGCTGAACTTGCTGATCGAAAGGTTGGCGGTTCAAATCCTGGGAGTGGGTTGAGCTCCAGCTGTTAGCCCCAGCTTCTACCAACCTAGCAGTTTGAAAACATGCAAATGTGAGTAGATCAATAGGTACCACTTCTGTGGGAAGGTAACGACGCTCCATGCAGTCATGCTGGCCATGTGACCTTGGAGGTGTCTATGGACAACACTGGCTCTTTGACTTAGAAATGGAGATGAGCACCACCCCCCAGAGTCAGACACGACTAGACTTAATGTCAGGGGAAACCTTTACCTTACCAATGGTATTCTTGGCAATATGTGTTCACCATTTTCTTTTTCTGATGCTGAAAAAGTGTAATTTGTCCAAGTTCACTAATTTGGTTTTTAATAAGTCATAACGAACTCTTTGAACTCTCCATGAAAACACTGGTAGTGTCAGAATCAGAGTTGAAGTTTACTTTTTTTGACCATATGTAAAAAAGCTGATGCTGAAATAAGTTGCTTAATGTTAAATTTGTCATGAGATTCATTTACCCTCTTTTTTTAAAAAAAAAACTAGGACAGAATAACATACCTATCTTCCTGAAAACCATTTTTCCTCTTAATTAGGTGCTGTGAAACTTAGGAGTTTAGCATGCGGGAATCAGCACATCTGGGCCTGTGATAGTTCTGGTGGTATCTACTTCCGGGTTGGAACTCAGCCTCTGAACCCAAGCTTGATGTTACCTGCATGGATAATGATTGAGCCACCCATCCAGGTAAAACAGTCATCTTTCTTTCGTTCTATCACTTTCTCTCCTTTCCTCTGGAATGAACGTAGATTATTGATTTCACAATGACATGGACATGTAAATGTTTAGCAAAGTCTATACAACTCTGCTAAATTCATTCGCTAAATTAGAGGAGGGGAAAGTAATCACAATTTATGGAATTGAAATTGTTTCTGGCTATTCTCCCATTCCTTTTTTATTTTTATTAATTTCTTCATACAGATAACAAAACAATACAATAACAAAACAATACAATACGAACCTTAGCCATCTAAAAGATAGCATTAAAAACTGTTTACAATTTTTATGGCTAGGATACAGGGTTCCTCTATTCTAGCCATTCTCCTATTCCTTAATCTCCCTCTCACATCATAACAAAAATTGTGAATGCTACTATAGTAGAGTCTCACAATTACCCAGATGTCTTGAACAAGAGAGTTGCATTTACCCTAAACTAAACCTCCCTTTTGTGTTCCTCATTAGTCAACATAGCTTTGGTAGCTGAGGGAATTAGAGTTCACTGTCCAAACGCAGATGCACTTGGCGGGGACAAGAGATAGGGCCTTCTCAGTGGTGGCCCCTCAGCTGTGGAACGCCTTGCCTAGGGATGTAAGATCATTCCCCTCCCTTCTGACATTCCGAAAAAAGGTTAAAACCTGGCATTTTGAGCAAGCTTTCGCAGATGCAGCATAAATATATGAAATCATTGAACGACTTGGATAAGGATTTAGGCAAGGAGATGCTCATGACAATTTTTTATGGCTTTGTACGGTTTTTATATATTATGTTAAATGTTTTAATAGTATTTAATGATTATTTTGATTGTTTTATAATTGTTGAGGCATCAAATTGTTGCCGAATGTGAACCGCCTTGAGTTGCCTTCGGGCTGAGAAAGGCGGTATACAAATGGTAAATAATAATAAATAATAACCATCTACAAGACACCAAGTCATTGAAGGTTGTTCTAAACTTATTTGGAAAGGTTTCCTCACATCCTTTTTGCAGGACCATCCCTGTCATTAGTCAGAACATTCCAGTGATCACAGGCAGCCCACGTTTATCTGTTTTACTTACTAAGTTACTGCAGTTGGCTTTTGTATTTGGAATGTTGTCCATCATCTTAAGCAGCAAAATGTCTTAGGCCAGCCCTGCTTTATTTACTTGCTAAACAAATGTGGTGATGTAACTCAACCATTCAGCTTACTGTCAGTGTGTTCATTTTTGTTGCTATTTAATCTTGGAGCTTCACTAAATATGGTACTTAAGAAAGTGATTAATCTAAGATTGTCTAAAACAGTATCTCTCCACCTTCCTGATGCCGTGACCTCTTAATACAGTTCCTCATGTTGTGATGACCCCCAACCATAATATTATTTTCGTTGCTACTTCATGACTATCATTTTGCTACTGTTAAGAATTGTAATTCAAATATGTGATATGCAGGATGTATTTTCATTCACTGGACCAAATTTGGCACAAATACCCAATACACCCAAATTTGAATACTGGTGGGGTTGGGGGGGGGGTTGATTATGTCATTTAGGAGTTGTAGTTGCTGGGGTTTAAAGTTCACCTACAATCAAAGAGCATTTTGAACTCCACTAACAATGGAATTGAACCGAACTTGGCACACAGAACTCCCGTGACCAACAGAAAATACTGGGAAGACCTGGTGGCATTGACCTTGAGTTTGGGAGTGGTAGTTCACCTACATCCAGAGAGCACTGTGGTCACAAACAATGATGGATCTGGACCAAAGTTGGCACAAATACTCAATCTGCCCAAATGTGAACACTGGTGGAGTTTGGGGAAAACAGACCTTGACATTAGGGAGTTGTAGTTGCTGAGATTTATAGTTCGCCTACAATCAAAGAGCATTCTGAACCCCACCAATGATAGAATTGGGCCGAACTTCCCACAAAGAACCACCATGACCAACAGAAAATACTGTGTTTTCTGATGGTCTTTGGCAATCTCTCTGACACCCCCTCATGACCCCCCCCCAGGGGTCCTGTCCTCCAGGTTGAGAAACACTGGTCTAAAAGGATGTGTAAAAAGACTACAGCATATGATGGCTTCCTTGAAGAATGAGATATTGGGATGAATGTTAGTGTTTGTATCTTTGTTCAGGGCAATGTGTGGCAGTTTGAGTACAAACATTTTTGTTCCAGCATGTGTTTTTAAAACAAAGCAGTAGTGCAAATGCAACACAGATCGCAATGTGGTATTTGCGGTAGTGAAATCTCCGGAAGTTTATCCTTGACTAGTTTGCCTCTATAAACTTTTCAAGTATTTTCTCTATTCTTTTTTTTAATGCATAAAATAAAACTGTGACTGGACCTGAGGCAATCTTATATAAATGTCATTACTTCAAACACTAAAGTAATAGAGGAAATTCACATAATTATCCTAAAGCCATGGAATATATTGACTTGTTTACTTACTTTATATCCTTTCTCTGTCCAAGAACTGGGACTTAAAAGCCACTTTGAACAAAACTCCTGATATGGCCACAAATTATATTTAGAGTTAAACAAATTGTAATATGAAAACAGTCTTAAATTACAAAGTAATTTAAAAATGTATTCATGTCTAAAAATTATAAACTTCACTAATTAAAAGTCTTTTTCTTAATAGCAGTCGGTTATTAAATAGCTGCCTGGGATGAAAGGATAGAAGGACTATAGAGAGAAACCCAGTCTAGCCACAACCCTGGAGACAGAATAAAATCTGAATAATGCATAAGCCAACATGATACAAATGTCAGTGTTCAAAGAACACTAAAGTAGTAAGAAAAAAAATGAATGCTATCCTAGTGCCTGAGTTTTAACTTACTGCCAGGATTTCAATAGCTTTGCTTTCTTGGCAGGTCTCCCCTGTACCACCAAGAGTGGTACTGATGGTCCCCCTCCTCTTTCTCCTATGGAATCCTTTGCACTCTCTCTGTAACAAGATACCAGTGTATATTCAGAGCCCAGTTGCAATAACTTGTTTTTTTTACTCATCATTTACTGAGCTCTGCTTATCTCATGACAGACAGCTGGCACCAGTAGGCTAGGTGAGCAGAGGGAGAACAGAAGAGTAAAGGGAGAATGCTGGTCGCCTCTTTCTATCTGACTGCAAAATGAAGTAAGATAGAAAATGAAGAACACCCAGAGGAAAGTGTTCTTACTATACATCAAGGGAACCACTGACCACATAGGGAAGCTGATGAGGAAACGCAACTTACAAACTATCTACAGACCCACTAAGAAAATCCAACAAATGCTACGTTCAGCAAAGGACAAGAGGGATCCTCTCACCTCTGCAGGAGTCCACCGTATACCATGCAGCTGTGGACAAGTCTACATAGGGACCACCATACACAAGTCTACTTAGGGACCACCAAACACAGCACCCAAACACAAATCAAGGAACATGAAAGGCACTGCAGACTGACTCAAGCAGAGAAGTCAGCCATAGCAGAGCACCTGATGAATCAACCTGGACATAGAATATTATTTGAGACCACAGAAATACTGGACCTCTCTAACAACCACCATGTCAGACTACACAGAGAAGCCAGCAGACAAAAGTCCTTTGTCCCACCCTGGTCATTCCACAAATATATAAACCCTTTTCCCTAGTTCCAACAGACCTCACTACCTCTGAGGATGCTTGCCATAGATGCAGGCGAAACGTCAGGAGAGAATGCCTCTAGAACATGGCCATATAGCCCAAAAAAACCTACAACAACCCCGAGATTCTGGCCATGAAAGCCTTCGACAATATTTTGAAACTGTTTATTTTATTTTGTTATTTGATGTATTTATTTTGATGGTATTATTTATTTATTTGCATTATTTATATCCTGCCCATATCAGCCTGCAGGCGACTCAGGGCGGTCTACATATTGGCACAATTCGATACCATCAATACATACATTCAAAAAGCAAAAACAATTAAGTGCAATTAGACAAAAAAGACAGTGCAATAACAATTTAAAAAGAGCTATATCCTCTCATTCCAATCCTTATCTGTTTCATCGTCTTGGCCATTCCTGGGTCATTCTCCATCTCAAGCTTGACTATTTATTCCGGGGTTCCGAATGCTTGCTCGAAGAGCCAGGTTTTTACTCTCTTCCAAAATGTCAGTAGGGAGGGGGCTGGTATTTTTGCTTCTTGTATTTTATTTTGCTGTACTGTAATTTTGGGCTTGGTCTCATGTTAGCCGCCCCGAGTCCCCTTTGGGGAGATGGTGGCGGAGTGCAATAATAATAAATTGTAGCCTAAAATAAATTTGCCTTGCTTGGATTTTGAACGGCTTTTCAGAGAAACTAATCTTTACCTCTACTATTGAATTGAAATATGGATATGAGTCTGTGCCATTGATTGCTGGCAAATATTCCTTGCCTTAAAAAAAATGCTATGAACGTCATGGGGTTGCCATAAGTTGACAGGTAATTATTGATAAATGCCTTCATGTTCCCAAATGGAGCAAGAGTGCTGAGGAGAGGTGTAGTCCAATTCAGATTTCCATTAAGATTACTGATCCAGTCTTTTACCATTTCCTGGTTCATAAGATTGTTTTAAAAATTAAGAAGGAGGTGGTGTGGGGATGTGCTCTTGGAGAGAGGTTGAGAGGCAGGATTGGAACCTTAAAAATAATAGCATAATCAGAAATGCACAAAAATGAATCTGAAGTGACCAGTTCCTTGCACGGAGGGCTAAATTAGGTACAAGCGGGTCGATTTGTCCATAAATAAATCTCTCATGGAGGGAGTGCCTATTCCACATTTGGGGACATCCGCCATGAAGTTGTTCTTTAGCTACATTTCACAGCTTGCAGTATTTTCTTAGCTGAAATATCACAGATAAGCACAAGGTAGTCTGTAAGTGCGTTCAGAGGTTTTAAGAGGACATGCACGTGTCTGTCTAAGCACATGTTCAAAGTTGCCCCATAAAATTTTCCTCGGGGTGCCCAGTTGTATTTTGGGAATGAAGCCTGT